CCGGGTTGGACGGCAGAATCATGCGGTTCACGCAACACAGCCGGCGGGTGCAGAACTTGACACACATTTTTGATGCGAGAACTGCCGAACAAGGTCAAGGGAGAGCAAATGTAATTACGCGACCACCAGCCTTGTTTGTTCCGTTGAACAACTCTCGATCCACTTCCTCTACGACCGCAGAGAGCAGCTCCAATCCATTGGGGATGGCGACGATGATATTGAACAGCAATACAGATTACACTGGTGGTGTCATTGACCACCAGCGCAAGATTGGGAATGAGAACGACCTCAAGAACAACCTGCTCGACCTCCAAAACGAGAACGAACAGGATGTTGAAAGCGGTGGTCCGCTCGTCCCAGACAACCGACTGTGGCCGTTGTACGAGACTATCGTACCCAATCGCGCAGACCAGCACCCGCACGTCCCCCACCTCACCCGGACCCCGTTCTTTTCCGAGCTCCTGTGCCGGTTCCCCAAGACCGAGAGGCCGCTGGCCTACCCGTCGAAGATTCTGTCCCGGCACAGCCCGGACATATACTTCTCCGCGAAAAAGAATCCGGTCCAAAGGGTTAGAACAAATGCGAATCTAGCTGATTATGGCTCGGAGATGCGGCGGGACCTCGCCCAACCGGTGGAAACGAGCCTGGGCAGTTTACTTAACCGGTACTTGATGTTCTGGTACGTTGTGGTTGTCAATCTGTCTGACATCCCGACTATCAGCAGTGCCGAAGCGGAACAAATGGTGGAAATGAAGAGCAGCGGTAAAAAGGAAGAACGCGCTGGTTGTTGTACCGATGAGGGAAAGATGCCGAAGCCCACTAGAACAAGAGACGATCTTCATGTTGGCCGTTCCCCGTCACAAGAAGGAGAAATTTTTGCAGCAGATTCAGTAGCAATGAATTCTTCATCCGCGGCTGTATCGTCCTCCTCGCCGTCCTCTCCGAGCGACAGAGAAGTAGTAAGAAATGCAGCAGCAAATTTTGAGGCAAAGAGATTGTTGACAAACCAAAAAAAGGGACATCAAGGTACTGAATATGCAATATTCACCTATTCACTGTTTCCTTTTGTTTCTGTACGCCAGGGCCGGCAGCGACTGGCACGGCCCCTAAAACACAATCAAAATGGATTTCAAATTTGGAATTGTCGAACCCATGGCCATGATCACTTTCCTCCTCTCACCCATCAGTGTCCTAGTATCGTCGGCATAATCTTTCCATACCGAAAACAGGTGTTAAAAAGCACACGACACCACCGGAGGTGGCAGTCGCCACAAGAGTTTCCTCTTCAGTCGCTGCCGCCTCCCAACGAAACAGTTCGGTGTCGCCAAAACGGTCTCGGGCCGAGTTTGAGGGCGAAGAGGCATCGATGTCTTCGGAGGAAGACGAGCGTCGTCCCGAGGTGCAGGCACAACTCCTGGCGTCGCTGTCATTCAATCAGGGAAGACAGAGAACTGACGGCGCAGCTGCAAAAGAGTCTGGCTTACAACAATGTAGTACCTCGTCCACTTTTTTGATGTCCTCCAAAGTTTGCGATCAAAGAGCGAGCGACCTTGTTGTGGATGGTCGCAAAAACACAACTGCAGAGATGTTGAACAACAGCTCTTTTTCTATCAACCCCAAAAGCTGCAACAAGACCACGGAAGTTAAGGGGAAGAGCCGGACCAGTGCCAAGCGCGTCAAATCAAATAACAGGGACAGCCCCTTGCTGGGAGATCTCTTTTCCTCCTCCTCGTCTGCAGCTCTAGGAAGTGTTGATAGCAAAGGGCAGCTGCAAGGAGAGCCGCTGCAGCCCCAGCCGTCTGCCACCTCCACGACACACCGCTCGAACCACGAGCTGGAGTTGTACTACGAACCCATGGAGGAAGTGAGCGCGGAAGAAGAAAACCACGACCAGGCGGACCAACAGGAGGTTCAATTTTCAGCAGCTTCCTTGACGGGTAACACGACCAATCTTAAGGAAGAACATCAAAACAGCGAAGTAGATCACGAGGAGAATAATATGGAGGTTGAAGATGTTGTACCCCTGTCGAACTATGTGACGCCGCGCGACCACGATTTTGTTCCTCCTGCACCAGCGGCAGGAAAAGAACAAAACTTAGTCGAGCAATCCGCAGTCTCCTCCTTGGCCACGTCTTCTTCTTCGAGTGGGGACGATGATAGCAACCACACGGAAGATGATGTTGTTGTCCATCGGAATGTTGAAATAAAATCAAGCAGGAGCGGAGAAATATCGTCCGAAGTGGATGAAAATTCAGGCTCTTCTTCGGTCGATGAAGATAACTTTTCTTTGTCAGAGGAGCAGATGGACGACGAGATGGATCTCGATTCCGACGGGACGAGCAGTAGAGGAGGCAGTGAGGATTCTCGTCCCTGGGAAGCACGGTTAAATGACCCGATGAGATTCGAGCGCGACGTCGGCGAGGGTGATGACGTCGACCACACCAATGTCCCGTTCTTGTCCCGGGCGGAGAAGGACCGAGCGCAGTACCGAAAAGACCTCCTGATCGCCAGCATGACACCGCACGGGCAATTTCCCGTGCCGGAATTGCGCAAGGAGATGTTTGAGAAGTACTCGAAGACGAGCAAAATGAAGCCTCTATATCGCAAAATGAGCTGCAAGAACAATCGTACCACCCACGAACAAAGTAGAACCTCCTGTTCGAAGTTACTATTCAAGCGCGCGGCGAAGCAAAAAACCCTGTATCCGATCATTCGGCGGTGCCCCGCGCCGAAGCATCCAGATTTCGCTCTGTCGGAGGAAGAGCGAGCAAAGATGACGGATGTTTCTCTGCAGTTCTGGAATGCGGCATGGAGGCAGATGCGGCAAGTGTGGAGCGCGAAGGGGGGAAAGAATCGAACTACTAGAGGTGGTTCTTGGAATAAAGAGGGGTACAATAACAATTTCCCAGACACTAACACTGAGACTGACACGCCGTCCGTGGATCTGCCCGCGCAGATCATGGTCAACTGCCTCAAATTCCTCACCGCCACGGAGATCATCTTCTCTATCCGCCCGCTCGCCCGCGGCTACCCGGAGCTGGCGGAGTACGTGATAAGTTCGAATCGCACGGAGGAAGTCGTTTTGGGCTTTACGGGCGACTCGGAAATCGCAGTGCTTCGCGCGGTCCAGCCCAGATACTGCCTGGAGGCGATGGAGGAGCGCAGGGCGGAATTGATGTTCCTTCGCAAGGTGAACTACGATAGCACAAACGGAAAAAGTAGTGCCGAAGACTCTGTGTTGTCCACGTCGAAGATGATGTTGCAGTCGCCCCTCGGCAAGCTTCTTGCGGGGAGAAGTTGCAGCTCTACTGCGGAGCTAAATAAACTGGGAAAGAACGTTGATAGAAGAAGTACTGCTGCTGGCGGGATGAAGAAGAAGGAGACAAAAAAATCGGAAAAGGATGGCTATCCTTCCAGTTCGTCGAGCAGCAGCCGTCGGCCGCAAGGTGAAACGTATACTACGCCAAACGAGAGCGAAGCTGGACAAGAAAGCATTTCATCCTCCGGCGAGGGAGATGATGAGAAGAATCGACTGAGGGTGGACGACGACGAGAAAATCGAAGGGCACGGTGATGAAACTACAGAAAATGTGGAGGAGCTCCATTTAGACCAAATTCTCCCCACGAATAACATCATCGAGCCGACGGATTCGATTGTGAAAAATTCCCCGGAAGACGTTGCCGCGTTCACGGCGAGTAAGAACAAGCCGCGGTTCAACGCGCAGTTCATGACAGCTTCGGTCCACAAAAATTTCGTCGTTATTGCGGACAAAAAGCAGCCGTCCGTTGGACCCCTAGTCGTGCAGCTGCACCGGTTACGCGGAACCAATAGGGTGTTTTGCACGCTGCACTACTCGGCGTTTAGCAGTCAAGTAGAACTACATGAGAACTACGACGACGAGTCGCTTCGAACTCCTGCGGATTATAAAGATGAACAACAAGCTAAGAACTACGTCGGTGCACCACGACCTGCTGAGTTTCCCTCCCAAATCTTAGTGAAGAACTACCACAGTTCCTTCTCTGCGACCTGGGGCCTGACCGCGCCGGACGAGAGCGGAACGATGTTGGCCTTGCGAAAGGTGGGGATGAATTCGGCTCGGGGTGGTCGCAACTTGGCAAGGGGGTACATCGACCGCTACTTGGCAAGGGAGCAGGACGACGACGAGGAGCAGGAAGCGTTTTGGGAACGGAACAACGTTTACATAGACACTGTCGTCTTGCCACGTGTCGAATAAATCTCCATTGAAATTTTTCTTGAACAACACTCAGCATCTACTTAGAAGCACTTATCCGAGTCGCTTCGTTCTTTGTCCTTTTTCGACGCAAAAAACGGAAAAAAGGAACACGACAGTCGTGTACCACTTGTCTGTGACTTACACGTGTGACCGAACTACACGAAAGTTCGTAGTTTGCCCCACGGTAGTACCAGCACGTGGTTCTTGCCGACGGAAGGACAAAGCAAAACGGTGCCGCCGTTCTTGGAAAGAACAAAAGCAAGCGCATTTCGCGTCGTATCCATACGCGACAACCCGCCCGCATGCCACCTCGCCAGGCAGCATGTTGCGCTGTTCTTCAATCTCGAAATCATTTCGGAACAAAGCCGGTCACCGCAGATGTGCTTGGTGTAGAATTTTACTCGTCTCACGATCAGCTTTTCCTTTTGCATCTATTTCTTGTTGAGATCTACTTCAGGACTATCATATTGCACAGTAGGAGCGAAAGCGATCTGAAGATGTTGTGTGGTGGTCGGATCCAAGGTGAACAACCTTTGTGGTTGGAAGTACTTATCTCTATCCTCGGTTTTTGACAAGTTTAAGTTTTCCGAACTTTCTCGGAGTACGTGATGGAAGTTTCAGATTGAAATTGGTCGACGTCAGAACAGCGATATGTACAGTGTATCTGCTGCTGTTTTCAGTTCGTACCAGTTGTTGTACTAGTCGTACTTACCCTGTCGGATTTTCGAAATGCTCGAATCAAACTCCTCACTTCTTTGTGTGTTTTATTTACTAACCTCAAGAAGGTTAAGGTTTGATGCCATAGAATTATGTCAAAATCTAAATCTGCGTTATATTTCAGTGGCAGCCCGAGGCTTGTTGGTAGTGAACAAGTAAGTGCGAGTTGCATTTTTCACTTTATCTATATTTTTTTGGTTGAGCAAGTAATTACTTCTAGTTCTAGTTATTTATCTCAGAGACGCAAGACCATGGCGCGGTCAAAAAAAACGCCTCACATAGGTGTGAATGCCGCCTCGAACAATGGCGGACCACCTGTTGGAACAACCACGGGCGACACCCACCATGGGCAAAAAGCCGCCCACCTTCCGGCGGCCGACCAACTTCTGAATCAGCACACGAGCCCCGCTATGGAGCTGAATGGTTCAGGACACGGACACGCCGTAATATTAAACCACGGCCATAATCTACTTCACGGCCAGAATTGTTCTCAGCAGAACTACACCAGCGGTTCTTTTAGCAACTACCAAAATTATGCGGTTTACAACAACTCGACATATAATCTTGCGGCCCCAGGAGGAGGAGGTGTAGCTCTCGGCGGAGCAGCGACTTCTGCGAGTAGCAGCAGTCACCAGATGCTGCACCAGCCTCAGCAGACGGGAGGCCAGGTCGCGCACCGACCTTATGCTGCGCCTTCTTACGATGTTCGGCACCACCTTGCAGCTCAACACCAGCCGTCGCAGAATAAAGATAGTGCAACTTCTTCTATCTTCGCGGGGGCTGGTGGTGCTGGTGCCAGCACAACAGCTTCGACGGGAAATAAAGAACAAGAACAACTTGTATTGGCATCAAACCCGCCACATCACGACCAGCCGCAGCACGGTTATTTGACACCTGCTACTTCTTCACAAGATGTACTAGCCGAAAGCAGCATAGTCGTCGCGGAAGGCGCAGCAGGGACCGGGGCTGGTAGAAGTAGTTCTACTAGCGGTGGCGTTGTTGTAGCGAATTCGTATGATACCGGAGTTCTCGCGCAGTATCAACAAGAAAATGCAAGCGGTAACAAGCAGAACTATCTGCAGACAAATAGCGTATCCTCGTCCCACGGACAGCAAGAACTACTACATCATCAGCACGCAGCTATGGCAACCCTGCTCCCGCCCAGCGCAACGACGGCGCAGAGCGTGATGAAGAGCAAAAATTCAAATATAAATTCATCAAAATCATCCGCACCGGTCATCGTCGTGAAGCACAAGAAGCGGGCGATGCCGGGCGAAGCAGTGGCGAAAGAGATCCGAAAGCTGCAAAAGTCGACAGATCTGTTGATCCGGCGCGCGCCGTATCAAATGCAAATATGTCTGGATCTGGAAGATTGGGGGAGTTTGTCATGCACAATTGTACATTACCCGCGTTGCCTGTAATGCATGCTCTAGCGTCAGCACACCTTTCGCGACGGGTTGCTCATGCCTATCCTGCATGAGAAATGTCAGCTTCGGCTGGAAAAATTCCAAGCACCTTTTGCTGCTCATGCAACACAGGGTTTTGTAGCATAGAAGATTAGCATCACAAATCCCATTCTTTCCAGGCCCAGACATATTTGAAATGCATACGCCGTTCCAGCGGATCGTGCGCGACACCGTGGACGCCCTTGAGGATGGTTCCGGGAAGGTGCGGTTTACCAGCCAAGCATTGCAAGCCTTACAGGAGGCGACAGAAGCCTACATGGTGGGGCTTCTCGAGGACACAAAGTATCATTTTTACAACATTATTCCGAAGTCTTTGTTGTAGAAGTTCGACCGTGTTTGTTTCAACATCTGTATCGAAGCGTTTAGATATCAGCAGCTTTGTTTTATCGAGTCGTCGGTTTTCGTTGCTGCGTGATATCTGATAAAGCACAGGTGAAAAATGAAAATGCGTATCCCATTCGAATGTGATCTCCACTTCACCGTCAAATCATTCGCAGCTTGTGCGCCCTGCACGCGAAGCGGGTCACCATCATGCCAAAGGACATGAATCTAGCGCGACGACTGCGCGGAGACACAACAAGAAACGTATGACAATGCGCAACTTTTCTTCTCCCTCATTTGTCATGCGATATCTTGTTGCCAAATCCGGTCGCCCTCGCTGATTTGCTGCCTTGTGTCATTATTTGCATGAGAAATTGAAATTGCAGAAGCTGGAAACAAGCACTGTATGTGTATTGCTATTGACCTTGTTATGCACAGGCGCTGTGTCCGCTGGCGTTTGTATTGCTGTCCGTCACTTTCAACTGAGGAGGAGGGGAAGTCTTGCACTCGCAAAGAACAAGGATGACGGTCATTTATAATCAAGTGATGCTAGTAGTACTAGTAGACCGAAACCCATGCCCATCGCGACGGGGGACTACATAATGCCACGTGTTTATCAGACCGAGGCAACAAGAAATGCATTTCAAAAGTTAAGAGTGACCACGACCAGAACTTTTCTCTTACTCGCCCGGGTTGGTGACAACTCAGGCTTTTCCGGTCCAACCTTGTGTTCTCAGTATCGCGTCGCAACCTGGCACTAGAGATTTGTGAATAGCATTTACAGACTTCCGCACTTTGTTTGCCTCCGCTGCAGTGCTCGGTGGTCTGTGGGATCATTTTGCAGTGCAAAATAGCAGAGCTCATCCGTACTTCTTGACGACTATGAGGTGGGCGGGTTTTCGTTGTATCTAGGTACACAGGATAAACTACTTATTGAAATTTTCGTGTGATGTCCTCGTGTAGGATTTGTAATTTATATGTTTTCAAGTTCAACTTCAACTACACTCGCTCTTCCTAGCGTCCATCGTTTCGCTACAACCAAATTATCGCAGTTGCCATGAGATGCTCCTGCACTGACTGGGTCGTAAATACAGGGTCGTCGTTGTTTCCACCGATATTACTTGAATGGTAGTTCGTTACGCATCTTCGTACTGAAAAAAGTCGTGAATGTAAGGGCAAGGCCACCTGTGAGGTCACTATATCATATCAAAAAGTACCCAGAATTCGTTTTTCTTTTTAGGATTTTAGAAGTAAGTAACTGAATCACACTGGTAGCAAACTGAGATTGTTTTCACTCCGGTAGTAGACTGAGATTGTTTTCTTCTTCCATATTATCCACAATGTAAGTATGGTCAGCAACGACCTAAGATGAAGGCAGACGATGGCGCGCTGCTAGTTGAGGATATGTTTACGTAACGCACGACACATTATTTGCTCCGCACTTTTATTTCCTGCGATCCACTAGGTAGAGTTTAGGTTTACAACATGGGGAAGTCGCCGCGATCCCAGATGACGAGAGCAGGATCGGGCTACTCCTTGTCCTTGTTCGCGCAGTACCTGCTGCTCGGTGCTAGTGCGCCTTCTGGTACCGTTCTCGCGGAAAATAACATCTCCGGACGAGATCATGACGAGACCTACAAAAGCTCGAGGCAGTTTCGGCGTCGCGGTTCTTCATCTACTGCAACGGACTTGCATCCTCGTCGTGGTGATCCTCCAGTAGAGCGGCTACTAGCCACACGCTTGCTTGCTCCTCAGCACGGTCTTCACAAGACGACGGATCTTCCAGCAGGGGAACAGCTTCAAGAAGACGAGGGCACCACGCCAGGGCAACAAGGGGCCACGGCCGGACGCAGAGATGGCCGCGATGCTGATGAACACAGAAAACGAGAAGATCAAGATTCTGCTTCTGTTTTTCTCGGAACAACGACGGGGAATGTGGTCGTGCTGTCTGAAGATCGTATCAACCACGACGGGGACCACGACGACTACTACACCGCACTGCAGCAAAACACGCAGCGCCGCAGCTTTCTCCTCGACGTCCAGCAGGAAACAATTTTGCGAGAAGAAAGAAAAAGGGACAGCACTGCGTCCCTGTACGCTCCTGCTGGTGGAGCGAATCAACTTCAGATTTACTCTGATATTACAACAACTGCTGGCAGCAACTACCCTCTCAGTAGTAGTTCCTCTGGCAGCTCCACTAGTACCACAGCAACCTCCAGTCCGGCCCTAAGCTCCGCGTTGCAGCTACTTGACCCCGTCGATGGTACTATCAAAAACAAGCAAACGGGTCGTGTGGTGCAAAAAGCCGAGTCGCTATCCCCGGTAGAAGTTGAGCAGCAGCTTGCTTCGCAGTTGGCCGCGTCGGTGGCAAGGCTGCAGACGTCCGAATCGTCGCTGTTCACGCTGTTGACAGCGGCAAACGCGACACTGACGGACCTAGAGCGGGGGAGTCACGGTCTTCACACGAACACGACGACCAACGCTGACAATGTGTCGGATGTGCGGCTCAAAGGGCAGATGGCCGTTCGTGTGGTGCGCGACCTGCTCGCGTTGCTCGAGACCCTGCTGGAGTGAGCGTTGACGTATTTGCTCGCGATGTCCCGGCTGGAATACGCGTTCACGGTGGTTTTCCTCGCCTGCGGCTACGCGGCGGTACTGGTCGGGATCTTGTTGCCCACCCGTCTGGTCTTCTTCCCAATGGAGTACGAACCTCCACCGGACGAGGGCCACCCGGACGATACGCAGATGGTGCTGCCTGTCGGCGGCCCAAGGGAGCAAGAAGTGCCGGCGGACGACCTCCATGGTGTGGATCATGGCGAGCAACTACACGAAAGCAGCAGTATGTCGCTAACCCTAGCCGCCACGATGCAGGGACCGGCGACGTCTCCGAAAAATGTTGACCGGGATGAGGACCACCAGCACGAGAGTAGTACTAGCCGTATGTCGCTAGCCCTTGCCGCGGCCACGTTGCAGCAAGAAGATAAACCGCGGAGGACGAGCGAGGGGATGGTGTACTACGTGATGCCCTGGAATTTTGTTTACATGGGAACCTTATCCTCCGTCACACAGCGGGCGGACAGTGCGGAGGGCCGCATTTTCACCACCTGTCTGATCATCAACGAGGTGTGTGTGCTTCTCTCCCGCTACACGGTGGTGCTGTACGACAGGGAGTGTGACAAAATGCACAGCGGGGCCGAGAGCAAGAACAGTTTGTATCTCACAACACTCCAGACGGAACCTTTCTGGAATCTCGTGCTGCGTGTTCTGTGGCTGATCCTGCCGACGATTTTGATGCTGATAACCGCTGCGATTCCGAGCGCAACCTACAACGACGAAGACCATCGACAGGGGGACAACATCAATGATAACGACGCTGAGCTGCCGGACCACGGCTCCTTAGCGGCCAGCCGAGTCGCCCGGTCGAACCAAGCTGCCGAAGTTATGGCATTCTCAACTGTTTTTACATTCTCAACTGTTACACGGAAGATTTGTCATGCAAAATTGGCATCAGCCTCCACTTGGTCAAGGTGCTTAGCATGATACATTTTCGAAGGGCTAAACACATGATAATCTGTGGAAAATCTGTGATGCGAAAGCTGCACTCTTGCCACTTTCATTGTTGCCATTCTTGCATGGCAGATTCGTGTAACAGTTGAGAATGTTAAAATTTGAGAACGCCATAGACGTCGCTGCCCTCCACGACAAGCGCACGCGGAAGTACATGGCTATGGAAAGAAAAATATGGAGAGAAAAAAGTTTGTCACAGTCACTAACTTGCAGGTTTTGCATTACAAATTTTCTCAGCATCACAAACTTTCCTTGTATTGCAGAAACACTAGGGAAATCCCTAATGAAGTTTGGTTGTGATGCATTTTTGCGCATGACAAACAATTTTGTATTGCAAGAATGCGCATGAGTGATCGTGACGAACTTTTTTTCTTTGATAAAAAAAGTGTTACGGTTAATGCACACTGTGTTGCATCAAAACATGCGAAGACAAACCAACCTCTTTGCTGCGCAAATAATTGCTTTTTTTTAGTTGCCCGGGCGCGCGGTCCACCGCGGCCACCACCTCCTAGCGCCACGACCGACCCCCGGTCACGTGCCGTCCGTCCGGCCGGCCGGACGGACGTGACCCCCCCGGTCACGTCTAGATTCCTTGTACGCGGCAGTACATGGAAGCGCACGCGGAAGTACATGGCTATGGAAAGAAAAAAGTGTGACGGTTACACATTTTTGTGTTGCAAAACATGTGAAGACAATAAACCAATCTCTCTGATGGTGCGCAAAATGCTTGCGAACCTCGTCCTCTTTACCTCGTCCTCTTTAAGTGTGTTTTGCCTTGTGATCTCCGCATTGCAAGTTTTCTTTGTCATGATGCTGCTTTCACTACAAATGTGTAAATGCTGTAAACGAAACACTCTTTATTTCCTTGGATAATGGTTCAGCTTCACAGGGTAGTGCTTCTCGCGATGGGCCTCTTGCTGGTTTTCGAAACCAGGCAGCTGGTCTGGAGCGAACGCGTGAACATCCGGATGGTGCTCTTCGGCCTGACTCCCAGCGAGCGCGAAGAAGTCGACGGCAAGGAAAAACTCGCAGCAGGTCTGCACAAGCTTTCCTATGTGGCGAGCGACTTCTGCGGGGGACCCAAGGCGCAGGCGGCCGCGATGCTGGTGCGCCCCTGGAAGTACTTTGGGCGTGTGCTGTGCCTCCTTCTCGGATGGGTTTTTTGCGCCGTTTTTGCCGTCCTGTGCCACGTGTTGCAGCATTCCGTGGACCAAGAAAGTTACCAGGGCGAGGCGGCTATTCTGAGAAAAAACTGTCTCAGTTGTCGACGCATCACAGTTCATTATTTTCCGTGTGATGCTGTTGAGCAAGCTTGTACTGCTGAATCTGCAAAGTAGGCTTGGGACTGTACTGAGACAGTTTTTTCTCACGATAGCGGCCGGCGGGCGGTTGATCCCGAAGGCCGCCAGTCTTCTGTTGCCCCGGGCGGTGTATCTGTCCGAGGTTCTTGCCATGCTCTTTGTTTTCGGCTTGCCCCTGTGGCCCCTCCTCGGCGCGTTGCAGGCGCAAGAAGGTAACGACGCGTACGTCTTGCACCCAGGCAGTGTATCCTAAGGAAAAACGTCCCCACACCAGAGTCAAGATGAGGATTTTGCAACACAAACCTTGAAGTTTTGGGAGCCACGCATGCCAAATTGCAGGCTGTATTGTAATGCAGTTTAGCAAGGGATGTCGCATTACAAATCCATCTGCTTATCCTGTTTACAGCATTACAAGTTCCAGAACACGATCGGGAATGCCTATCATGGGGATGCGCATTACAAATGCACTTGTGCTTGCAGATCTGCATGACAACTCTGGGGTGGGGATTTTTTTACACAGGATACAGTGTTTTCGGAACGACGAAACGGGATCCCTTCGGGACGATTGCCGACGGGGTAAATAGCATCGTAGCCTCCGCGTGGGTTTGGAACCCGAGCTGCGGCACCTACTCGGACTACCTGATTCCCTTCTACAACAGCACAGCCCAGGCGGACGCCGGCTGCGATGGTTGGACCGGTAGGTGGTGGCAAATGCCTTACAAGGTCGCTTTCAACGAGAGCTATTCTTCGGAAGATCAAGCTTACAAAGCCGGGTTGGGAGACTGGTGACTGAGTGGAAATGGTTTTTAATTTCTTGATGCTGAGGTATGTAAGTATAAGTACTTAATGCCTCGTTTGATGACGGCGAATATTAGGTACAATTTTACCTTCGTACACACAATCCGCTACGGTGGAGCAAAACGGTAAAAACAGAGGAATCGTTTCATGCTTTTCTGTACTCTAGTCGGGAGCTGCGGAATGATTCGTCTACATCAAGAAGAAGTATTAGCTCGACTACATTTTGCTCCTGCTAGGAACAATTTTTGATTGTGGAAACATTGTGGATCCTCTTTTGGCAGCGGTATCAGGTAAATTTGCTAGGGGGCCGGAGAAGTCGCTTCTGTGAGAACCACTTTTATAGATATTATCTATAAAAGTGGTTCTCACAGATTTTTAGAATTCTCTGATAAGTACTCACTCCACTGTCGTTATCCTATATTGCGAGCGTCCGAGAAGCAAGTGTTCGTTCATCGTCAATTGTCTATCTGTTTGATCTTCTTTTTGCTGAGAGGTTTTGTGACTCACATGATTTCACATGTTGTCTCTCTGACTGAGTTGTCTGGTGCGGTTCAAGTAGAGAAGCTTTATGCAGCATGGTCGTGATAGATAGAGATAGATCTAGATACTGTCTGGCTCCTTCCTCGACCTGAGCGCGAGTCTGCGTTTAAAGTTCCAGTGGGTGGGAGTGTAGTACGAGGGACTCCTTTCTGAGCGATTCCCAATTACGAACCAAGAGGGTCTTGCTGCTCGGACACTAGCCGGAGCACGCATAGCTGCGTGTTGGAGGCGAATCATACCTCGTGCTCCTTCAGGCTGAAGCTCTAGCTCCTTTTTTCGGATTGGAGGCACTAGCATCAGCCACCAGAATTTATTTTGAGTTCTATATTTTCTCGATTGCGACTTGTCTTCACGATTAAGTACATAATTTCATCCCTGCCGCATTGGCAGTAAGAACGATGCCGGTGTCGCCATCTTCATCATTATCTGCAGTAGTGCAGGTAGCTGGTACGGGAACTACCGTAACCCAACATCAAGGGCTCTCTTTTGCAGCAGAGGGCCTCTCGACGGGAAATGTTGACGAGCACCTATTTCTTTCTGAGCCTTTTTTTGGCGCAAAATACGACACGCTGCCAAACCCGTCGACCGCATTTTTGCTTTGCTGGTGCACCCTTGTGACCACCACTGCCTTGGGCTTCAGTCTCATTTATCGATGGAAAACAAGGAGTGATCTTGTTGCCGAATGCTGCAAGGCCCAAGAAAACAACCCGCTTAGTTTCATGCGAATCTTTTTCTTTTTGCACGATAAGAAAACACCAGTGCACCACGACAGCAAAAAATCCGCGTGGCAGACTGCGACTTTATTTCTTAGGGGTACTACTAGCAGTAGTTGTTCCCAACAAGATCACTCGTAGTCTCCCTCTATATCGTTTTAAAAAGAGCCAGAGTAGTCGCCGCCTACTCGACCGCGCTGGTTTGGACTGCGGTTTGGCTCGGCCTGATTGCTACGCTGGGCCATTTATGAATTGCAAAAGTATCGCAAGTACTCGTATAAATGCATTACAAATTTCCACAGCATGAGAAATAGAATTTGTAATGCGGGTTTTCCTTAAGAAAATGATCTGTAATGCATAATTGCGATTACTACGAGTACGATACTTTTGCACAGGATACTATTTTGGCGCGTTCACGTACCAGCCGAGTGGGGGACACGGTCCGCCGGTCGGTTTCATGGGCGTCATGGTGGCGACGCTTTTTGCCAATGGCTGGCCGGTGTTGGGGAAGAACCCTTCTTCTCCTCTGATTTCAGCAGACGATCTTCCATTCTACCTCGTCTGCGGTTGCCAGTGCTTCCGGATTTTTGTGGAGGGGATGCTGCACTGGGCACACGTGGAGGGATTTGCACCCAAGCAAATCACTTGGGAAGGGAACAACTTCGACGTTGTGACCGGCCTTGCCGCCTTGCCCGTTGCAGTCTACCTGTATTTTTCTGCGGAGAAGAAGGACCACGACGGCACAACAAGGAATGCGGCTGCAGATTCAACACTACTCGTATCGGGCAATACTACCACAGAGCAATCAGCCGCACTGATGCAAGAGGTAGAAGCGCTTGGAGTCCTCGGCGAGCAGGAGCAAGCAGCGTTTATTTCACCTGCGAGGAAAAAAACCAATCTTTCTCCTGTCGCAACCGCGGTCGTGTGGACCTTCAACGTCGTTGGGATCACGCTCCTGCTCTATCAAATGTAAAAATGTCTGGGTCTGGAAGATTCTGAGATTTGTCATGCATGTTTTGCATGACCCAGGATGTCTGTAATGCACGACCGCGCGTCACAGATTTTGAGCGGGCTTCCTGATGCCTACTCCGCATGACAAACGCCCTCCCCGCGTAGCACAAACTAGACTCCTCTTGCTGGTCATGCAATACGGATTTTCCTAGAGTCCAAAGTTAGCATCACAAGTTCCAATCTTCCAGACCCAGACATTTTTACATTTGATATGCTCACCGTAATCACGACCGCCGTGGCGTCGCTGCCGAATTCGCCATTGGGAAGAGCGCTGAACGTTTATCAGCACCCAAAAGAGCTGCAGTGTGTGTGGATTCTGCATCTTCCATTCTGTTTTCTGCCCCTGTTTCTGGCCCAAATTGCGTTTGGAAGCCATTTGCTGATTTTCAGAAAGCTCGTTATGAAATGAATGCTTACTAATACTACTTACCAAAACCAATACCGATTATACCATTCGGCGAAGTAACCGCAGGAAAATCCCTCTGCAGACTTTTGTGTTGCTGGACACAGCTGCGATCACTGCGGGTAGAAGACAAGCAAGTTCTGCACGAAGCCAGCATTTTTACGCTGGGCTCTATATACCCGTCCCAAGTTGTATGGGGCGACGACAGTCAGGAGAAGTCCGCTTGTGATTCATAGGCAGAAGGAGCAAATCTTCACACATGATGCTCTCTTCTTGAATCATGAGAGCCAAATGCAGCACCAGCATGAGAGTCAAAGGCACTCCTAGGTATACAACATCTCACAGCACTACAAAAAGAGTACTGCTGCAAGCGTGAGCGAGCGGAAAAGAGCGCCGGCTTTTTGTCGTGCCAGTAGAAGAAAAAAAAAAGATGACGTTTATTCCCTCCGAGTCTTCCAAAGACCACACTCGTCGTGCGCGCGCCAGTCCTTCCGCCGACGTTGATTTTGTAAATGCAAATAACGAAGATGCGGGTCCGGGTGCGGCTGAGCCGCACTCAACATCTTTTCCAGAACCTGCAAGCAGTTCCACGACAAGTACTTCTGCACGGCGCCGCCGCGGCCGCGGTGAGGGGGAAGCGAGTCCTCCGGCGATGAACGCTGGGCCGGTAAGAATCGGAAGCGGCGCAGCTATGGGTCAAGATGCAGCAAAAAATGCAGGCTCGTTCACCGCCCCTCCTACGGTCCTGTCGCAGTTTTCGGCGTTTGTCCTGTCTTGTTTCCCAGATGAGTCGACTTTGTTTGCGGTCGGGAAAAGGATGAAGCTTTTGAAGGCGAATCTTTCCGTCGAGGAAATGGTGGAAGAACTTCTGCCCGAGTTTCGCCGGCAGTTTCTATCGCGCGGTATCAATTAGAGACGTTCGCTGCTAGTACAGTGAGAAACATTTGGCGTTTAATCTGCTTTGAGTCCTAAGTTAGTAAAGTAGGCCTTTTTCATTCTAGAAATTCAACTTGCATCATGATAAGTACGAAACTGCATGTAGATGCAACGTTGCTGAAATCTGCTGTCGCAAAAACCAACCTACTTCCACTTCCACAGGCCGCACTGCAGCCGAGTTCGAGGCCGAGCTCCTTCCGAAGCTCGGTGCGGCGACCTCCTTCGAAGAAGCTACCGACTTTCTCGGCACGCTGCCGAAGGACGACGAGGGGCTGGTAGATGTTGTGTCCCTGTTTCAACTGAATGAACCACAGACGCCTCGCACAGACGAGAGGATACGACAAACTTTTCTAGAAGAGCAATGATAGAAATGATGAACATTGCTCTTGATAACATGGAGATGAACGCCTGACAGGTCCTGAATGAAATATAAGACGGTCTTGTTCTCTCTCTCTGAATCGTGTATGATGTCTGGTTACAAGTCCCTAGTAGCGTCAAAAATGTTAACCTTAACGAGGAAATGTTTGTAGAACAAAAAAAGCTGCGAAAGTGGTGAAGCAAAGTATCATTCGACGAATCAGCCTGAGATCTAGATTTAGGTTTTGTTCTCACCCGAGAACGTGCGATGTACATGATCTAGGGTCGTGAGCAACCACACGGCACTGGCACCAGAGGATCCTCTTCGCATTTTTAAAGAAAAGCACTCTGCGAATCCGCGAAGACACACCAACAAGATCAGGAGATTAAAACCGATTTTCCTCGCTCCCACGAGCGTAGAAACAGGCGAACAGCGGTAGTTCGTTGATCTGCGAACGAAGATCTTAGTATCATCATTCTTTGTTTCAACGAGGCTCGAGATGAAGGTCGAGGCTCGAGATGAAGGTCGTGTGAGGTTTCACGACCAGTCTTAGATCTACTTAGAACTACCCAGGCTTCTAGTAGCCGTAGCTGTCCCACAAGATGAACATGAGTCCAACAACATTGGCTTAGTGATATGCGAATGCGGATTTTGATGCGTTACCCTTAATATCATTTTTTTATCGCTTTTTACGCCTTACCAGTGCCTCTTATTGGGATAAAAAGTGCGAAGCCGGACGCTTGAGTGTCTTCACGACCAGATACATTTACATCTTCCTCACATCAATCATAATATCTGGATGGCGATTGAGAGAGCGAGAGAGTGCTTTACCTTTGCAGCCGAGCAATATATACCATGGTTATGGTGGAAGTTTTTACCATTTTGCTTTATCAGCATGAGTACGCAGACGAGTTAGAGATAGAGATAGAGTCACTACGAACGAGCAATCCCGGTCACAATGGTCGTCTTTTTACTCGACTAGCATCAGTTCTCTGCATTGTCTACATTCGCCAATTCAATTGTTTGAATTGTGTACATTGTTGCAGGTTGTTTGGGTTGTTTGCCAGTTGCAGTTTTGGTTCGGGCCGTCGGTGCTTCTCTATTGAACATCGGTGTTTGGGTAGTTTGATGTGGTTTACTCAATGCAGTGGCGGTTCTGAATAAGTGGATCCATGATCTGATGAAAAAGATCAAGTTGAATCGGTTTGGTTTCGGATCTTTCCCACCTTCACAATTGGACTTCATGAAAATCAGCTAGTACTTTTTCAGGGACAGCTGGAGGAGCTGCGGCAGCGGACCAAGCAGAAGATGGGACGACCAGCACGCCGACTACAACGACTCCCAGCAGCACTACACCAACGGGCACTGCTACCACAGCTTCCGCGGGGACCCCCGAAGAGGACACTACATCTTCAGCCGCCCCCGCCGATGTGCTGGAGGCGTTTTTGCGGAGGGACCCCTTCCGGCAGCACATGCCCGAGTTCACCGGGGCGAACAGAATCAATGACGGCATTTACCAAAAACACGAGGACATCGGAACCGGGAAGGTGACATGGACGGAGTAGGCATTGCAAAAGTATCGTACAACTAGTATAGATTGCATTTGCATTACAAACTGACTTAGCATTACAAATTAGATTTGTAGTGCGCATTTCCCTTAAGGAAAAGATTTGTCATGCAAAAACGCAATTAGTAGTAGTACGACTGCGAGTGCGATCCTTTTGCACTGCATACGGTGACCGCGTCGACCAAAGACCAGCGCGAAATGTGGAAGTTGACGGAAAAGGAGCGCAACGCGCGCATTTCCAGCCTGGAAGACGACGTTGACCGCCTCGCGTTTGAGGCCGGCCTCCTTTCTGACACGACGCCGGAAGAGTTTGCGAAACTTTCCCCGGAGGAGCGGCGCGCCCGGCGAAAAGCTCTGCAGGTATCGGAAGACGCATTAGGTTTAACAGGAGCCGGAATGGTATGAGAAAATGTCGGGCTGGAAATTGACAAGAAAGGCGCAAAATAATATGGGCGCTAGGGAGGCAGATTGGAGTAGCCCTGCTCCGTGTCAACGTCAAGAAGTGGGCAGAAGGGAGCTCCCTTAGCCTAACCAGCATGACAGATTTAGTTTAGACGCTGGGAAATAAGTCCTTCACGCGCCGATTTGAAGCTGCCACTGCGGGCACAAGAAGTGGCGGCGATTTTATGCATTTAGCAAATTCATTGGAATTGCGCAGTTTATCTTTATGTTCAGGATTGTTGATTTCGAACCTGACGTTTCCATAAAGGGAAAATCCTTATCTGGAGAAGCGTGATAACCCTTATCACTCGGTCAGCGCAGATGCGGCCAAAACGCTTGACCTGCAGGAAATATGGCCTTCTCGAACGTTACAGTGATCGCTGTTGCATGATTTGCAAAACCACTTTCACGAGGACACTCGACTCCAGACGACCACGAAGCTACTTCGCGTGGCAAGTTCTTGACGCGCTAGATAGCATGGAAAGGCGTTCCAAATCGGTATCGCACGACGTGCAAGCCCCTTCTTTCGCTTTTGCTGTTTCTGCGCCGCAAAATCATGTAAAACCGAGCAGCGTAACGCTTGAGAACGCCATAGAAAAATAAGTGGGGGAAGTTATGAAAAGAAAAAGCGAACAAGCTGTGTGCTTCGAAAATGAGCTTGGTCCAAGGTAGGAGCGGTTTAGTAGCGGGTTTGTGTACCAGTATTTCATATTTCTATTTTTGACCTTGTGCCACTAATTGAGGTTTCTCGTTTCGCTCGCAGGAGGCAGGAGCACCACCACTTGCAGAAAGCCCCCGGACGAGTCTAGCTGAGCACAGCGATCATTCTGATCGCCACCACGAGAAGATATTTGACAGGGCTCTAGTTAGATGGATGTTCCTGAAGGCGGAGCTTTATTCACGTGCGCATTATAATATTTGCATTTTCTGTCTTCTGCCTCGGCCTCGGGTCAAACTCAAAACCAAAAGCTCGGGTTTCTTGCATCTCGATAAGCTGGTAAAGTGAAAGCGGAGAAGAGACAAACGGGCACACAGGAGAAGACCTTTCCCAATGGAAAGACCAAGGAGGTACCGGTGTTCGAATACGAGAAAAGCTACCCGGTAAATAGTGAACACAACCGGCTGACGCAGTACATGCAGGACCTCGAGAACCCGCGGACTGCGGAGCAGAGGCTCTTCGTCGCGATGCGGAAGCTGGAGCAGGAGGAGAGGCGACGGGACGGCGACTTTTTTGCCAGCGTGGAGCCGGGCATTCAGCTGAACCAAAACGCGCCGATGTTCGACGACATCTGGATGCGCGCCACGCCGGCGCCGCTGCACTCGCTTCGCTTCAGTCAGCCGGAAGCCGGGTTCGAGTTTGCCCGAGACACGATTATTAATTGCAAATTTGTCGTCTGGGTCTGGAATTATTTATACTGCAGAAGTTTTTCGTCACGATACAGCCTCTTGCATGTACAGTTTTTGTGCGACTGACAGATGAGAGCATCACAGATTTTTTGCACGACCTGCCCAGAGCCAATACACATTTTGCAATGCATAAGGATCGGCGACCGCCAAAAGCACGTCGTGGACAGTGCCAAGGAGTTCCAAGAGAATCCCGGGATCGTCACCAACTCGATCGCACTGCAAGTTGTACCGGCAGACGATTTCTTCGTAAACGGCATGATGGACCGCGACTTGCAGCGGCGCCAGAGAAACATGGATGAGGATCCAAAAAAATACGCGGGAGAGGTACGCCGGGGCGTAGTGGTTGTTCTTTTCAACGTCTACTTCTCCGCAACGTTGTCATGCTGGGGCTTCTTAGATAAAATAAAATTTGAATTTGCAGGAAATATATTTGTATTTTCCCAGATAAGATGCTCTTTGATATTCATATTTGCGTTTTCATTTTGAAAACAGCGGCTGCGCGGCTTCGAAATTTTTTTTTGCATGAAATTTTTGCAGGACGAATTTTTGAAGTCTTCCTTTTTAATTGTTGAAGTGGTGAAGTTGTGAAGCCATAGCTTTTTTTCCTCCATAAGGGGGCGGAGAAAAGCTCAAAGCGGCGATGCACTCCTATCTTGAGTAAAGACGTTTCCGCCCCGTAGTCAAAACGGAAACTTTGCAAGGCAAGCATAGGACTCTTGGGACGCGCGCAGTTGTATTTGTTTGGCTCTGCAGTATAGTTGTGCCGAGCTTGTCCAGATGCATCGCAAAGCCGTTCCCAATAAAAAACACTAGATAGAGTATTGTGCTGCTCATGGAGTGTACCAGCCCGAGCCGCATGAGAAACATCCCGTGCGCGTGATTTTGATTCTGCATGACAAAAATTCTGGGGTCGTAATGTTTTTACTCAGGATAATACGATGGAGAAGTTTATGGAGACCGGGCCCTACATGCCACAGCACCAACGCGCGATTCAAGAGGGCACGAGGATTGACGACGAGCCCGTCCAAGCGGACCCGACCCGGTCCAACGACGGAAAGTTGATTACGTTGGACCACCGGCGGCTGTGTGCCGTGCTGGAGTCCCACCACACACCCAACAGCCGCGACCCGAACGACCCCTCCTTGATCAACAAGCACACGCACGTTCGCGTGCACACGCTGAACACGCAGATGCTGCAACAGAATCCAGCGAAGGCCCGGGCCCTGGAGCAGAACTGGGTGAAATGGACCCAGTTCAAGAAGTTCGCGAATCACGTGGGCGGTAGCACCATCACCGTCTCGGCCGGCGAACATGCCAACACGAATGCCCAGTGGACGGGGTTGTCCCAACAACAGCGGGACCGGCTCACCGCATTGCAGATTCCCAACCGCTATCCTGGCTACCAGCGCACCCACCTTACCGGTGTGCAGCCAGGAAACGAAATTGAGGATGCCTGAGCGCGAGCGGCTCTCCTGATCGACAAGGGGGGGAATTGAACGGATCACTAGGAGGCATTTTTAAGCGAAAAGAAAATAGAACACATTTTTCAATGATCATACGCAAGAAGTCGCTGAATAAGTCGATAAAATCACTATTAAAACAAATAAACTTAAACACATTATTATTATCGCAGAGAGGTTTTGCCCTGCAACACGTGTTGCAGCTGCCTCCTCATGTACCTAGACAGAAGGAACGAGAAGCACTTCTCCGCAGGATAGATTTATTTCATTTTGGCTCTACTAGTTTTGTCTTTCTGGCAGCTTTGGACAGTGCACTGTCGCAGCTGCCTTTGCGGCCTGTCATTTACTTATCTACACCCGCATCATAACGGGGAATGTTACACAAATAGTGTCAGTTCTTTAACGTGTTGCTATCTCCCGTGTTGAAGGAAACAGAATGACACCGAGCATTGGTGATGATAATGCGCAGGCGTTTGCGCTGCCTTATCTCCATGGCGAACGTGATACGAAGATGAGTACGTTTCGAATTGATAGCGGATAGAGAGCAGGACGAAGGCCGGGAAACGCGCGTCCTCATGCTTTGCAGCTTCTTGGCGATGATGTGCCACCGAAATACGCCGGTGTGATGTGTGACACAGCAGTGTTTCAGCGATGCTGGACACAACTCGTAGCTGCTCCGCGGTTTCACGATTTTGGCATTGATAGGCAAGATCGGCCCACAAGATAAAATTACAATTAGTCCGAATGTGCGCACAAGAAAAAACAGGAACCGATCATACTCATACAAATAATAGTGCTACTGCTACCCTGGACGCGATACAAGTACTTAGTCGGGTGTGAAGATGCACGAATTTTTATGCTTCAGATTTATACTTAGGTTTGGATGCTTTTGTCCGATGCATGTTGGATAGGGTCGTTAGGCCCAAAAACTGGTGTTGTATGTGCATCGATGTCCTTCAAAAATCACACTGCTGCATGCGTATTTTCTCACTTTCGATTATTTGTTTCGAACGCAGGTCCGAGATTCAGAGGAACAAATAAGAACGGTAGTGTCATTCTGTCATATTTGTGATGGGCAACTCGAACCTCTGAAAACGAAGGGCGCTACTTGATGATTCACCTCATCGAGTCGCTCAACTACTACGCGTCGCAGTTTCAGCCATAAGGGCGTTGAGGACTAAACTTAAAAGCGTTTCTGTTTCTTCATGTAGACGAGAAATTAGAAGCATAACTACCAGCTATTATGACCAGCAGTGCGGATTTTTCATCCACCAGACAGCGCGGACTTTGCCGATCGGCGTTCCTACTACCTTTTCTGTTGTTTTATTACCTGCACGACATCACCCTGCAGGGGGCCACCGGGCTTGTTCTCAGCTCCGCAGGTAGTATCATGAGAAGACCAGGCGACGTAGTAGACGATCAGGAGGAGCCCGGTGCGGCTGGCCGTCATCAAGGGGGCAGTCGCGCAGAAGAAGCTCGCGACATTGTTTCCCAAGTGCTAAACCTCGTCTCAGACGAGAGTTTTAAAGCCGGCGCAAAAATGGAAGTTGACGATGAGCCCAGCAGCGTGGCCCAATTTGCGACGTCACTCGAGACGCTCGAGCAGAAGTTGAGGACGTGGGGGCAGAAAATACACCTCGCAGCGGTTACGGATTTTCGCACAGGTGCCCCCAAGCTCGCTGTCGGCGTCGCGGTGGCCAATGAAGATCTTCTGCTCGAAGAGGGTGCTGGCGTCGAGGAGGGGACTTTAGTGTTCAAAATTCCTGAGACGGGGAACTGGGTGCAGCTGCTGCAAATCTTGAAAACGTTTCTCGACGCGGGAGTTGTGCTCGGGCTCAAATTGGAGGGCGCGCGAGGCGTTCTGCAGCAACCGAGGGACGCAGCCGAGTTCGCACAAGTGCGTGACCTGGTGCAGGCGGTGGGCGAACAAGCAAAAACCCTGCCCTCGCTAATCATTCGCCACTTCAATTTTTTTGTCAGTGACGCGAACGCGGAAAAAAACACGGCGCTCTGGCAGGGATTTTTCTCTTCCTGGACAGCATCGCATACTGAGGCGGTTGAGGGCGGCGAGGAGGCCCACGCTTTTCCGCGGCTCCGGGAACTCAGGCTCGAGCACACCCGCATCGATCCGGCCATCCTTCGGTTGATTTTGCGTGCGGACGCGACACAGTGGCTAGAAACCCTGGTTCTGCACTTCGGGTACGGGCCCGAGAGCTTGTTTTGGGACGGCAAAAACGCGGCAGGAAAGCAAGTCGTCGCAAACGAGGTCGCTGCCTACTTGACAAGACGGACCGTCGGCGGAGCAGGGAAGTCAACAAGTACGAGTGCAGCCACGGATGGACAAGTAGGTCAGCTGCGGGGCGACTACACCAAAGACCTGCAGAAGGTGGGCTTCAGCGGGTTCGCGTTCCGAGGGGATGCGGAAGTGCCTTTTTTCGTCCAGCTCGTCAACGCCCTCGCGGGTGCTGGTCCGGCCGCAAAAGGGGGAGCCATCCATTACAACCCGGGGTTGGTACAGCTTCGAGAGGTCTACCTGGACCGCAACTTTGGCACTGGTAAACTTTCCAAAGAGACCGAGGTGAAGCGGAAAGGCGTTCTACGGAGTCTGGCGGCTTTACTCGCCAGCACGGGGGACACCCTCGAAGTGCTCTCTTTGGAGAGCAACGACCTGGGAAAAAAAACGCTTTCCGAAATCGCCGGTCTGTTGTCTCCGGGGGACGAAGAAACTGTCCTGTCTGGTGGTGACGATCTGATGGACAACTCAGAGAGTGCAGCTGCAGTTGTTGAGGATGTTGCTGTTCTTGAACAACGGGCTGGTGGAGGACCAGTGCAGTCTGCTTCATCTTCTGAATACGTTTCGCATATTGAAAGTCCTGCTCCAGCTGGCGCCCTACCAGCGCTTCGAGTTTTGGGCCTCGGGGGAAACGCCAATTGCGTGAATATGGAGCCAGAAGACTTGAACAAATACGGCGAAGACGTGGATGATGCGCTGGCGCGGCTTCCGTCCCTTCGAAAAGTGTCCCTTCCGCTCGGCAGTTTCGAACTGGAAGCGGGCGATGACGACGCCGCAATGGACGTCAACGACTCTACCGGCGCATTCAACAGTCTTCGAGAACAAGCGGACGAGCTAATCTTCGTCAACTCTCTGTCCGAGCTTTTCCGCCCCTACAGTTGAGCTCAGAAAACCACGCGCTATTGTTGCAGAAAGAGCTGCGTAGTGTAGTAACTGTGCGCACGCAGAAGCTCCAGCTGGCTCTGCATGCGGCAATTTGGAGGTTCTTTCATCCCAGAGGATTGTGGCACTGAGATGATGACGCGACAAACTTTTGTTACGTTATTGTATTATACTTGACCATCTGACACTCAAACTGAATAGCGATAGAATGAATATCAAATCATTTCAATCAACACGGAGACTGAACACGGGACGTGCGTGTGCACGATACTGGAGATTTGCGGTTCGGATGATTTGTAGGATGGTACTGAAAATAAAGAAAAAATTGAATAAAGTTTTGGAGACGAGACTGGGAAAGAATCTTTCTCGCTTCTGTCGGTCCAGTTGTTCACGGTAGCCAGCAAAACTTAAATGAACTAGGGTTGGGCAGCTAACTGTGTTCGCCATGGCAGCTTTCGCACCAAGCAGGAGAGCTACTGAGCTACTGTTTCCAACATTGTCGAAAGACGAGCGGATACGACAAACTTTTCTTCAAGGGGAGCAGCTCGAGAACTGAAAAATCCTCGCTGGTGGAAAGAAATGAAGCACGGATGATCTTCTTAAAAATTATGTATGATTTGTTTGTGTGGTGTAAGTTCATTGACCCGTAGCTGCACGACTTCTGGCATGAGTGAAAATGGAAAGCCAGGGGGCTGCACGTAGCTGATCAAGTAGTAGTGCAAAAGTTTGAAAGATTATAGTCACGGGGTAAGCATTAGCGTAATTAATATGAAGAGGAACGACAACGATCATGATCATGCACAAGCACATCGTGGACGCGGCATAAGTATGTTCGATCGCCTTCGCCCTTTCGGTCTCGATATAATTGGAGCAGTGACATCGGATCTACGTGCGGTTTTCTAGGATCGTCAACACCATTGGTCACGGCATTTACTTCTAAGTGACAGTGATGCAACAAGTACATCGTATCGATCCATCCGGTGTATGAGGACAAAAGGAACTAGCTGAAGAAGAGTGATCCCTGGTAGTCGGTGTAACTCGAGATAGTACTAGAACTAGAAAGATGAAGTGCTGCATCTGCATCTGCAAACCTCGAAAATGACAGGAGTGGATCCGGTTTTGTCCGACGGCGCCATCGCTGGAGGCCCAGCGCAGGAGTACCGTGAGATTGTCTCGCGGTTGTTCAAGATTCCGAACGGGCATGTTGAATCGGACTGCGCCGAGCCTACTAGCAAGGCAGGAGTTCTTGCGATCATCGACACAGGAGCTGAGCTTCCGGAGTTGTTGCTAGCATTGCAGAGTGAGCTGCAAGAGAACCGAGGTGGAACATCCAATTCAACGCCAGTGGGCGTTTCTGTGGCGCGAAATTACTCGCGGGAAGCTCCGGCGCTGTTGGTTCTTGCGGCGGACGACGGGAAAGCGCTAGAATTCAAAGTCAAGCATGAGGCTGGCTGGATGGTGGTTCTCCAAATCGTGCGCACCTTTCTCGACGCGGGAGTTCCTGTGGCGGGATTGAGTCTAAGCGGAGCGCAGCGTGTACTCCAGGACAAAGCGGGCATGCGAGACGCGATTACCTTGATGGAAGAGCTGGGACGGCACGCGCAAAGTCTTTCTCACTTGCACTTGACCAACTTCCACTTCGATTCCACCGACATGGAAAGTAACACAAAGCTTTGGCGGGCGTTTTTTTCCACTTGGACATCATCTACTGCAGACGGTGCAGATGGTAGATTAACAACCGGGATGAAGACCCTTACCAGCCTCAAGCTTTTCAACATCGGAATGAGCCCGGATGTACTGCGTACAATTCTGCGTGCCGGGGCTGCGGAGTCGTTAACCAGCCTAGAATTGAATTTCGCGTCTTCGGGTGCTAGTTCGGGCTGGGTCGATTCGCACGAAGAGGGAAAAAAGAGAATCGCGAACGACATCATGGCGTATTTGGAGAAGCGGGGAGCACGCGCAGCAGCTTCTAGTACCAACGGCGCTGATGATGTTCACCACGAACTGCGGCATCTCAACATCAGTGGCCTCAAGTTTCACGACACCGAGGCGCTTGTGCAAATCATGGAGACGCTTGGGAAGGAAGAGGTTGGAAAGCACCTGAGACTGCAAGAACTTTATCTGAACGAGATTGCCGAGGTCGAAAATTTTGATCAGACGAGTGAAGCGATTGTGAAGAGCGTGGTAGAACTACTCGAGAAGACAAACGACACGCTAGAGGTGCTGTCCCTCGAGAGGAACGGCCTGGAGAAAGACACCCTGTACGGGTTGGCCCAGGGAGCTGCGGGGCTGGGGGACAACATCAAGCTCCGGGCTTTGGGCCTCGGTGGGAACGACGACTGCTTGCTGAGCGAGGACGAGGACATCGGGAAAAACATCGCTGAAGCATTGTCGAAAATCGCCACGCTGCGGGTAGTCTCTTTTCCGGCCGGGGAGTTCGACGAGGCGGACCGCGGGGATGTCACGACGGTACGTTTTCCGCAGCGAGGACCAGAGGACCTCGTTGCAGTAGAGTCACTATCTTCATCGCTTTGAGGGACCTGAAAAAACAGGTGAAGGCATGCGAGAAGTGTTCCACGTTCTCTCGGTAATTGTGTGTTGCACTTGTTATGTCATAAGCATAACAGGATCTTCTGCGCCAGCCGGAAAGCAATTTGGGCAGGCTATAACCAAGAGCAGCTTGTGTGGTTTTGTAAGAAACAATTTGTGTACCAAGAAACGAAAAGATAAGGATTTGGACTGACAGGACGTGCGCGTGCACGATACTGATCGTGACTCCCGTAGCCTGAACGACTGGATTTCTTGTACAATGAGGCTAGATTCTTGTACCAGCCTGGGCTGACGTGTGTTCTTTTACTTACTTTTTCAAAGTTCATCTCTGGTAAGGGTGACTGTTGATGACGATGATGGCAGCTTCCGCACCGAGGAGAGCTGCTGTTTCCAACTTGGTCGGTCCTTCTCAAGATGCCTCTTTACGGTTACTCTTTGGCCACGACTTTTGCGGTCGGTGAATGATCTAGTTCAGAGGTCGATAAGTGTGGTGTTAAAAAAATGTAAAAATGATTCGGTGCAGATGGTCGTGGAGTCTTTTCTCGAAGGCTATGTTCTTGTCGGTTTTGACAACTGACAGAAATGCTAACGCGTGACCTGTGATTACAATCGGTCATCTGTGATGTCATCATTGTGTTGTCGGAAAAATTTCTGTTATTTTTTGTGAATCGGAACAACAGTCCTCCTCCTTACCCTCAAATGTCCTACCCATATTATGGCTTTTTCACCTCCCCTCGAAGTAGATTGTACTTCCCCACCAACATTATCCTCATCTCATAGTTGTCTGTGAAGTTGTGAAAGTCAATGCTAAAATAAAAAGGTGCGGCAGCTGCGCACCAAGCCCGCGTCCTCCTTTATAATTTGTTTCGGAATTCTAATTCTTGATTCCCGGCCCCGCCATCTTTCCCATCGTATTCGTAACAGTCACTAAAGAATATCTTCCTTCTACTTCTGCATCTTCATTTAATCGGAGTAGTTCAATTTTGATCAACATTTAATGTCGCGAGATTACGGATAAGCATTTGCATTTGATTCGGATCCAGGTGGCAGCGGCAAGCAGTAATTGGTATCTGTTCCAGTTGTGAGGCCCCCACGCCACCTGGAGTGGTACTAGTGGAGGGTGGTCCTCAGGCGGGGCGGCTACGTGGAGTCGCGATCATGCCCACGGCTGCTTCGGGCAGAAATTCTTCATTTATTCCGACGAGTTTTGATATTTGTATTCGCAAGCTGCCAGCAAAGGGAAAGGAAAGGGAATGAGCTTCATTGCTACGACCACGACCACCCCCGGGGAAGATGAACAAAATGATGGCACTCCTACTCCTGCTTCCGTTCTCCTGACCAGTTTGTCCACTACGACGACCGCGGACCCATGCGCATTGTACACGAGCGGGCAGGTGTGCCCCGAGGCTGCTGGTGCGTCGACGTCGACCAGCCCCTACGAAGCGGGCGTGGAGGACCGCCGGGGCCAGATGAGCGTGGTCGGGTTCGTGGTGATAATGTCCGTCGCGTTCGGCGCGCTCGTCTTGAAGCGGCTGAGCCAATTGTACCAGCGGGAGCGGGCCCGCCAGCGGAGGATCTCCGACGAGGAGCTGAATTCCAGTTGCGGTAGCGAAGGCCCCAGATTGCCGCAGGTGGTGCAGACGCGAACCATGCGGAGCAGCAGTAGCGCCAACCTGTACAGAAACAACTCATCCGCTCCTGCAAACAGAACAACAACGACGTCGACCAGGGAAGAACTGGTTGTACTAGATCAGCAACAAACACCGCAGAATTTTCACTACACGACCTCGCAAGGGCGAATCGGCAACATGCGTCGCGGGGACTCGGGATCGACGCTCGCGACCTCGAGGCGGTACCAATCGGACACAAGTAACGCCACCAGTGACCACGAGGTTGTGTCCTCCAGCGCAGGAGTGCCCACACTGTCCACGAAGCTGCACGCGGAGCAATCGGATACCAACTCCAGCACGCTGCGGGGGAGCCTGACCGAATCATTTTCCTCCCTACCCACGTCGATGAACACCAACACGGCAGTACCCCAGGTTCACGGACGAAGTATAATAGAAGACCAGGGAATGGGAACCATGAAACAACTAGGGGATCATGACGAGATGACCACGCCTGGTGCAGCTGCACACCATGTAGTCGGTAGAAGCGACCGCGAGGAGCGGCCAACTACACAAAAATCGGAGGACACTACTAATGTGCAAGAACAGGAGCCGTCTCCTGGAAATGCTACTTCCGCCACTACAGGACCACCCGCGGCAGTACCGGCGCCTGGTGTGTCAGTGTCACGGCCAGGGATGTTGACAATAGAGGATCCGCAAAACAGAGAAAGTAGAAGGGGTCGCCCTCCGGACAATGCACACTCAGCTCCTGTTGTGTATGTTGTCGTGGATTGAGATAAAAAGTATAGTAAGTAAACCATGAAATGGAGTATATTACTCACTAGAGTTTATTATATCGGCAGCTGCAATGTCTATGTCAATGAATCCTGAACCTACAACTGCGTTGACGTGGTGCTGCGACGGCTACTCCAACTCATCTGGTGACAAGCAGGTGACTACTGTTCTTTATATGGAGATCAAGGTCACGTTTGAATGAAAATCTTCGCTGTAGTTGACAGGAACGACAACTATCAACAAGGCTCCTGCAGGATGGAGTTCAATATCACACTCCGGGCTTTATGTTCTGCACAAGTCAAGCGTCCCTCGACTGAAGCGTCGTGGAAATCCATTCGCTTGTTTTCCTCTCTCAAACAAGCTTAACATAGATACATGATCTTTGTCACTGACTCGACGGCCAATCAATCTGAAGCACCAAATGATCGTGGCTCCTCGTAGTATTGCGACATAGCAAATTGAAATATTGTCGTGCCGGGGGGGATTCTAGATCTTGAGCAGCTCGAGCGGCGAGTCAAGCTGCTAAGTAGTCGTCTCGCATCGTCGAAAGAATTGATGCTAATAGTTATGTCGGTGTAGTTGGAGGGGTTCTGTTCGTGCCTTTTTCGCTGAGATTCGTTATTGTTTGTAGCGTAGAAGTTGGTCGTGAGCATGTCGTGAGTTTGTGTCGCTAGTGCTAGTAACGAACACTGCCGTCGCATTTGGACGGAAGCTCCTGGGGACGGGGACCTCTAAGTGGTTCGTCTCTACGTAGGAAAAAGAAGAAAATTGTTCGTCTTGGTCGACCTCGACTTGCATAATCGGCGGGGGACATAGTGCCTACGTATCGGAAGATAGGTTTTTGTTACTGCTTGTCAAACGGAAGAGCTTCATCAGACAACAAGAGTTCACTAATTTACGTATACAGTACTCGTCATCAAACAAATCAATCTAGTGCAACCATCAAAACATGCTGCCTGGCTCGAAACGGTTCCATTCAGTGGCGGGACGGCGCACCAGCAGCTGCACGACAACCCGGCTCCTGTTCATCTTCCCACAACGTGATCTATTCTTGCTGCTCTGGGCTCCAGTTATGTGTGGTTGCTTCCTCTACTTACTCAGCGTGGTTGTAAAAGCGGATGGCGAGCAGGACCACGCCTGGAAGGATCAGGATCAGGATCATCAGGCTCGCCCCTCCGCCGGCTGGGGCAGTGCAACAAGGGGACCAGCTACACCCAGTTCACCTACATCTTCGGTTGTAGCAAGCTCGTCGCTGCAGATCGTGCTGGACGGGCGCCGGCGTCTACTAGTACTCCGGGCTCCTCCTGGGACAAACAGCTCTCTGCGGCGGACCACCAGAGGCTCGTTCAGCTCAGCGCGACGGTTGCCACACTAGTAGAGACATCCTTGACCGCGCTCCGAGCGTCGGCCTTAGACCTGCAGGCGTCGATCGTGGAGCTCGAGCGCGAGAACGAGGAACTGACAGCGGACGTGAGCAGTTGCGGCGCAGAAATCCTGGAGGTGAGCGAGGAAAATGAGTCGGGCTTCCGGATCGTGCGCGATCTTATGTCGATGCTCGAAGTGGTCGGCTCGTGGACGCTCACACTCATTTTGGGCGCTGCGAAACTGGAGTTTCTCTTAACAGTTTCTTTTCTCTCTGTGGGTTTTCTGGCACTTCTATTGAGAGGAAAAATCCCCCCTCCCCATATTGAAAAGGTATGTTTCTAAAAATTTGTGTTGCGGATTTGAGGTCACATATCACATCTGTCTTGCAAGAAGACAAGGGCAGAAGCTTCCGCCCCATTATGGAAGCGATTTGTCATGCTGCTGGGCCTAAAGGGGGGCCGTTTGCCATGCTGAACTACTAGACCCATTCGCCCCTACCTAGCCTGGGGATCTGGCCGCAGTGCCTCTCTGCAATACAAAGCCGATTTGTGGTCACGAATCAGCATCACAAATTTCCGTTTTGATATGGGGAGGGGGGATTTTTCATTTTGATAACTTCTGACTGGGCTCGTGCTTCCCACCCGCCTCGTGTTCCTGCCCCAGGAGTTTATTTCTGATGATGTTCCGGAAGAGGACGAGGACGACGAGGTCGACCAGGCGCAGGGAACGGGCGCCGCCCTTGTGGGTGGTAAAACTGAAGCGGGAACTACTTCTTCTACCCGCGCTCCTGCACAGCTCCTGCAAGATGATGACCATCTTCTTGCCGGCGAACAACGGCAACCGGAAGCGGCCCCCACCCGGAAGAAGGGCACCAGCAGCTGCACGGAGTACTGGGCGCTGCCATGGGATTTTTATTACATGGGCACGCTTGCGAGTGTGACGCAGCAGCAGGGCAGTGCAGAAGGCCGCATTTTCTCCACGTGCCTTGTGATCAACGAAGTCTGCGTGCTTCTCTCCCGCTACACAATCGTGCTGTACGACCGCCAGTGTATTCATTGGGACGAATGGGAAGTTTTGCGTCGGGAAAGCCTCGGACTCGCTTTTCTCGGCACCGAAGGATTTGGGAATCTGGTGCTTCGCGTCGTCTGGCTCATCGCTCCAGCGCTTTTGCTGCTGATAACGGCGGCGGTTCCGAGCGCCACGTTTGATCACAAAGAAGACCAGAAGCAGAAGGATCGCCACGACGTCGGCATCTCGCCGCAGGACGCAGTTTCCCCTGACACAGCAGTCGTAGGCCAGCGGCAGCGCGCGGACTCCTCCAGTAATTGCTAATTTCTGTTTTCAAAGCGCTTCAAGTTCAATACTCTTCGGAGATTCAATCCCTAGGCATCTTCGGACGCTCTTGTATACTTCAATGCAATTTAGATAAACGTTTGCAGTGGTCGGACGCTAGAAATTACATGGCCCTCCTCGGGCATCTATCGGACGGTCTCGACCGGACGACACCCAACAAAAAGACAGCAATCAACATTCCTTCAAACAAACAAGAATTTCGGGCGCCAAAGATTGCCAAGCCAACCCCTTTTTCCCTGCACGCGATTGCCTCCTTGCTTCACGACAAAAACACTCGGAACAGCATGGTGCTCCTCAATCGGGCGTCGTTTGTGGCAGTGGCGTTGATGCTTGGTTTTGAAACGAGGCAGCTAGTGTGGACCGACAGGATCGACATAGGCGCAGTGTTGTTTGGTAGTGGCGGTTATCAAATGCAAATATGTCTGGGTCTGGAAGAGTCCGAACTTGTGATGCTGCATTTGGTATTCCAAAAAAATCTGTATTGCATGACCAGCAAAGGGAATCGATTTTGACTATGCGGAGAGGGCATTTGTCATGCGCAATAGGCATCACGAAGTTCTCAAAAAGTCTGTGATGCCAGGGCATGCATCACAGACATCATGGCCCATGCAAAACGTGCATGAAAAGTCTCAGAATCTTCCAGACCCAGACATTTTTGCATTTGATAGCGGCGAGCAGGACATGAGTGACGAAGACTTCGTGTACCGCCTAACGCACGGCCGCTTTGGTGAGTGCTTCATCGGCAAAGAGCACATGGTCGCGTTGCAGTTTTTCCGGTGGATACACTTCCCGCGGGTGTTGTGTTTGGTCCTCGCGTGGGCGCTTTCCTTGATTTTTGTCGTTTCGGTGCTCCTCTTGCAGCATTCCAACAGAAGTACTTCGCTTGCGGGCCGCCGTGCGGACGCATCAGCGGGTGGTCGCTTGGTCCCGAAGTCTGCCAGCTTGCTTTTGCCGCGCACGGTGTACACGTCCCAGGTTTTGGCTATGCTGGCAGTCTTTTCTTTGCCGATGTTGTCGATCTTCGGTGCCCTCTCACATGCTAGTGGTGATTTAAGCAGCTGGTTCCACAATTCCACCGCAATTGTCGGCGACTTTGTATCAGATCCTCAAACATTTTTACCTTCTCAACTCTTGCATATACTTATTACTATCTAAACTGCAGCAGCTGGTCAAAAATGCATGCGAGGGGTATGCTCGGGGGTATGTTCGGGGGTGTGTCAGGGGTATGCAAATGGCAGTCAATCACGACCTGAATACAAATTTTTGGCGAAAAAGCAGAAGGTGGGGTATAAACATACCCCAGACACACCCCAGACACACCCCAGACATACCCCAGACAGACCCCCGAACACACCCCAGGCAAAAAGTCCGAACATACCCCAGACACACCCCGGACACACCTTGGGCAGACTTTCGGACACACCCCAGACAGACTTTCGGACACACCCCGGCCAAACTTTCGGACTTTGTCACGCGAGGTTTGGCCCCGAAGTCCAGTCTGTCACGCGTCGCGAGACGGACCGTGCGGCCACGGGGCGAAAGCCCTAGGCCAGCGCGGGGACTCGGTCCCCGCGTCATGGCCTAGGGGTCAGCTGCAAGTGCTTCCCGGACACCGTGCGGCCACGGGGCGAAAGCCCTAGGCCAGCGCGGGGACTCGGTCCCCGCGTCATGGCCTAGGGGCCAGCAGCAATTGCTTCCCGGACACCGTGCGGCCACGGGGCGAAAGCCCTAGGCCAGCGCGGGGGCTCGGTCCCCGCGTCCTGGCCTAGGGGTCAGCTGCAAGTGCTTCCCGGACACCGTGTGGCCACGGGGCGAAAGCCCTAGGCCAGCGCGGGGACTCGGTCCCCGCGTCATGGCCTAGGGGCCAGCAGCAATTGCTTCCCGGACACCGTGCGGCCACGGGGCGAAAGCCCTAGGCCAGCGCGGGGGCTCGGTCCCCGCGTCCTGGCCTAGGGGTCAGCTGCAAGTGCTTCCCGGACACCGTGTGGCCACGGGGCGAAAGCCCTAGGCCAGCGCGGGGACTCGGTCCCCGCGTCATGGCCTAGGGGTCAGCTGCAAGCGCTTCCCGGACAACGTGTGGCCACGAGGCGAAAGCCCTAGGCCAGCGCGGGGACTCGGTCCCCGCGTCATGGCCTAGGGGTCAGCTGCAAGTGCTTCCCGGGCACCGTGCGGCCACGGGGCGAAAGCCCTAGGCAAGCGCGGGGACTCGGTCCCCGCGTCATGGCCTAGGGGCTAGCTACGAACACTCTCCGGACACCACGCCCCGCGGCCAAGAAAGCACGGGGCGAAGAAAATCCCTAGGGCAGAAGTGTGGGGATTCTGTCGCCGCGTTATGACTTGCGGGCCGGCTCGCTCCAGATCCGCACCCGGCGCCAGTTTGTTTCTTCTTTTCTTTTAATTATCTTTGCGCGCGGCAGGTGAACGGACCTAGTGCGCGCAAGCAAGGGTGCCGCGTCCGCAGGCCCGTCGCGGGTCAGTGAATGCAAGGCGCACCGAGATACCTAGCTGCAGGCGACCTGCCTGCCCAGTGCCACCGCGCAGGCAGGCAAATGCCGGAAGGTCGCCGCACGGGGACTCTGTCCCCGTGCTCGGACCTTGTTTGTGATGCAAGAAGAAGAACAGCAAAACTGAAAGGGAGGGGCTTGCAACGTTCGCATCACATCATTCAAATTTGGGATGGATTTCCGTGCAGTTTAGGCCTTCGCGAGCTTGTCATGCGAAGTACGACCTTGATCGCGTGGCGGCTTGTGGTAATTTTGCAATGAGAAATCAGGTAGTTGAGAGTGTAACATTTGAGAGTCCCATACTTTGTTCACTGGGTTAACGGCGCCGTGGTGCATTGGACGCCATCTTGTGGCACCTATGCCGACTTCCTGCGGCCGTTCGCCTTGTAGTAATCAAATTGAAACCATGTGTCTGGGTCGAGAAATATAAGCTGTGATGCGGAGTAAATGAATACAATTACTAGATCCCTTCGAGCAAGTGGAAGTGCAGCCATGGCCATGAGGGAGAACATGAACAAGTGAACAAGTATGAAAAACTGTTAGGGCTCTGCTCGCTCTTTCTCAACTTCATATTTTACGGCAACGCGCACTACAAGAAGCTGTGGCTTTTCATCAGAGCAAATAAAGCCGGTTCGCTGTTGTCGGTCACGCAAAACTATATCTGCATGAGGACATGATCTTCCGGTTCCGCATGTTTAAGGCAGTAGTCCAAGTTGAAGCTTTGCCTTTGGCTTTTCTGACCCATTAGACATGTTTGCACCGCATATCTACCCCAATGGAACGACTCCGACATGCGACGATACGACCGCAATGTGGTGGGAAATGCCTCACGAACAGTCCTTCAATTATACCGTTTGGTGGGGAAGACCAGATGTGGTCCATTTCTTATCAAAAAATGCAAAAAATGCGGTCTGGCTCTGGAAGGGAGGATTTTGCGTGTCTTGGCTTCGTCTTCGTGTAAATACAAATATATAAATGTAAATCTGTGTAGAAGTTGATGCGTGACCAACAAAAAGCAAAAGGAGACATCTTTATTTGTCATGCAGAAGCGTAGCTCACTCTAAATCTAATGCGCACTTCTACGCATGAGAAAGTGAAGTGTCCTGAAAGTTTGTCATGCTTGGCTGCTCTCAGGAGTATCTATCTATGCAAGTGTGCGCAATCATTGCATTTGAGCATCACAAGTTTCCAGACCCAGATCGATATTTGCAATGCATGGTGCTCAGGTGGCAACGAAATCAAATGGCCCTCCTGGGGGGCGGAGCACCCTCAATAGTTGCTGTAGGGGCACTCGCCATCTCCTCCGTGTACTGCCCACCTTCATGGACGAAAATTAGACGAACAAAAAGTTGCGCCGACGCCCCCGACGGCAAAGATATGATTTCGCGACAAATAAAATAGAACTATAGAATTTTTACTCGGATTTTTCGCGCTTATAGATTATAGGGGCGCCCTTAGAAAATGAATTCTAGAAAAGAAGGCATCTAGAGCATTCCCCTAGGGCTATTCCTTAGGGGATAGCCCTAGGAGATAGCCCTAGGGGATGGCCTTAGGAAGGTTGACGAGACGGCACACATAGAAACGCTGCAAGCGCAGCCGGTCGGTAAGCAGTTTATTTGCGACGTGAGATGTTTCACTCTGCAACGCAGGCCACAAGGATTTGCGAGGGCAGGCGGCACCCTGCAGCGCAGGTCGCAACTTGCAACGGCAGCCGCAGCCGGACAGGTGTTGCTGACAGCCCTTGCGGCCTGCGCTGCAAGTGGCTGCCCGCGCGGGCGGCGGTGCTTGCGAGTTCCGGCAGCTTGGTTGCCTGGAAAAGACAGGCGAAGCAACGCGCGTCGCAAAATGAACAAGACCCCGCAGAGTTTCCCACGGGCCCCGAGGCACAAGGAAATCGAAAAAAAGCGGAAAAAACGCCAGGCCGGTTTTTAGCAGGCCTATTCTGGCTACCCCCAAACCCCGGCCCCATTTTGGGGGGGGGGTAGGGGGGGCGCCAGAACGTAGCAAAACGAAACGGGAGCGGGAGCGCCCCCCGGGCCTCAGGCAAATTTATTAACACCATCCAAAAATCTCTGGGGATATATCTGGGGAGATATCTGGGGATATATCTGGGGAGGTATCTGGGGATATCTCTGGGGATATCTCAGGGGGGGCGTCTGGGGATATATCTGGGAAGATAATATCTGGGGACATAATATCTGGGGGCATATCTGGGGAGAAAAGAAAAGGAGGGCGCCTGCATTCTGAAGAAAGCGAGCGGCACGGGGGGGGCCAAAAATCCTGCATGTGGTTGGCCTTCTCGCAGGCGGGAAGTAGCGCAACAATATCGCTTCTCTGCTCCGATTTCCCGCCCTTATAGATTCGGCGGCTGGGCTTCCAATAGAAGTTATAGTAAGAGTGGAGGGCGTGACGCTGGGAATTTCTTTGCCTTCTAGAGGCCTCGCTTGGTTGGAGGGCTTTGCTAGATCACGGCCTCGGTCGCTGGCTTAGAAAGCGCGGCGGGTGGTTCTTTGTAGAAGTCAGACAGCCCAAGAAAGGGGAAGCAGGCCAAGGCCAGCGGCCGGGCTCGCTGGGACGGGGCAGAAGCCCAGGAAACGAGGGTGGGCGCGTCCGTTTCTAATGCGGGCCGCTACTAGTGAAGGGCGCCACTAGCAAGCGCGGGCCCGTTTTGTCATGCTACTCAAAACCGCCTAGAGGGCTCCTACTAGTGGCCGCGTCTCCGCGAGCAGATAAGATTCACAATCGGGCGACTCGGTCGCCGAGTCAATTTGTTCCGCTAGCGTTTCGCGATAGTTTTTTGATTTTAGATTTACTGGACGACCTATCGCCGGCGTCCTGGACGCCGGCGCAGTAGTCTAGTATATTTAGTTTTGTTTCATCTTAGAGACCGATGCCGAAACAGATACAGATGATACACAGATGAAGATGAAAGCGACTCGCGAGTAAACTGATTTGGATTTGCTTTGGATAGTTGTCGGCATCGGCAACTTCTTTTGCTGGTGTGGGAAAGCAGAACCACCCGGTTGTTCATCCTGGGCGGGATCCCGTAAAACCAACCGGGCGTAGGGTTTCCACTTGCAGAAAGTTTTGCGGTCATAGGAAAACGTACTCCTGGTTCGAATATATGCCGTCCTAATTTTCTAGCACTGCGAACGAAGATCCAGCAAATCCGAATCATGAATATAGTTGGTTAAGAAGAAATTATATTAGAGTTGTACCACGACCAACAAGATCCGAAACCGAATAAAGTTAAAGAGAGGAGAGCGGACGAACACAGCACGGTGTTGAAAGACAAAGAGTAGAGAGCATAATATCATACAAGTTTGTTGTACTACCTACACATCAGGACGAAGTAGGAGATCCATCATTCGACATTAGCAGGAGATCCATCATTCAACATCAACCAAAGAACCACGACACAACGCACCAGGAGCGGTTAAAATAAAGTCGTAGTAAAATTATATCGGTGAAGCTGCAACGGATCATACGGATTAAAAAATTTTCTGTCAAATATTAAAAAAAAAATGGGCGGGTCCGCGAGTCGTTCCGTGGTTGTCGTGCAGAACTTCGACACGACTCGGTACCTCGGGGTTTGGTGGGAGCGCGCCCGTCTGCCCAACCCGTTTCAAGACGGCAAGAAAGCGAAGGCAATTTACTCGAAAATGGAAGAAGGTGGACCACAAGTAGAAGAAGAAAACAGCGCGTACGAGTTTCTGAAAGTGGAAAACAGCGACCTCCAGCCGGTGGACAAGACGGACCCGGCGTCCAAGCTGCACCGGGTCACGCTGGAGGGGAAGGCGCGGAAGCCGAAAGACTCGACCGAGGGGGTGCTGCAGGTGAAGATCGGCAACGCGCCGTTCTGGGGCGACTACCAGGTGATTGACACGGACTACGAAAACTACGCATTGATTTATTCCCGCGTTTCCTTCCTCGGGATTACCTTCAAGGAATTTGCCTGGGTGCTGGAGCGCGCGGAGAACCCGACCACGAAGGAAAAGGCGGAGCAGCGGGTGCAAATGCTCATCGATGGGGTCTATCAAATGTAAATGACATGTCTGGGTCCTCTGGAAAGTTGTGTTGCTGATAGTACATGCAGCATTGCAGACTGGCACTGGCCGCTTATAGGACGGCATATTAAAGACACCATGAGAAGATCTCCGCGCCTTATTGCGAATTCATTCGTGAACAAGCACGACAAGTTGCCTTCCAGCACGACAAAAAAACTTCCCACTGCTGTCCTTGCACTTCTACATATCGTGCTGTACTACTTCTTCAACTCTCGCAACACAAATTCCACCAGACCCAGACGTATTTGCAATGTCGATAGAGTCAACAAGGGCGGCAAGGAAACGAAGGTCACCAAGGAGGACTTTTTGTACACTGGTTTCGACGGTGGCGAGGGGTCGGAACTGTAGGGATAAGTAAAAATCGCTGTGAAGAAGTACAAGTACTAGCTCTGCTTAGTCGCCGTGGCTGCGGGGGTGAGGACGAGCCAAAAAGGGTGCTTGTTGTGCAACTTCCGCGGAACATGATTCGGACAAGAAAGAATTAGACTTCTGCATTCCTTCGCATAGGAATAGGTTTTTGCTTTGAGTTTTGGAGGACGACCACTGTGTGGTTACTACGTCACAGCGTGGGCGAGGTTCAATGATAGATGTTTTCGATACCGATCATAGACTCCGAAGTCTTGTGATGTTGTGCATGTGTAAAATAGTGTTGTGCAGCAACAAGGGTTGCAAAAAACAAATTCCGGCTCCTTGTTTGGGCCCACGACATCTTCGACATTATGTACTGGCAAGGAAATGGCCAATTGGAATTGAGAAACCGAAAAACTCATTCATGACTCTGGTATCAAGCCAGACCTCCGTACCACATTTTGAGCAAGATAAGTGTACGTGGCCTCTGCACGTAGCAGCATGTTTGGTGTTTCTTGAGTCCTCAGCCTTGATGGTTATCGATCGATCGATGTTCGCACAGAAGTAGATCGACTCGTGTCGGCCTCGGGAAGGAGGAAGTTAGTAGCCGTATTCAAGTGGACGAGGCATTTTTATCCCAAGCGTGGTTTTCGAAGACAACAACTTGTGAACAGGCGAGGACGTTGTACACCAACATCGTTGCCAGCATCATGGCTCCTCGCTCCCACGAGTTTTTTTCTCGATCTGCTTTATCACGACCTTCGTTTTTCGATTTATGTTCCAACTCGAGAAACACTGTCACTCTCTGCCTCTGGTCCTTCTTCTGGCACCAACTTGTTTTTCTTGTTGACCACAGCACAGTATGATCGTGTTAGAAGTTGTCCTAGGAGAGTAGAGGATCTTAGCTGAACATAAAACCGTCTCTGTTCTTTGGTGCTTTTCGTGTCTCGATCCCAACGTTGGCGCTTCTTTATGAAACGGGTAAAAATGGGTCGCAACTTCTGACATACCGCTGTTGAAATTTTGTGCAACATCAATGTCCGTCGAGGAGGCCGGCGGCACTGTTGCCGAAGATCCTGGGACAGCTGCAAGCGCCGGAGCTTCTACGGTTAGCGTGGATAACAGCGAAGAACACGAAAACTTTTACGCTGCAGCCAACCAGGACGTGAATTTTTCCGAACCCAATCACGAGGGCGAACAAGCTGGAGACGATGCTGCTGCACCTCCGCATCAACAAGGAACTACAGATGTGGTTGTCAACAAGAAACATAACGAGATTACAGCTGACCAACACATCAACGCCTCCGCAGCGAAGGCCGAAATCGAAGAGTTGCGACAGCGGGCTGTGGACAGAAGAGGAGGGAGGATGGAAGAAGAAGAAATCTATAAGCGGGGGCATAATGATCATATCGAGGCGGAGGGTGAGCAAAAGTACGCGGATGATCATGCAAGAACTCGAGGTCCGAAGGCAGAGGCAGAGGCAGAACAACATGCTGAGCATGAGATACAGCAGGAACAACATGAAAGTGAACGGCATAGAGACCGAGTGCACGACTCGGACACGTCGGAAATCGATGAGTCGGAGGACGTTCTTCGGCGACCGGTGCACGACGCCATGCGGAGCAGCACCCGCACCTTGGTAGACGAGGTATGGCGTTCTCAAACGTGACATTCTCAGCTGTTACATGATTTGTCATGCAAAACGACCATGAGCTCCCAGACGATCAAACTACTTCGCATGACGAATTCTCGACGCGCTAAATAGCCCTAGAATCCGAACCAAATCTGTAATGCAAGACGCGCAGGGTTCTCCCTCTCACCTGTGCTATTCTTGCATTACAAATTCCTGTAACAGTCGAGAATGTAACATTTGAGAACGCCATACGAGGTCCACGACGTTGTCGACATGGTCACGTCCGTGTTTCAAATGGATGACCTAGTGGAGAATCTGCGCTTCAACGATGCGCAGAACACCGGCACTTCTAGCAGCAACGCCAGGACCGCCTCTGGCGGCATCATGATGGGCGGGACCAACAACAGATCTCCACCCCAATCGCAAACTGCCGAGGAGAACGGCGGCACCCCTGCCGCCTCGTCAGCTAGTCGATCAAGAGCAGGAACAACAACCGGAGTTGTAGAAGCAGAGAAACAACCTTCATCCACCGCCGAAGCCATCGTCGCTTCCTTAACATCTGAAAACGTGCGGTCCACCGTGAAGCAGACCGTCAGTGGGGTGGTCTTGGGTCTCACGAGCGTAATCGACGAGCTTTTGCCGCCTGAAGACGAAGAGGAGGCTCGTGCTGGTACTACCGCAAAAAACATAAATGGCAATAGGAATCTTCACAGTAGAGCTGTACTAGGAGGTGGTCAGGATCAAGATCAACTGTACCCCTTCGTAACGGAGGACGTGGGGTCAGACGAAACGGTTTTGTCCCAAGTTCCCTCTGAGGACGACTCTGATGACCTGGACTTTGACGACCATCTCGCGGATATCGCTACGAACAGCAAGAACAGTCGGAAAGACCCAATCCAGTCGAAGAGCAACTCCACGGGTGCGAGCGGCACGGAGTTCTTCTCGGATGCCACGTGGGAAGAGGTGGTGAAAACCACTGTGGAGGACGCGGAGTTGCGCACGACGGTCAGCGGCCTGCCGGTGCAGAGCAAGAAAACCACTAATTCGGGAGATCAAGACCATCATGTGTTCGACGTTGAGGAGACACGACACGATGCGGTTAGTAGAAATCCGGACGCAGACGCTGCGTACCAAGTGCTCGCGAACGCAGCGCGCGGAGAACAAGGTAAGAACAAGGACCACGAGCACGACGATGACGGGATAGTAGATGTAGAAGTCTTGCACTCGGTATCCGACGAGCACGAAGAACTACAGGACCACGAACAAGGAAAGCAAGGTCTTGCTTCAACAAATCCTCGTCTGGAAGAGAAAGATTTTCCTGGAACAAATAACGCTGTTCCGCTGCTCTCCAACAGCCCGATTCTTGAGGACATCCCCCTGCCGGAACAGTGGGAATCCTCACCCGAAAAGTCGTCGCCCGAGAAGTCTTCACCTAGCAAACAAGCGCCGCTATCGGCGAAACAGTTTGGTTCATCTCTTCAGGGCGCAGCAAAGATTTCAACTGCAGTAGTTGGTCCTACCTCATCATCTTCACGTAGCAGAAGTAACAGTCCCAACTCCTCACCAGCGTTCGCTAGAGCGCCGCACTTCATGGGGCCGCAGCTTGCCTTGGATTCGAGAGGTACTAAGTAAATACATGTCTGCAGTTTTTGCAGCCGACATGACCATCATCTGCATGGATCTGCTTTGTTAGATATGGATACCTCCCAGTTTCATCGTTTGAGCTGGCAAGGTAGAACATCCAGAATAGGAATAGTATAGCATTACTGCACAACACCTACAGGTGGCGCCCAGCCGACGTCTTTTGTCTTCCCTTCCACTCTCCCGGTTTTCTCGCAAGACATAAACGCTGGAACCATGTCTCCGTTGGACCTGACCCCCGCGAACAACCCAGTTGAATCGAGTCCCGATCGGCCGCCGCTACTAGAAGAAATGTCGGATTCGCCCCTTCTCGGTCCGGAGGAACCGGAGTTCTTCCCTGAAATGGACAGCGGAGCAGATGGATCTTTTCAGGCACAAGACCAGGAGACGACCGAGCACGAAGATCCTGCGCCTTCGCCGATGGCTGGGATGTTGGCGGGTGGTGTTGAGGAGGCGGAGGCGGTAAAGAAGAGAGTTGAGTCCTCGACTCCGATGGTTCATCTTTCTGCAGCTGCAGGAGCCCTAGAACAAGATGCGGTCATTTCAGCCTCCGCCGCACATGTGGTCTCTTCATCTGTGGAGGATGAGAACAAGCTCTCTGTTCTCGCCGCAACTTCTACTACGCCTGGAGTTTGTTCGGTTACACCTCCAGGGACGTCGAAACTAAAGAGAATGCCTGCACGAGGACCCGAAGGTGAAAACAAGCCGCCGCCGAGTAGTGCTGCACTACCTCCATTGCTGCAGCCAAAGTTGTCCTCCGCAGACGACCCAGAACTATCGCAGCAAGAACAACCGCCGACCACGAGCACGACCATCGCTGCCAGTAGCCCATTACCGCTGGTTGTGGTCTCGGAAAGCGACGGGTTGTCGAAGGAAACCATTGTGGACGACTACTTTCGCGGCAAGTCGCGGTCGCCCCCGTTGACCGAACCGCCGGCGATTGAAATCAATATGCCCCCGCAAGAAGATGTTGTAGTTGGTGGACTGGTAGAGGCACAGGCAGTGCCGGCGCAAGCGCAACTAGGGGACGACGCGCAGAACAACGACGAAGAGGACAATAATCTGGCCGCCGGTGATGTCATAGCGGAGGAGAAAACAAAAGTGACTTCACAACCGGTGCGTCCGCAAGGTACTCCTGACGAAGGACGAGAAGGTGAACTTGGAGAACAACAGCTCCCTGGATCTGGTGAAGGACCGTCTGTGTCTCCTGAAGTTCTTGACGGAATGGTGAACAACAATACGCACGGTGCTGCAGGATCTTCAAAAGACATCGTAGACGAAGACGACGAGGGGGACGGCAATATCAGCCTAGCAAAGCTGTCTTTCAGACGGCCGAACACCTCAGTGGCGTTCGGAGATGGTGGGGAAAGCAGCGCGTCTGAAGCGGCCAAGAACGCCGATGGACAAGAACGGAATCATGCGGATGGTGAAGATGAGGAAAACACCAACACAGTAGATAGTGCTGCTCCAGTAATTCCGGCAACAAGACAGAATGCGTCCATCACTTTCGGCGCCCCTAGCTCATCGGATCTTGATGAGGCTCGAGAGGACGCCCCTGTCGGGGGCGGGGCAGAAGTAGCGGAGTCTGGTGCAGCCATTGTTTTTCCGCAAAGGGCGAACGCTTCCGTCAGCTTCGGCGCACCGAGCAGCAACTCGGAGGCGGAGGAAGTTGGGATTGCACCCGTACTACTAGAAAAAGATGCAGGAGAAGATCAGCCAGATGAACATGAGCCGCCCGCAACGGCCACAGCAGGTGCTGACGTATCATCTAGCGTTGAAGAGGGTGATGCGGTGAAAATGCCTGTTGCAGAACAACCAAATGCCGGATCAACATCATCTGAGGTCGCAGCTGCCAACAGCACTACGGCTACGACGCAGAGGGCCACCGCGTCGGTAAATTTTGGCGCTCCGAGCGCCTCCGAAAACGAAGGAGACGGAAGAGCGGAAACTACAGGTCAAATAAATGCTGGTGTAGAACTTCCGACCGCGGATATAATTCGTGCAACTAATGAGGATGCAGGCTCGCCGAACCCCCAGCAGGTACTAGATCAAGGCAAAGACGTCGCTGAGAGTGTTCGCGCATCGATCCGCGAGGCGGTGCTGCAAGCGGACAGGGAAGTGGAGGAAGAGAACATCATGCTCAACTCAACAGCAGCTGGAGGTGGAGGAGCAGTCGAAACGAGCGAAACGATACAACAAGAGATGGGAGTAGCGCCCGAAGCTCCGGTCATCGCGGAGCCCGATGCAGCTGGCGATTTGTCCCTCCTGGAGTTGTCGAATTTAGACGAGGAACCAGATGAAGATGGGGAGCAGCCGCAGGCCGCGATGGTCGTGATAGACCAGGAGACAACTGCCACGGCCCAGAGATACGATGTCAATAGTACGCAAGAAAATGAAAATGCAGATCAAGTTCAAGATCAACAAGACGAAGACATAACGACCCAGCCGTCTCTCTTACCCGCCGGCCTTGCGGAACTTGCCGCCGGGGAAAGTGATGCGATGGCCGTCCCAGTGCCTGACTCCCCGCTGGTTTCCCCGGAAGAGGATAGTTTCCTTGAAGACAGGGGCGGCGGGGAATCATTGGGTAATAAAAATCTCCCGACGTCGTCGTCGACCACGCTTGCGGGGGCAGTGGACCCAATATTCACTCCAGATGCGGAACGAGCAGACACAGCTGCTGCACCCACTACAACCGAGACTATGGAATGGAGTGAAAATGGTCGAAATAACATCGAGGAAGAACAAAACCAGCCAGCAGTCGTCGACGACGGCAACATCCCACTAGCAGAACTTTCCAAAGCGACGCAGGATGTGGAAATCTATACCTCTGATGCTGGCGAAGCTGGGGATGATTCAACAGCAGATTTTGTGGCAGACGCAAAAAATGAAAGTACTGCGGAACTACAAGCGGACGTAAAAAACGATGGGACTACATCAACTGCTGCTCCACCAGGAGCCGTCGAGCCACAAGCAGAACAGGTCGTTGGCGTCGACCCGAACGCACGTAAGAACTGGGCGGAAATTGTCCGGCGGAAATTCAAATTTGAAAAGCCTGGTACAAGAACTTCTAGGCTGAAGAAGCCAGATTTCAAATCCGTCGTGGACCAAAGACTCGCTTCGGCGTCACCGCGGGAGCGGTTGTCAGCGAAACGGGACAGGATGCGAAAGACACGCGGAACTGCGAATGTTGGAGAAGGGGGTGAGGATCCAGCAGCAGCAGCAGCTTCTCGTGGTGGAATTGCGGTCGGGGAGAACGAAACAAAGCTGGACCACCTGCAGCAAGACGAAGACAAAGGCGAACAGGCTGTATCTGCAACAGGAGATGATGATGAAACAAAGAACGACGTTGTTCTTCTTCAAAGTGACGCCGCCGAGTTGGTGAATGCGTTGGAGCAGGAGGTGGACAATGTGAAGCCAGAAATCAAGTCGACCCGGTTCTTATCCCTAGATCAAATGTTGACTCTCACCCGGAATCTGTGATGCGCAAATGCGTACATCAGTGCAAGCCATATTTTGCATTTCATGTGGGAACAGTTCCTCATCTGCATCTCAGAGGCAGCGCACAATAAAAATAAAACTTTGAAAATTCGTGGTTTCCGAATGTTAATAAAAATAAAATTTTGAAATTTCGCGGTCCCCGAACGTGAATAAAAATAAAATTTTGAAAATTCGCGTCGTCTGGCATCATCACAAGAGAAAAATGCGAGAAGTCCTAGACGAATAAAAATAAAATTTTAAACTTTCGTGGGTTTGTGTTGTCATTTGTTCGCCAAGGGATCCGGAGCAAACTGCGTTGCCGTGCTTCCGCATGCACAACTGCCGTTCGTCGGCCCCCGGGAAAATCGGCCCGCACTGAAAAGCACCCAGAGTGTCCCATCTACACTGGGTACCCAATCCATACTGGGACCCAGTGTGGATTGGGTACCCAATCCCTGGGTACCCAATTTACACCTTTCCACGGCAAGAAAGGTGTGGATTGGGTACCCAGTCCCGGGGTAGCCAATTTACACCNCTCATCCGAGACCACATTACCGCTATCTTTGGGTCGTTGCTGTGCAGGCTCGCCTGAAGATGTGGATGTACCAGCTGCACGACTATCTGCATTTCCAATTTCGCTTGTTTCTCCCTCTGCCTGAAAGTAGTCTTCATCCGTCGCAGTCACGGCGCGCACTGCGTCCGGCGATCCTTCGGAACTTGAGCCCCACTTCTCGTGCAACGGACTGGAGGTCGCCGGACTCAAAACCGCGTCGAGGTTGTATTGATTTTCGTTGTTTATGTTTTCTTTTTCAACATCAGCAAGGGTGGGAGTTTTGTCGACGTTCAGGTCTTGATGTTGGGTCTCCTCGCGAAGGTCCATGTTGTTCTTTACGTCTTCCACATCGTGCCCAACCAGGTGCTCCGCAGTGTCCAAATCAAACTGGACCTGGCTGGTTCTCTTGGAGAGGTATGCAGCTAGATAGAATGACCATCACCCTGCTCAATTCTTAATGCATACAATGCGCCCATCCACGACAGGGTACCCAATTTACACCTTTACACGGCAATAAAGGTGTGGATTGGGTACCCAATCGACGTCGATTGGGTACCCAATCCACACCTTTATTGCCGTGTAAAGGTGTAAATTGGGTACCCTGTCGTGGATGGGCGCATTGTATGCATTAAGAATTGAGCAGGGTGATGGTCATTCTATCTAGCTGCATACCTCTCCAAGAGAACCAGCCAGGTCCAGTTTGATTTGGACACTGCGGAGCACCTGGTTGGGCACGATGTGGAAGACGTAAAGAACAACATGGACCTTCGCGAGGAGACCCAACATCAAGACCTGAACGTCGACAAAACTCCCACCCTTGCTGATGTTGAAAAAGAAAACATAAACAACGAAAATCAATACAACCTCGACGCGGTTTTGAGTCCGGCGACCTCCAGTCCGTTGCACGAGAAGTGGGGCTCAAGTTCCGAAGGATCGCCGGACGCAGTGCGCGCCGTGACTGCGACGGATGAAGACTACTTTCAGGCAGAGGGAGAAACAAGCGAAATTGGAAATGCAGATAGTCGTGCAGCTGGTACATCCACATCTTCAGGCGAGCCTGCACAGCAACGACCCAAAGATAGCGGTAATGTGGTCTCGGATGAGGCGAACGACCAGAAAAATGCCGAGGAGCAAAATCCGCCAGATCATCCATTGACGCTCGGTGAAGAAGCACCACTACCAGAAACGGAGCAACAACTAATGGGGGAGCAAGAACAGATGCAAGAACCCCAAGAAACGCTTCAACAAGGGCAGTTCGAATACTCCACCGAGGGCGAGCATTTCTGCGAGCAGCTATTAGCCTCCTCAAGCATGCATTCGACGAGCAAAACGTCCTCTGCGGCGTCCTCGTTTGTGACAGCCGCTGCGGGAAGCAAGACGATTAGTAATGCGACAGAGAGGGTCAAGGACACGGTAGGACAAGAAGTAGAAGAACCTCATGTACTACAGCAGCACCAGCCCCCAACGCTCAGCGGCAGCGGCACCTACCTCTACTACAGAGACGCGGACCAAAGTCCGGAGCGCCGTTTCATGTTCTTCGGCGGCACGCGGAACGTGGACCACATGGGCAATTCTACTTTACCGCCAAACTACTGCCCGACGCCCTCGGAATCGAGCTGCAGCTTTAGTGGAAGGGTTAGTGGGAACAACGGTGGTAGTGCTGCCGGTGGTTCGCAGAATGTAAATGCAGCTGGCGATGAACTACATGCAGCCGTCGCATCTTCAAGACAGGGACAGCTCAATGCGCAAAGCAAAATCTCCACGCATTCCAACACATCATCCTCGTCTTCGTCCTCCGCCGGCTTGCACAACCTCGAGAACCCGCCTCGGGAGCGCGCGCTGTCGAACCAGTCTCGCGCGGAGTTCTTCATGATCTCGACGCCGCCGGCGCGAGGAACAAGTGAGGAATTGGTGGACGAGGTAGAAGATTTCGCCGAGGAGGGTGGTACTAGGAGTGCGGGTAGTTCCACTGGTGGAACCACGTCGAAGAAGATAAAGCACCGCACGAAAGTGTTCGGGAGAAACAGTACAGGAGCAACTCCCAACAACATAACAGCACCTGGCCGCGAGGAAGAACTTCTCGTGCACCACCAGGAAGAAGACCGGAGTTGGGAAGATTTCTACGGCGTTTCGCCCAAGAAGGGCTGTAGTGCTTCGAATGCCGATCCGCGATGCACAACAACCGGGCGATCTCCTGCTGGGGTCCTCGGGGGTCAACAGTTGCATCCCTGCACTGGTGGTGCGGCTACTATGGTGGACGCGGCCACCAGTCCTGATCACGAGTACCGAGAAGACGTAGGAGCGGGGTCCTCTTCATCGGCCTCTACTAGCTTCTCCGCAGGAGGAGTGTTAAGGTGGACGACGAAAGGAGGAGCGGGAGGAGAATCACAAGGAACAAATGCTGCACGAAGTAGTAGAAGAATTCCATCAGCTGCCATTCCCGCGCCAACGAAAGAAATGGATGTACAGGTGGATATGGACGAGCTGGGACAATTATCGCAGTCGCTACTCGAGAGCTCGTTCTTGAGCACGAGTACCGCGCGGAGAAGGAGGATAGATTTGGGGGTCAACGTAAAGCTTGACATCGACCCAAGGCTAGACATGGACCTGCACTCATTTCATTTGTGACCACATCATGCTGTGCCGTGTGGTGGTGACTCTTGTCGTCCGCAGCACCTTATGTTTTGCTAGTGCTAAATGAAATGATTCTATTCATGGGAGGGACAGTACGTCTGCCACTGCCCTACACGTACATCAACCACCGATTGCGACGTGTTTGTCTCATTGTCATTCCACACTTGCTTTTCGGAAGATGTTCTTCTCGGGGAAAACCAAGCTACGAAGAGGTCGTATCATCGGTTCCGCTTGTCTCGGGGAAAGTTACCGTTTTTTTATCCTCTTTCTTGTTGAGGCCTCTTGAGAGTTGTAGAAATTCCATACTAGCGCAACAACTCACTCCTGTGAGCGAAGGCAAGCACCGTTCGTTGAGCCTGCCTCTCTCTAAAGAGGGCTGGAAAGAAAGTAACACACATAATTACAACTCGCGCCAAGTATGTTGAAAATCCATTTGCGCTGTCTTTGCAGAAGGTATCCAGCGTGCCAGCTAAACGAGCGGAGGTAACTTCTTGTTCACATCTAACGTTCGTAAACATCGCAAGACTTTTGATCAGTAGGGACGAGAGATGAAAAATAGCGGTCGACCACGCAACCACAACCAGCCCCCGATCCAGGACGACAAGCGCGGCAATTATTCCAATGCGTTTCATCTACCGCCGAACCCGAATCGCTCCAGCCATCACAGTGCCTGTGCCCAGCGTGCTGCATGTGGCAATAAAATAAGTACTTTCACCGGTAGAAGGAATGAGTCCTTGGGGGATCATCTTGTTGCGCGAGACATTGTCCAGGTGAACCCGAGCGAAGCTGCGCAGTTTGTCACTCCGATGGCAACCAACAGTAGCAGGATTGAGCGGTCGGCAAAGAAGATGCCCGCGGCGCCAATCGCGGACCACAGGTACACTGATCACACATCAACACGAAGCAATTTGTCATGTTCTACAGAAGGATCCGATGCTTTTGTACTCGTGGTCGTTCTTCTGTGCACGGTGATGAGGTTTGACTTTAACCTCGCTGAAGAAAAGACAAGCTAAAGTAATTATAAAAGTTTTAACTTTCAATCTCTAATCACTGACCAGGTATGGAGGAAACAAGACGAAGACCATGGAAGATCATGCGCCGGGCCCGCGCCTGCAAAATTCCAATCTGAGCATGCAGTTCGCCCAGAAGAATCACCTGGCGATGGAACCGAAAAAGCTGCTGCCCAGCCGCCAGGAGGACAACTACGAACAGCAGGTGAAGCAGTTTGCGCAGCAGGAGCGCAAGAATGCTTCTGCAACCCAGCAGCATCTTCTTTTCCGCGAGCAACAAGCGAAGAACAACTACAACGAGCAACGGCGAATGGAAAACAATAGGAATCAATCCTCCAGAGGACCCGCGCTCCATCCGGGCCAGAATCCATTTGAACAGCAACAATCGTGGCAAGCCAGCTACGCGCCACCGCTGGGTTCTAGTACTTTTCGCACGCACAGTGCGCCGCCCGAAGTGATTTTGCAGGACAAGAAACCCGGCACCTACAAGAAGTTCTCAAAACCCGTGAAGACGCCCTTTGTGCGGCACACGAACAACGTGATCCAGAACCACGAGAAATCCTTGGCGCAAAGAAACTCCCACCGTCCGCGGAAGCACTTGCTGGACCATCCGCTGGTGCGCCCTTGGAAACCGAACATTGACAACCAGGGCAACTTCCATCCGAGCCACCGGAAGGAGCGGCCCTTGCCACGAGATCTGACGGGTGACAATTGGCAAGATGAAAACGAGGTTAACCAGTGCCAGCAGCACGCGCAAGCCTACTGTGAACACGCACTGGGGGTGCAGGCGAGCTACTACATCGAAGAATTAGGAGAAAACAACATGCACTCCGTCATTCTGCAGCTAAACTGGTTTGCCTGGCGGTTAGTGGACAACCTGTGCGGGGAAGTAGCAAAAAACGTAGAGTGCGGGAAAATGTGGATGGCAGCCATGAACCTGGCGATTTTGGAAAAGGAAAGCGATCTTCTGTACAATTACCCCCAGCAGAAACCAACACTGTCGGTTGCGCAGGCCCAGCAATTGCGGGGAAGCGGGGAGTTGACTACGGAGATGAAGCAACTGGCCGTGCAACAGTCGGGTCCGCAGAAGTACATTTTCGGAAAAGGATCAGTAATGACGGTGCCCGCGAATGCAACAACAAATCAACAGAAAACTGAAATGGAAACCAACAAAGCGAATAAAGGGATGCAAATAGGAGCGCCTGCTGTGAAACATCATCATGTTCCAGTTTCGTCTTCGTCATCTGCCGCGTTTCAGTTTCAGGGGAACAAAGGGCTGAACAACAAAACCGGTGGAACAATGCTGCACCAGTACACCAGTAATAAAGGCAAAAGCGATGTTCTTGTGCATGATCAAACGCAGCTCTCGTCTTCCGCACCTGGAAAGCAAGCAAATCAACCAAAAGCATCCGACGTTGCCGTTGGCCAGCACCAGGTGAAGCACCATCGGGAAGCAGCAGCACTGTCGTCCACCCACAACTACTACGCATCTCTCGATGAGGTCCTGAATAGCTTACGCACAGAACACGGCGTTGACAGCAACATGAAGCGGGCTTCTACAACAGTCAACAACACTGCCACGAGCGCATCGTCGACAAATCCACCAAGCAAAAAGAGCAAGACCGAGGAGGGGGACGGCGGCGGAGCATCTGGCGGCCTGCAACTGGTGGCCAGTAGCACAACTTCAGCCCGCCCCGAACCTCGTGAAGGTCAGAGCTGCAAGCCCACATCCACAGCAAATCCGACTTCTAGCCGGACCAGTACCACCAACGCTGGTTACCCGGGTACAACAAGTTACACGCGGGAAGAACGCGCGGCGATGGAGCAGGAATTGCAGGAACTGCACCAAGAAGTGACATTGCTGACGAATAATGCAGACGAGTTGGGGTGGGAGAAGATGGATCAGAAAATGCGAGAGAATGCGCGGAAGCAAAAGGAACTGCGTGCTAAGCTCGGTGCTGACGCGACCGGGGACGACTAGGAGGAGTCGCAGTCGTGATTTCCTCGGGTCTTGATTTCTTTAATTATGTCATGATCATGTATTGCGAAAACGATATAATAAAGAAAAGGTCGAATATTACCGGTATAGCTTTAGCTTGATTTTTTTGTCAAACGAAAACATTTCCACTACCACTACTCCACATACTAATCTTGTTTCGGGCGGTATGCGACCCCCGAATTGTTTCTTGCATTCTACCCTGATTAGACCTTAAGTAGATTCCAGCGTCATTGAGTAGAGTTTGTAAAATTGAGGAATGCCAAAGTTTGTGACGAGGTACCTAGCGGCAAAATGAAATTTTTTTTTATCTCTTCGACTCATAGCAATGTATTAGCACTGTGTGTCTATGATTGAAGTTGTGGCCATGTTGATCCAGTAACTTTCGATGCTGTTGCTGCCAGGGTTTGGATATTGCATAGATATTGTTTTGGGTTTGCAGCGGTTTCCCGGTCTCCAGAATAGGGTTTCATGTGTCTCTTTACATCTATTCTAAATCTGCTTGATTTTCCAACAGAGTATTCCACTTCATTGTTTGTCCGTTTGTTTCTTCTTGATCAATCTCAGTTTCCAATTGATTCATGTTCCACGTGCGGTAAAAACCTCAATTGAAATCTTCAATGCAGCTGCTGTATAAAAATGCGCTTGACCTACCAGTGACAAAGAAAAACATATTTTTTTACCTGTACACGGTGCCAGCAAAAAAGGTGAACAAAGTGGAACACACGGCAACGCCCTGGGGCGATTTTTCGTGTAGGATGAATTTTGGGAAGCAGGGTATTCAGATGGCGAATGTGAATGTGTGTTTTTCCTTCGTCGTTTCAAAACAGCGCTATGGAGATACCAAGCTTCTTCATTGTGAAGGATCAGGCGTTGCGCGTTTGTTGATGTTCTTAAACGACACGGCAGCGCGCCGACAATCGATCAAACCAGTAAAATAGGACTGATATTGTCTTCTCCGTGGTAGTGGATGCAGCGTTCGGTCGTTGTTGTGTCCTCTTCTCGTGCAGCTTCTATTCTCTCGCCGCGTCTTGGTGTTTCTTGATTTTGCTGCATCGTTGCGTTTGAAATCTGTGGAATATGACGAAGAAACGCAACAAGGGAGGCGGAAGCAAGTCTGGCGCCGGCGGAGGGTAAGACCTTTTTTCAGTTTACGAGTTGCTTCTAGATCTCATCTGTTTGGTTTTCTGTCGTGTTCCAACAAGATCGATAAGTACACTCCACCACGACTGCACAACAAACCAGGACGAAATCCGGGAATAAGAAGCCACGGCCTTCGACATCTCCGAGTCCACAAAAGAAGTCTTCAGAAGAGGCGGACCCAGCAGAGGCGCTCGCCATCGGACCTTCAAAATCGACTGATGTTTCAGTTTCCTCACCCACGACCATAGAAAGGGCCGCGGCGGACGGGGGCGCGCAGGCAACGGAAGAAAGGTCCGCTTTCAGCTCCTCTGCGACGGATCAGGATGGTCCCACTGCATCAAGTTGTGGTCTGGACAAAAAAACGAGTCCGGTCGGCGCGCAGCAGCCTGCTGCATCTCCGAAGAATGCAGCGTCGCAGCCATCTTCTACTTCGTTTAGCACGACCTCATCTACAACTACGTCCTCGCCAAGTAGTGCCGATCCACCTGTCGCCAAATCCCCGCCCAAGCGCTACGATGTGTTTTGGACGGAGGGGAGGAATTTTGGGTACCGCTGCCTCGGCTGGACCGCGGCGAACGGATTGCTCGGCTGGGCGGCCGCGCAACTGTCAAAGAAAACGAGGGAACTACAAGTAGCAAATTCACCGTTTATTTCCCTTTTCTCCCCAGTGACGAAAAGCTTGCACTACTTACCCACCAACACGATTCTCTCCACCCTCTCCGGCAGCTGCTGCGCGTTACAACTGTTTCTCAACATGTTTTCCGTCGGGTGCTTATCACGGGGAAAAGTGTTAACGTTAACGGAATTTGTGATGCAGTAATGCATCACAAAAGGCGCCCGAATTTCTCATGCATAGCATGCATATTGGGCAAAAATTGTCATGCGTGACTGCATTCTGTGAAAAAGAAAACCGTGAACGTTAACACTTTTGTGTTCGATAGTGCGCGGGCTTCAACACGGTGCTGGGACCGTGGCGCCCGTTTTTCCTGAGTCTGACGTTTTTGAGCCAGGGATTCGGGATGTACCAGGCGGCGGTGGTAAATCGAGACCTCGATCACGTGAAAAATGCAATGGTGTCGTCATTTCTCGCCCTGTCGCTAGCGTTTCTGCCGGAATTTGTGTTTTTTGTCAACAACGACGAAATCGTGCGGAAGATGAGTGTCGCGGGAGGTACTTGTGGCTGCTTAAAAATGGGGCGTTTTTTTGGTCGTGTGATGCTGGTAAAAGTAAGACGAAGAACATGATTTAAGTACAAGAACTGAACATGAACGTCAAGTACTACTCACTTCGAGTCATAATTGCGCGTCGATTTTTGTTGTTTGAACAACTTAGGGTCATCCCCATCGAGCGACGAAGCCGCGGGCAAAACCGTCCACTCCTTCTCCCCGGACCCGGACCGCGAGGCTATCATCGAGCTCCAGGTGGAGGGCATGGGCTGCGTCGCCTGTGTGAATGCCATTCGGGGTGCGATTGAAACCTCGAAACAAGTTCCGGTCAACAGAGTGCTGATTCAGCTGGAAAAAGGTTTGGTTACGGTGTTGTACTGGGAGGTGAAGCCGAAGGCGGTGCTGAAAAAGGACAAAAGTTGTCACGGGGTAGTGAATCAATCTTGTTCATCTCAGCAGTCCCAGCAGTCACTTTCCAAAGCGGACGACGACGAAATTGCGTTGTACCAGGTGGAGCGGGAGGCTCGGCGAAAAGCATTCGAAGCTGCGCTCGTCGAGTGCGTCGTCAGTGCGGGGTTCGACGCGCGCGTTATTTTGCCGGGCGAAGGAGCAAGATATGCGGAAACGGAGAAGAATGGAGGAGCTGTGGGGACAAATGTTGCAGCGACATCATTTTCTTCAGCGGCGATTTCCGCGTGTCCTCTGCCAGGAGCAAGGCACCCACAGGGCGGGAAGAAAGAAGCTGTTATGTCGGATGGTGGAACTACGGGGAAAGAAGCGGGCTCTTCTGGAGGACCCTCGGCCAGTGCTGAAGAAGCTGGCGCGAAACTCGGCGGATCATGACCATGAGGTGAATCTAGTATTTACTCAGTTCTTTTTGTTTTTTGCATCGCGGCAAAGGTCCGTAATCAACGTAGTGGAGCGGTTTTCCTTTTCTGGAACAAGTCCGTGCGCGGAAGTAATAAGAGTGAGGTAACAAATCAAATCCTTAAGTTACCGGGTAACATAGCGTCCGGCGGGCCGCCGGACGCAAAGTTACCCGGTTCCCAGCCGCCAGCCCCTTCCAGCGGATCGGACCGTTCCTGGCGGCTGGGAACCGGGTAACTTAGCGTCCGGCGGCCCGCCGGACGCTATGTTACCCGGTAACTTAAGGATTTGATTTGTTACCTCACTCTAACGGAAATATCTACTTCATTGCCTCTTAACTTATCTGCGCGGGGTGTATTTTCCCTGACAAAAACAGAGAAACAGAAGCGAAGGCTGTCTTAGCCTTTCTCGTTTTGTGGATTCAAATTTTCCTCAGTCGTGTACTACTCAGTAGTGGTTCTTGCATTGATAAAAACATAAAAAGCTTCACCAGGCATTCGCACTGAAGCAAACTCCCATGACGACAACTTCACCATCGGAGTTCTCAAATCGTGCTGTTCTAGACCTCCTAGAAAGTTTGTATTCACTTTCGTGAATGTATACCACGTAAAGAGAACATATACTAGATCTTGGCGATCAGAGATTTGAAACTGTTGCCCACCGCGATAAAAGAGATCTGAATTCACCGCGATCAAGTATTTTTCCGACGATCAATCGCTCTGCAACATTCTTACGAAGTCCACGAAGAAATCGACGCTTTTTCTCTGCTTGCCTTTTTGACAAGATTTTCGTTTCTTTTTTGATCTTCCAGCGAACTAAGTTACATTTTGACTTTTTTGATACCGATGTGTAGAAGAGGTACTATTTCGATTGTTACCGTTTCAATAACTTTAACTTGAACGTGAGCTGCGTGTCTCCTTTCTCCCCACTAAAAACTCATTTTCTACTTATTCCCGTAGCGACATTTTGAAAACAAAAACATCATGGAAGACCCCAACCGCAAGAATTTCCTGGAGAAGAAGATCGACAATGATCTGGCACCGGGTGGTCGCTCGCACGGGAAAACCGTGACCACGCGGTTCCCCCCGGAACCGAACGGGTATCTGCACATCGGGCACGCGAAGTCCATTCTGCTGAACTTCGGCTTGGCGAAAAAGTACGATGGGCAGTGCAACATGCGGTTTGACGACACAAACCCGGTGACTGAGGAAACGGAGTACGTGGAAAGCATACTACAGGACGTATTTTTTCACATATCTTCAAATAGTAGTTTTTGGTGCTGTCTTTTTCTTTCAGTTTCTGATATTCTGAAGCGAAGTTGCTGCAAAAATGTTCTTCTTTCGCACTATGCATAAAATCGAGCTCTACTCAACATCAAACGCAAACCGCTACCGCTGTCCCCATGAACAGGTCGAGTGGGTCTGCGAGGCACTGGAGCTTCCCTGGGTGAAGCACGGCGAGAAGCCATGGCGAGACAATTTGTTCTACGCGTCGGACTACTTTGACTTGATGTTTCAGTACGCCAAAGAGCTTATCGAAGTCGGCAAGGCCTACGTGGACTCCCAGACGCCCGAGGAGGTAAAAACCAGCCGCGAAAACGGGACCAACAGCCCCTTCCGAGAAAGGTCCGTGGCGGAAAACATGAAGCTCTTCGAAGAAATGCAGGAGGGAAAGCATCCAGAAGGTATAGGTTTCTTAAGCGTGCGCTCCTACATGATGGAAAGATCCATGAAACATGACACGAAGAGAACGAGAAGTCGATTGCAGCACGCCGACCTAAATACCATATGTTGCAACATGAAATTGAAAAATCTCTCAAACCGCATCTATCAACCAGGCACCCTGCTCCTCCGCGCGAAGATTGATATGCAGTCGCCGAATTTTAACCTTCGCGACCCGCCAATCTACCGGATTCGGTTTGCGGACCACCACCGCACGGGGTCGAAGTGGAAAGTCTACCCAATTTACGACTTCGCCCACGGCCAGGAGGACGCGATCGAGCACATCACGCACAGTATCTGCACGCTGGAGTTCGAGAACCACAACATTCTCTACCGCTGGTTCATCGAAAACATCCCCTCCATCCCGTCCCGACCGGAGCAGACGGAATTTGCTAGGTTGAATTTGGTTGGTGCGGTCACCTCGAAGCGGAAATTGCTTCGCTTGGTAAACGAAAAGCGAGTCATGGGCTGGGACGACCCGCGATTGATGACCATCTGCGGGCTCAGAAGAAGAGGAGTCAGGCCGCAAGGTATGTGGAGATGATGAAGTTCCCCGGATTTTTCAACGCTACTCTCGTTTAGCACTTGCTAGGAACCTGTCTTGGGTCCTTGTTATTTTCCAAATAAGACGCCGACCTTACAGAATTTGTTTTTTGATACAAAGCATCACATTTTTCTGATTTCCCCGCCCAGGTATCAAGCGTTTCTGCGACACGGTGGGCGTGACAAACACGGACAGCATGCAGAATATGGGTCTCTTAGAGGAGAGCATCCGGTTAGATTTAGACCCGATCTCCAGCCGCAGAATGGTGGTGCTAGACCCGTTGGAGGTGGAAGTCAAAACGTATTCCACTACGGAAACCATCCCGGACTGCGCCAGCCACCCGAGCGATAAATCCTTCGGCGCGCGGGCTTTGTCTTTCTCGAGCAAAATCTTCATTGACCGAGAAGACTTCCAGGAAAACGCACCCGCGGACTTCTACCGCTTCTCGAAAGTCGGGGGCGAGGTATTGGATTTGAAACATGATCTGTTTTTTCACATCATACTTGTAAAGTACAACATGCAACATATTATGACATTGTTAAGGGTAAGAGAGGGAATCAGACTTAGTGAACGGAATCAGACTAATGGAATCAGGCTACAAGTGGAAGCAGTATAGTAGAATCAGAATAATGAGTAGAATCAAGATACTAGAATCAAGCTTGTGGATAGAATCAGGAGCAGCGGACTCTGAGTACGTCGACGAATGTGGTGGCCGCGCGCTCTCTATCGTATGCGTCCGAAATACTCTCTCCCTGCAGGCATCGCTTTGGTCCATCATGTTTTGCAGCTCCAACTGGTCGCGTTGGTCTCCTTGCAACTTCGCCCGCAGTTCTTGCATGCTGTGCGTTGCGTTTCTACTTGGGGACCTGGCTTGCATGTTGGGTATGTGTGTCTGCGTAGCTGCTTCCGTTCACTCCTCAGCGTCCACATTAAGACACGCGCCAGCAATTTGCTGTTGGCGATCCCGGTTGACAAAGTGACATCTGAAGTAGTCAAAAAAATAAAAAGCTCAACGCTTAGAAAGATAAAAGCCGACTATAGAAAAGAGACGCTAGAACTGCGCCCATCTACTGCTCTCTGCCTCGTGCTACTTCTCTGCGCTCCTTCTTCGCGGCGGTGCTTCTAGGTTGCAACAGAAAAGCGCGCAAAAGCGCGATGCTTTGTGGGGGCGAAATTGCCGGACTTCAACGAAAAAAGGCTTTTTTTTGCGATTTTTGTTGAAAAATAGGGGGGGAACTCTCGCAAATTTCCAAAAATCGGCTTCGTTTTTCGTGTTTTTACTTGGGGAAATCCGGCCGAGACAGGCCGAGGGCGATGGTAAGCGCCTCCTCGGTCTGTACTGCGCAGAAGCGCGGCGCTATATATGTTCCGCGGCCGCCGCAGTCGATGCTTGCCATCCCGCCCTGCCTATCCTGGTCTGTCCCCCCGCGCTCCGCCCCGGCTACGATTTGGAGCTGCGCCCAAGGCCTTGCGCACCGACTGACAGACCAGGCGGCCCCCCCCGCCCGTTCGGTGGGCCGCCTAGAAAGTTGCGCCCGCAGGTACATCGCCGCACGGCCCGGGGCCGTCGGTGCTTCGATTTTTGGGTGGGGCGACTCCACTCGCGTTTCAAGTGGTCGGGGCCGCAGTGGCGCAGATGCTTGCATGCATGTGAGTGTCGGCTGGGACTGCCCTGCGCCCGCCCCCAGGCGCCGCCTCCCGACCTAGGGGCAGCCAGCTTCCCGAGGGCGCAGCCATCTGTATGTCGCAGCAGGGCGGGTCCCGTAGGCTAGCGACCTGGCGCTGCCAATGCCTAGGGGCGAGGCCTGCCGGCGGCGAGGCTGTCTTCCCGGTCTCTGTCCGCCTGTGAGCAGCGCCTCCCGGCACGGGCGGTGGCGCCTCGCACTGCCTGGATTCTTTGATTATGGGAGGCACCTCCCACCCTCCCCTTTCTCATACTCGCGCAGGGGAGTATGAAAGGTGTCGAGGTGTGTGCTCGTGTGGGGGGGGGGGAACGAAGACTCGCCCCAGCGAATGGTGGGCGCGGGGCTTGTCGGGCGAGTGTTTGGCATGTGCAGGCATGTTGGCCGTTTTTCCGTGGCTCCCTCTGCGTTTTCCCAGCAGCCGACCGTGCGCGGGCGCAAGCAAAGCACGGACTGGATAGCGCAGCACTAGCCTGATTCCACTAGTCTGATTCCACTGGCAAAGCTGATCCCATTATGCCGATTCGATACCTTAGCCGGATTCCATTGGCCTGATTCCATAAATAAGTCTGATTCCGTAAATCCTTTAGTCTGATACCATCGACGACCTTTGTTAAGCGTGAGCTGAACAACCTCGAAAACTTCCATTAAATTCCCACCTTATCAGGTCAAACTCCGTTTTTCCTACGTCATTAAGCTGGAGGACATAATCCGGGATCCCAAAACCAACAAAGTGACAAAGCTCGTCTGTTCGCACGACCCGGCCACACGGGACAGCATGCCGACGGATCGGAAAGTGCTATCGAAGGAAAAAGCTGTGTTAGTGTAGGTCTCTTGGGAAAACAGCATGAGAAGTTTGTCTGCCATGACAGGAAAAACTTGTCATGCGCAGATAGGACGGGAAAAGAAACACGTAGGAAGCGAGCCTACCATGCATGTGGGGCATGACAAACGTAAGGGCTTTGCATTTTCTGCATCACAGAGTTCTTACACTAACAACGTTTTTTTCTTGGATAGGTGAAGGGCATTATCCACTGGGTCGACGGCAGCACTGCGGTGAACTGCGAGGTACGGCTGATCAACCAGCTGTTCAACGAGTTTCCCAAGGAAGGCGACTACGACATGATGGACTTTTTGAACCCGGAGAGCTTGCAACGATTCGCAAACGCGAAGGCCGAACGCGCTTTAAAAGACGAGGTGTTCGAGGCCAACAAATTTTCCGTGAAGCGCTACCAGTTCGAAAGAAAAGGCTTCTACTGCAGCGACCGGGACAGCAGCGCGGAGAAATTGGTGTTCAACCGGATCGTGCAGCTCAAGGAAAGCGCGTACTTGAATTATAGATTGCGGTTTCTCATTTATCATTTTGATTGCGTTCAGCATCTCCATCTCAAATTGCTCCACTAGTGGGATTTTAGCATGAGAAGTCCAGCTGTTGTCAAACTGAAATGTTAATAGTACTATGTACAACTACAAAACTATCGCAGCGTGGTGAAGAACATGCAGGACAGCAACCAGGGTTCCCGCAAGGAGGAGCAGGAGCGCCAAAAGGCCGAGAAGGACCGGCTCCGAAAAATCGCACCGACGGAGCTGTTCAAGCAGGGCGAACACGAGGGGAAGTACAGCAAGTTCGACGACAAGGGCCTCCCGACCCACGACGCCGAAGACGCGGAGCTGACGAAAAGCATGCGGAAAAAACTGCAGAAAGAGTGGGAAAAGCAGGACAAACTGCACCAAGCCTACCTGAAAGAGGTCGCCGGGGCATAAGGAGCTTATTTGCTGGTGTGGTACTAGCTAAGCATCCGATGCTGTCGCTGGTGGGAGAGCAAATGACGCGTTGTGTCGAGACCGTAGAGTGCCGCGCAGGAAGACAAGGAGCAGCCGCACAACTCGCGGCACAACTACCAGTTACCAAGTAAATGAAAAGAACAGCACAACTGGCACTTCGCAGTCATCGTGCTGTGTGCGCGGCTGCACTTCGCGACAGTAGATGAGTTGTACCCGCTCCCGCTCTCAAGACACAAAATGACTGACGCACCCTTGCTGCGAGCAGAACTACGCATCGACAGCATGCTTTATTGACCACTCAGTACTGTCTATCAAGTATCAACGCAAAAATAGCAGGAAAAAAACCTGAAGCAGATACAACTATCAAGAAAGCGTCGTGGCCAAGGCCATCGCTGCTGCGCAATGAACGTCGTGAAGACTCCTGCTCCATTACGTAGGTACAGATGTTGTGCAAACCTGGGCTATTATCATCGATCACCATCGTCTTCGTCGCAGTCGTACTAAGTCAGAAATTCCTCGGTCGTCTGTCATCTAAGTAGCGCAGTAGAACCCGCAAACAAGGTTCAATTATCGTGATCGTTCAATTCGTCAGGGACATCATCATTGTCGTTGTTGTCGGTTTTCCACGTCGGTCATAGTCAATCATCTTCGTTATTTCAGCTCTATTACAACGGTTTGATATGCGAAAGTTTAAGTCGAACAAGTGTCAGTACGCGAAATAAACGGAAACCTTTTTCGTATTCCAGTAGTATCGCAAGAAAGACATGCAAGATTTCTTTTTCTTTTTTCGGAAGCATGACCTGCTCCCGCACCGGGATGAATATCAAAAAAATGGGGGACTCAGAAGTACCTAGCGAACAATTACACCTCTCCTTGTTTTCCTGACCACACGAGCACGACCGGTCGTTGTCTCGCAGAAAGCATTAAGATCAAGATGCCACGGCACAGCACGAGGTGGGACACCATTGCCCTCTGGGTGTGCAACGGGTTGCTCAGTTTGTCAACTCCGTACCTGCTCTACACCATCGCCCACGACACCGCCCTGTTTCGCGCCGGGACCAACAGCCTGGAAGGGTGGACGCAGGAGATTGGGGAGTGGTTCGATAGTGTGAGAAAAAGCGGGTTTTCTTTCATCCGGGCTGCAGTTGCGGGAGGACAGCTGGAAGATGATGAAGAAGATGATATTATCGACGACGAAAATCTGGAGATTTTTTGGTATGTGAACAAGACGCACCTGATTTTCACACCGAGTCCCCCCGACGATGTCATCGCACTGCCCTACCCGCCGCCGCCGGGACTCGTGCGGCCCGAGGACGTGCCGACCTGGAAGGAGCTCGCGGAAAAGCACGGGCTGCGGTCCAGGGAAAGGCGAGCAAAAGCGGCTGCAGCGGGGGCAGGAACAAGTGGGGGAAGAAGCAAGGTGCAAATGAAGAACGGGAATAAAATTGTTCCCGCCGCATCTTCTCGAAGCAGCACCAGCCAGCAGACAAAAAGGCCACCCCCGCTATCCCGGAACAAGATGAATAAGAAAAGGAGAACCTCCGCGCGGACCCCAGCCCTGGCGCATAATACCTGGGCGTTGACGAACTTCATTCGCAGCAGTTTTGGGATGGAGCCCCGATTTGATACATCAGAGTCGCTGCTGGAGCAGGAACATGCAGCGGACCAGATCAGCGACGCCGCCCGGTACATGGTTTCGCAGCAAAACCTGTACCTGCTGATCACGCTGCAGTTCTGGATTTTCTCGTCGCTGCTGGACTACGCCCCGTGGTTCTTCAACCACCTGCGGGTGCGGTTGGCAGCCTGGTACACGAAAAACAAAATGCCGGCAGACGCATTCGACACGCTGTGGGGACGGATCGAGGTATTACTTAGTTTTGCAACTGCTCCTCATCACGTATTAAAGAGCGATCATCATGCTGATTCACATTCAGGTTACAATTACTGCATAAGAACGGGCTTTTGCACGACATGTCCATGCATGTTCGACCCACCATCGCAAAACTGCAGTTCACAAAGCGTTTGGTTGTGATAACTTCCGGAGGCTATTGGTTGCTACTCGCGTGGGAAAACTTTGCAGTGGTCTTCGAGCAGGCCAGCATTCACGCAATTCACATCATCTTCTACGCGATGGTGTGTCACCTGCACTTGCTTTGCCAAGCCGCGGGCATGCGCGTTGAGGTACGGAGACCGGCGTAGGGGGATAAAATATGTTTGTGCTATTGCGACGGCACAACAACTGACTAACTTACTACTTACCTCGTCCTGCAAGAAATTAAGTTAAACAACTTGTTTGAAGAAAATTACACGTATGTACACAACACTTGCGCGGCTTTGATATGTTTGCTTTTCATCGCACCGAGTTTGTTGGAATTTACGAAGAAGTATGGCTGCTGTATACAAAACAACATCAAAGCATATTTATAATCCATATCCTCTCAACAAAACTCGATTTGAAATTGATCTTTTGACGTTTGCGTTACCGGTTTTCGTTTACATGCGTTTCCATTACCATGATTTCGAATCGATACATAGCTGCATTTTTGTACAAAAATAAATTGAGTATGAGTTGCAGTCTCGCCAAGGCGTGACGCGGAGAACAGCACCTGAAGAACAAGAAGAAGTCAAAACGTTGTTTTTTTGTATAATTGCAAAAATGAACAACAACTACAGGATCTTAGCCCATTTATTATGTTGGTCTCGAGGAGCGATCTTGGCTTGTTTTTTTCTGATTTTATTCAGGAGATGCGCCAGGTCGCCCGTGTAGCCACACACGGACATCATGTTTGTGAGCAGGTAAAGCATAGTATATACGCAAAATAATCACACGACTTCTTGATCCGGCATGAAAATGAATAAAATGTCTGCGGATCATCAAAGGCAAGAGTTGTAGGTCAGAAACAGAAATTGCAGTCTCCTCCAGATCAGCAGTGGTACCTTGATTTGGTACTGAAGAGCGGAGTAGAAGATCTGATCCTTGCAAGTTCAAAATCATGGACCCAAAAATATTGTTGTCGGAATCACTACTGCTCGGATCATATCAGATCTACGAAGATGATCATATTTTTACGTATTTTTCTTTATCAATTTTAGCAACCAACAGGAGGAGAGCAGGCGTGAGACTTAACCTTAAGTGATTGCTATTGTCGTAAGAAACTATACAGAACCTTTCTCAGTAGATTATTTTCGGAAGCGCAAGCGCATCCGTCCCTGTTGGATTTTTCTATGTCACTGATAGATACTCATGGCTAGAAAATCATGGTAAAACTCGTGAAGAAAATGAAACAGCGAACGACCGCTGCGGGCACAGGCGGCAAGAGGAAGAAGGTGATGAAAAAGATAAAGGGGAAGCGAAAGCAAGAGCCCCTCCAGGCGCTTACGGACGAGACAAGAACAAATTCAGTTGAAGGGAAGCCGGCAGACGGCGGCGCGAGCGACGCTGAAGCCGAAAATGACGAGACTTCCATCGGCAATGACAGCGAAGATGCAGCTAGCCAGGAGGACGAAAGAACACGAGTAGAACTGAAGCAACTAGAACCAGAAAATGAAAATGACATCAGCGACGGGCAGCAAGAGGAAAAGAACGAGCAACACGTGCGTGAAAATGACGAGGACTCCACCCTGAAAGAACAAGTAAAAACGAACGACAACGCCCTTGCCCTCCAAAAATACGACGCTGAGAAGATCCAGCGGTTCACCGATTTCAGCTTCTTACCGGCCTGGGCGGCGGACGGGCTGACCCACATGAATCTGTTTTACCCGACGACCATTCAAAAACTCGCGCTGCCCTTGTGCGTGGAGAGAAAAAACGTGATCGGGAACGCCAAAACCGGTACGGGGAAGACCCTGTGCTACGCGCTCCCGACCTTGTTGCAACTCTCCAAAGACCCCTTCGGCGTGTTCGCCTTGGTGCTTTCCCCGGTGAGAGAGCTCTGTTTCCAGATCGCGGACGTGTTCGAGGCACTGGGGAAGCCGGTCCGCGCGAGTTGTCTGGTCGTGGTGGGTATGGATTGCAAAAATGTCTGGGTCTGGAAACTTGTAATGCTTCAAGTGAATGATAGACGCACTGCAATACGCAACTATGCATGACAAATTTTTTGGCTGCCATGTCTTACGTATTCCGCATGGCAAAGTGTGTTTTCGCATGCCAGGTAAGAGGGCTTTTTCCTGCCTATGCAACACAGATTCTCGAGTCATGCCAGACAAGCATGACAAACCTGCACTCTTCCAGGCCCAGACATTTTTGCATTTGATAGTAGGCGGGCGGGACATGCACTCGCAGGTGGAAAAACTCTCCACGGCCGCGCCGCACATCGTGGTCGCGACGCCGGGGCGTCTGGCGGACTTTTTCGAGGAACACAGCCTAGTCAAAAATGCTTTCACTCGGCTGCAGGTGCTCATCGTCGACGAGGCGGATCGGATTTTCCACCCGAATTTCGACCAGGAATTGGCAACCATCATGCAGAACATTCCGGCGAAGTCGAAGCGCCAGACGATGCTGTTTTCCGCAACAGTGACGGAAAATCTGAAGCAGTTGTGGCACCAGTCGACGAGAGGACAGAACGTTCTTGGAGAAACGACGGAACAAGGTTCATCTCTAAAAATGCACAGTGATCATGCAGGACAAGCCTCAAGAAGTACAACAAGTTCTATCGACCACCGGCGCTACTATTTTCTGGACGCGATTGCGCAGGAAACGCAGACGACGCCGAACTTGCTCGAGCAGGCGTACCTGTTCGTGCCGCCGCAGGCGAAGTTCTGCTACTTGTACTATCTGTTGACGGTGGACCCGGAGGTCCGAAACGAGTCCGTGATTATCTTTTGCTCTTCCATCGAAACCTGCCAACGGGTGCAGACCACCTTAGAGTACGGTTTGAAGCTCCAGAACACCCAGTGTCTCCATTCCCTGCAGAGTCAGCGGCTCCGGCTGGTCAGCATGCTTAAGTTCAAATCCGCCTGCAGCGCGCGGGAAATCACGCGGGCGAGGAGTTGTACTACAACGGGGGGGAAAAATAGCCAGAGTAAATTATCGTTAAAGGAGGTCCGGAAGGAAGCGGAAAAGCGGGATCGGAAAATGGCGTCCGGGAATAATAAACAAGGAGGTTCTTCGTCGGCTTCCTCCAGCAAGGGAAAGAAGGGATCATCGGCCTCCAGTTCTAGCACAGCAGGAGACTCCGACGCCACCAGCTCGCGTGTCATCCTCGTTGCAACAGACGTGGCGGCCCGCGGTCTGGACATCCCCTCCGTGGGCGTGGTGATCAACTACGACCTACCGTTAGATCCCGCGGAGTACATCCACCGCGTCGGGCGAACGGCCCGCGGCAGCAACAGCACCGGCCTGGCGATTTCCTTTGTCACCAACGGAAACGACGTCGAAAAGCTGCACAGCATCGAAACCCGTGTGGGCGCGAAACTGCCGGCGTACCGGGGAAGGGAGGAAGTAGAGAAGGGGAAGGAGAGTACAAAGGGAGACGAACAGCAAGACTTGCTTTCCGCACCCCTCGGAACAAATACAAATACGTCGTCGTCAAGAACATCAACATCATCTGCAGGAAATGCAAACAACAACAAAAAGACCACGCTGCGAGATTCGGAAACCGGGGCTAGTCTAGCATTGGTACACAAAGCCAACCGCGAGTCGCTGGACGACGAGGAGGTGTTAAGGTGTTTGAACAAAGCGACGAAGGGATGGCAGAAAGCGAGTTTGCTGCTCGAGGAGGTGGGGTTTCAGGACAAACTGGACGAACACAAAAGCCGCAAACTCGCTGCAGCCGCGGAAAGGACGACGGCGGGCTAGAGATTGATGATGGTAAAGACACTTGCGTTGTGATCAAAAATTTCGCACTCGCGACACGACCTTTTTCCGAATTGCAACTTCCGTTCATCCACCCACGTTAAATGCATTTATTAATCGCATCTGCTTCTGCACCATCAACATCATGGATGTTTATGTTGATGTTATCGTGAATTTCCGAAAGCGAAACGACCGCAGCCTCGGTACAAAGAGTGAATGCGAAGGTAAGTTGCAGAAGATCTAAAAAAAGATTCAGACCCAGTGTTCGCCCGGTTCGTACAAGGATGTGCGAAATGAATTTGAATACGAATTGATAAAGACCGGCCGCCGTCATGAGCTCCTCACTCTTTCACGTCCGGCGACGCACATCGATCTCAGATGAACTGCAATCGTCGGAAGTTGTGGATCCAGATCTTCACAAGTTAGTATAATTTTTTTTTCGTCTGGAGGCAGCCGTTTGACGGAAGACACAAGAAAAAATCTTGAAGTCCACTTTTTAAGTCTTAAGCAGCACAACTGCGTTTTCAGTTCTTCCGCCTTTTTGGCAAAATAAATTTTGCGTAGTGCAATAAACGATCGCAATAACGAAAGGCCGACTTAGATAGATTTAGAGGACTGAAAGTACTCAAATAAACATTGCCGCAAACTTCTCGATAGCGAAATTGTAATTGCAGTCAAGTGAGTACTAGTTCAAAGCGGAACATAGACATACATAACTAAGTGGACGAGCGCCTGCTTGTAGGGCTAGAATATTTATTTCCTTCTATCACCGTCCGAATTCAAATTCATGACACTATTACGCCTCGTGCACGTGCACGTGCTAACATCTGATCGTATAGTCTGCTGATGAGAATAATGGCCAAGAAGATGAATACCCGACGGAGTGACCACGACAAGAAAACCTAAAACCAGTAGTACACGAGAAACATGCGAAGATCTTCGAATTGGCTGGGCTACTTCCTTGTAGCGCCTTTATTCCTCGAGCCGAGTATAATTTTCTTGCAACAGGATTTTAATTGGCACTTTTTCTATCTGTCGAGCCTCGCACGGCGCTCTGAAGCAGGCGGGGAGAAGAATACTAACCAGCAGCAGTACGTGCCGAGCTTCTACGCTCCCCTGCGCCTGAGTCGAGGGCATCGGATTTTACGAACGGAGAACAATGTCAAACACGAATTGGAGCACCAGCTCGGACCACGATCGCAAGGGGTGACGAAGCAAGAGCAACAAGAATGCTCAGGAGCTGCGAGTAGAACGGGTTCTACTCCTGCTAGCAAGAATGGCAGCAGCCCGGCAGGGGTCCCTAGCCCTCCGAAGCCGAAGCGGAAGCCTTCGAAGGACAGCGTTAGTTTTGCTGCGAACCTGGTCGAGGAAGAAATCAGGTTCAAATCCGGAGAAGATGAGTTGTATGACGGCGATAATTTCTACGGTTCATCTGAGGACTACTATCACAACGACGGAGAACTACAAAGACGCGGGTCGTCGAAGGACTCGTGCGGGAGCAGTGGCGGAGAAAGCTGCTACGACTACAGGAAGCCGCCAAGACCGCCTAGGCCCCCGAGGACGATACTGTCGATGTGCAAAACAAGGCGATACGAGCGTGGTTTGATGGGGCGACAACCGTCGTCGAGTCGTGAGGGAAGCCCGGTTGTGGTGGGGTATAATTCCTGTTCCGAGCGAACAAGCGCCGATTATGAACAACCTGAACAATGTACTGGTTCCGCAGAAGGCACTAAAGGTCGTTCGGACGCGAAAGCGCACGCCCGGGGTGCAATAGCCGGACTCGCCCGACCGGGCCTGCCGCGCAGCTCCAAGAGTTGTTCTACCGAGGAGGACTTCTCGCCCAAGATAACCGCACGCACGGCTGCGGTATACGACTGTTTGACCGCGGCGGGCGCCGTCGTGGAACTCCGGACCACGAGCTCCGCGCCGAGTCTCGACCTGCAGCAATCCAACTTTATTTCCGAGAGCCCCCGCATAATTACAGCAGCAAGCCGCACTCGGCAATCGCGTGAGACCTCCCCGGCCGCGCAGCGACACCATCACCAGCCCAGTGCACTGCCGCCGCCCGCAAAGCCCGCGCCGCCTACGCGTCCCCGGCGCTCTTCGTCGGTGCAGGCGCTACTACAGTCCCGTAGCGTGGTCACCTGCCCGAGCGTTCTGGAGGGGATGCGGGGGAACGCCAGCCAGGAGTCCTCGCAAGGGAGCAAGAAGCAGCAACTTTTGATAGCTGGTGCTTCACCGCCATCTAGGGTAGGAAATAACAAGTTGAAGCAGAGCAAGGCCCTGCCACTGGATCAGCTTTCGCTTGCTGCTGCCAGCCTGTCGCCGCTGATCGCCAGTCCTGGGCGGGTTACCAGCAGGACGAGTGGAGGGGGAAGTAAAGACAAAACTGGCACTGGTGTAGGTACTAGTCCTAGTGTAGTCCTCAGCTCGACGTCGCATACTAGTTGCACTTCTTCTGGAGTAGTACCACAACCAGCCACGAACCCTGGAAGCAAAGAGGAGAAAGGCACTACTATCTGTGACCACGGTGGCGGAGATCCTGATCCTGTGAGCACAGCAGCAGGCGACCCAGGATCTTCTTCACTGAACGCTCCTTCAACTACATCAGCACAGCAACCACACAAGTGTCGCTTTACCGGGCACCGTCCGCGACCAGTCTGCACTGGCGTTCCGATTTCTCCCGTCGTGGGTTGTACTACTAGCTACTTGGGCGGCCCGGCGGCGGCGGCGCAACTGACTCAACTTCCACAGCCCGCACAACTGAACGGCCGCGCCAACCCAATTCCAAGTTACATCGGCTCTGCCGAGACGCCGAGTCCAACCTTCCTTCGCCCCTCCTCGTCTCCAACGAGAGGGAGTCCAAAGAGCAGAGGTGGAAAGATGAAATGCGACAAGGGAGAGCGCAACGCGTTTATGATGCTGGATGGAGAGGAAGGAACACCAACATCCTGTATTAACTACTACGGGAACAAACAACCCGAACCTGCCCCACGCCCCGGGACAGCGCTAGTAGTATCCCCGGTCGGCAATCCCGGTCCGCATAATTCTTCACTGGTGGAACAGCAAGCTCTGCAGCAATTCGGTTACAACAGCCAAAACGGCGGGAGCAAGCACATGATCCGCGCGATACCCAGCAAGCCTGGAGCTGCCCTTGGACAGATCACGCACGACCCTCAGTATCCCTCGAATGTAGTTTTTGACCAGCACCACAGTAGCACTACCGCTAGTTCTTCGTCCTGCGCAACACCAGCAGCTCCACCCGGCGGTGGTCCTCCAACTCCGCCCAGCACGCGGGGGATGAAGTCGTCGTCTCTGTTTCCACTATCTTTCGCACCGGTCAACATGGTCCAGCACTTGGTCGCGCAGTGCACTGGGTCGGGATCGTCGCCCACCGCGGCCGCTCGTTACCGAGAACAACAGCGAACCGCTTTCCCCGCGCTCGAGGAGGGCAACTTTCCTCTTAGTAGTCCGTCAGCAGCGCATGCACTAGCACATGCACAATTATGTGGTGCTGCGCAAAACCAGCACCACCAGCCGCCTCAACCGCCGTTGCGGGGCATGAGCCTGACTGTGCCGTCGCCCCCTTCACCAGCAGCTATCACGCGGCGAGGTAGTTCTGTAGAAAACCAGAGTGGTGGTCAAAATAAAAGCGGATCCTCCTCTCCAGGTCCATCAACCGGCAGTCCTACACGAGGACCTCTGAGTTGTGGTGGTGGTGCCAAGAGTAGTACGTCATCAAACCCGCAGTCACCCACTTTCTTTCCGCCCGGTGGAAATCATGCGTCGTCGCCGCTGTGTGGACCGGTAGTTGCCGTTGGGTCGTCCCCCGCCAATGGCGGACGGTGGACGGGCACGGGCTGTGCTCGTGAAGCAGCATCTTCCTCATCCCCCTCGGGAAGCGGTGCGAGGAGCCCTGGTTGTACAAGCGGCGGGCGGCCGCTCGGGTTTGACTCGTCCAGTGGTTGTCAGGCCGGCGCGACCCCGTTCCCAAACACCCCGCCCTGGAGCCGCTTCTCAGAGCACTGAGCAGGGGGTAGTTCGGTTGGTTGAGAAGAAGGGGAGGGGAGAGAGAATGAACTTGTCCTCCAGGAGGACCGGGGCCTAATTAATAAGTGGCGCACTGCCACTGCGTCGTGTGCACCATGGTGCACACAAAATATTTCAGTTCTTGTAGGAGTACCGCGTCCGAGAGCCTGAGCAAACAGAAAGACCACCATGACAAGCAGTGAGGCATTATATCGTTTAGAATTCTACTTCAATATCGACGGTTGCCGGGCGGACGACCGTTGGCGGTGGCAGGGTCGTGCCGCACGCGTCGACAGGGACAGCTTCGAACTGCATGAATCAAGATGTATGATTTGCTATGTGGACAAAAATAGAAAAATTGAATATTGACATACTTCACGAAGAAATAGCAATTGCAATTGGAATTGCGTATCAATCCTAATAATGTTAAAGAATGGAAGTCAAAATGGCATATACAACTAGACAGGGCGAGTAAACAAGCTGGAGCATTATACTTGAGCCGGCTCCACCACCGTCATACTGCAACCACACGTAATTCGAATGTGAAAGATGGTCGCAATGACCTTCCACTTCCTTTATGCAATATTCCTGGGCAGAGGAAAAGACAAAGAGCCCCATGAAAATTATATCTTGTGCAGCTATTGTTCTAGAGGCGGCGCTGTCACAATAGACCTCTACCTGCAGCACTACAACCGTGCTTTTTCTACTGAAGATATTGAGCATGATGATGAGCTTCAGTGGAAATTTTTCACGAGCCTTAATTGACACTGGAAATAGATTTTCACAATTTTTCCGAAATACTTTACAACTTGAGCCTGCGAAATGCCACCAACAATAACAAAGCTTGTACACGTGATTTAGTATAAAAGAAGTCAGAAAAAAAAAAAATCATCTCCATCACACAGCTGGAGGCAAACGCAAATGCCCTCGTGTTTGGTGCTACTCTTCATCTATTTGTGCCTTCGTGCATTCCCATTACTTTCAGCAACATACCTCCGCTAACGTCTTCATCGTAGGTACCTTCCACCTGTGATTGTCGTATATCGATGCAAGAGCCGCGTGCGCGTAGTGCTTGTTTTTGACTCGTCGTCATTTCTGCTTTATTCGTGTCGTGCACTTACTCGGTCTTACCATCGTTCTGTTGATGCGCGTGCGTGTTGTCCTATGTTTCGTACTCGTTCACGTGCTATTTTGCACTCAATTGACGTCGTGCCCTCGCGGAATGCATTTTTCTTAAAGCTGACCAGAAAGCCAAGCGTCCTGGTTTTTTCTTTTTCGTTGCAGGGCCATGTTTTAGTAAAAGCGAACACCCATCATGTTTATGTACAACGAATATGTTGATGGATAGCATATAATTGCGGTCCATTTTATTCATCCCCGGCTAGACTTAGAAGTTACGTGTACTAGTACCCTTCTACGAAGCCAGAGGCTTCTAGTAGCTGATTATATTGGAGCTTAGTTACGACCAGCAACCGCAAAATTAGAATCAGCACCGGCGAAGGCGGCGCAAAGAACAGTCGCTGCTGCACTCGCAGTGCTTTCCGCAGTTCGAAGATGAAGCGAGGTTTTTTCTGGGCTAGTATGAATCACCTTCAGCTTCATATCATCATCTCCCAAAGTGCGCTTTTTCAAGAGCTTTGCTTTCCGAATATGCGTTCTGCTTTTATCGGCTATCACGCGACTGTCTCCGCGTTTCGCGTTGAGGTCAAGAAGGAGATGAACACGGGTAAGGAAAATGATAAGAAAAATTCCGCACACGAGGACCACAGTCACCATCAACAAGAAGAACGGCACCAGAAAATAAATAAACACTCCGCGGAACAACACGAGGCTAGCACAAAAACAAGTGAAAAGGCATCCACTAGATCCCACTCCGCACAAGAACCACAGGACTGGCAGAATGAGCCTTGGCAAGCGCACATGAACTACGTCTACGAGCACCAATGCGAAACTGCGACCGACGTCGAAATCCTGAGCCAAGATCCGCGGGTGTTCAAGCCCACAGATGATCACGCCGCCTCCCCAACAATCATTTCCAGCCGAGAATGTAGACAGCAGTGCCAAAGAACGCCCGGGTGCGTCGGCTGGCACTTTTTTGAAAAGGGCGCGAAAGTGCACCACTGGACGGCGGATCTCGTTGCCCTGACACGAAGGAGCGCAGATTCATCCACTGCGTACGACTCCGGCGACGCGGTGATCGCGGAGTTCCTGGGTGAAGACACCTTCGACCTCGCGACCGAGGCGCAGTGTCGGTTTTTGCCGTCGTCAGAAAAGTATCCTCTGCAAAAGTATCGTACTCGTATTGCAATCATGCATTACAAGTTTTCTTCTCAAGGTAAATCCGCATTACAAATTTTATTTTTCATGCTGAGGGAATTTGTCATGCATTTATACGAGTACGATACTTTTGCAGTTCATAAAAAGGAGGTTTTGGAAAACCTCGTGTGGCGGCGCAACTCACCGGGGCACGAGAGTGGGTTTTGCTCCCCTGGGGTTTTGCTCCACAAAAGGAAGGCAGACGCCGACAACGTGTGGACCTATGAGAAGAAATGCGAGTCGAAGCACGCCCATCTGACCGTGACCGGATTTGAGGAGGCGAACCAAGCAACGTTAGAGATGTGCCAACGTATGTGCGAGACGTCGGGGAAATGCTTTTTCTACGACTTTCTGGGCGCCGGCCCAGAGTACGGCGCGGCTACCTCCGCTACAGGCGGAGCAGACGAGCAGAATAATGCTAAACCTGTGTGCCAAATCGGCACTGACCCGATGGCGGCCGTGAATGAGGAAACGCAGCACCCCGGGAAGCACATTGGGGGAAGGTGTGGGACGTGGAAAACCTGCGCGGGCGTCCCGGGAAAGTTGCACACGCTTGCCGACGAGCTGCGAAAAAAAAAGATCCCGGACAATATGGCGCCCTCGCCGCTGGCGTGTGCGTTGACGTGTGAACAAGAGGAAAACTGCCACAGCTTCGTCTACGAATTATCAACTCACATGTGCACGCTTCACAGCGGGCCCCAGGTTGAGATGCGCGGGTTACCTTCAAACGCGCCGAGGAAGCAGGGCTTCGCGAGCGGGAATTGTCACTTTTCCACACAAGTGCCAGATAATGCACACGCGTTCTTCGAAAGCGTGCGGGCAAGGAGTTCGGACGTGGACGCGCAGCACCTGCTCGCGTTGACGAAAACGCCGAGCAAGGACTACAGCGAGGTTTTGCAAGAGACCCTGTCGAACGGGGTGACGTCGCATAATTCGGTCAGCGAAATCCACGCGGAGCTGGCCGACGAAATAGCGGGATTGTCCTCCGCCGCAAGCGCGCAACAGGGCTCGACGGTGAATAAAAACAGCACCCTGGCCGGTGGAGAAACCCCGACGAACCAGACGGAGAACATTTTGCTTCTTGTCAGCCTGATCGTGTCGGTCATTTTCCTCGTCGGTGGGACCATCGTCATCGTGCGGTTCTGTCAGAGCGACGCCGACAGCCCCTTCGCGGACGTGATTGACCGACGCCACCCGGAAAATCCGCACCATCACCACGGCACCCGCAGGTACTACGAAGAGGAGCAGATGGAGAACAACCAGAACTATGATTACAAGCCCTCGCAGGCATACGGTTACGACGAAGTTGGCAAGGGAGATGCAGCCGGGATTAGCACTACTCCGAACCGCGCTGCGCAGCTGCTCCAGCAGCAGCAGCAGCAGCGCGGCCCCAGCGTTTCGCCGCGAGGTGGAGGACCAAGTAAGGGCGGGCAAAAGGACGGAGGGGCGGGCAAATACTAGCACCAGGATTGTGCTCACCGAGTGAGAAGGACTGCTCTACTTCTCAGCCCAAAAACTCCTGACGAGTAGTTTTCGTCCGCATGAAGAAGATGTCAGTGATTTATTAGACCAGCTGCATCCTACTTTTTTTTTCATGATTGGTCAATTATGCGATAGAAACCAACGAGCATTGGTTGGTAGAAGAGTTGTCGCATCACGATATCATTATCAAACTTTTACCCCGGTTGAGCTATCCTCATTTCGTGTTGCAGAAAACCGAGACTGATGTCGGTAGATCTTCTCCTCGTCCCATCCGCTTCTTCTTGCTCGGTTCGTTCGCTTTTGTGATTCAATTGCAGCTGCATTTGTCGTCCTGGCTTATTTTAGAACAAGAACCAGCTGCCGCGTTTGTCGTCCAACCAAAAGATTCTTCTCGTGCATTCGTAGTTCGTCGTTTTTTTTGTGCAAAAACGTTTCGTCCATGTCCAACTGCAACTACTGCAAAGGAAATATATTCTTCGAATTTCGAAGATAAAAAGCAGCAAGAAATAGAAGTATGATGAACTGGAAGCAGGAAGTTCTAGCAAGTGACCCCAATACTAAACAAGACGACCCGAAGTACAAGTAGATCTGCAGCACTTTTTTATTTCTTGCCCAATCTTGGAATACCATTACGATTACCCCGAATCCGATGTTAATAAATACTATGCGATAACTTTTATTTTTCTGCGCGTTTTTCTTTTTCGTTTTCCTCGACATGTACATGCTATAAGTACTATGCACGCACCGGAGCAATCACCAGAAGTATCCCTATAGCACGCAAGGCAGCAGATATTTCGTCGTAAGATAGAAAAAAAAACGCCAGCTCGATGGTGGAGCAGCAGATGATCCGCACCAATATCATTCCATTTGCAGGACGACATCTTCAAGAACTCCGACCGGTTTCAAACGTTCCGCCAACAGCACTCACATCGCAGCAAGAACACCAAGCGTAGTTCCGATGTTCCCCACACGACAGCAGGAAATGGCAGAGATTCGGGCTACAGCGACAGCGAAAGATGAAAAAGGAGATGGACTGCAGGAGCGGATAGCAGCTTCAGTGGCTGCGGAAGATGGCGAAGACACTGGTTCTGGTCAGCAGGAGGAGGCCAATGTCCTCCCCGACGGTGCGAAAGCCACGAGGGGACCACGACCATCGGAACGTCAAGATGGTCTTGCTCTCAAGATCACACCGCCGGGCCAGGTGAGCGTGAGCTTGAGCAGCCGCACCGAAAATAGGAACCGCCAGGGTGAGGTGCAAAACGCAAATTTTGATGTGCCGCAAATAAACGAAGAGTCAGACAGTGGAGCGTCTGCTTCCCGGGTTGTGACAGCCCCGTCCTCCGCCTCTGTGGACGACGTGGTCGAGGTTGTGCTACAAGAAGAACTACTAGAGAAAAATGCTACTCCTGAGAAAAAAATCCTCCGAGCCGAGGGTAGCGCGAAACGCAACTACAAGAGCGCGAGGGAAACTATCGGTTCCGAGGAGGTCGCGATGTTCGGCGACGGGCGACCGGCTGGCTCCCTCGGTGCGCCGGGCATTGCCTCTTTCGGGGCTCCTATAAAGGAGTCGGAGCGGCAGACCAGCACCAAACGGGACCCCGCCGAGGCTGCGGCGGGGCCCGGCCCGCGCGGGCCCTCCGTCCTTGCCCGCGGGCCGTCGATCCGGGGAGGCGGTGGTTCTCCTGGGGGCAGTAATGACGACGGGTGCTTCGGCTGCAGCATGAAGCAGTGGATCATGATAGTGGTCGGTTTGGTGATTGCCATCGCTGGCACAATCCTGTTTCTCTTGACAGTGACGGGGAAAAAGGAGGATACAGGCAGCGGGTCAGAAGTACCGACGGAGGCTGGTACAACTGCTGCCGATGGAGATGATGAACTAGTGGGAGCAGGGACGGGCAGCGGTAGCTCCAGCACCGATGAAAAGGAGAACGAAAATGCAAATGAACAGACCTCTTTTTTTCCGCTCAAGTGCGCTAAGACGGGCGAGAACTGCATGGCGACCCTGTGCTGCGAGCAGGAGAACTTCCAGTGCTTTTCCAAGAACAAAGACTGGGCCTCGTGCCGTGAGGTCGGGACGTGCCAGGCGGGCGAACTTTTTGCCCAGGACGAAAATGGCGAGGAAAAGATATGGCGTTCTCAAATGTTCCATTCTCAACTGTTACATGATTTGTCATGCAAAATTCCAAACAGAATCGCAATCGATACGATCAAGCTGCTTCGCATGACCAATTCCCGAAGGGACAAACAGGATGAGAATCTGTGCCAAATCTGTCATGCAAAAGGCGCAATATTCCCCCTTTCAATTCTTGCATCACAAATTCATGTAACAGTTGAGAATGTAACAGTTGAGAACGCCAGAAAAGACGCCCTGGCAGTGCCTGAACATCGACCAGCGGGAGCCCTGCGCGGCGCGGGAAACGAACTGCATGAGCGCGGGCTGCTGCGCCGACCACCACCCCCCGGAGCAGAACGCGACCTGCTACCAAAGAGACGACGCGTACGCCACTTGCTTTGTCGCGGGCAGCTGCATAGGTGGCAGAGTCATGAACGGGGACCCGGAAAAGCGGATTTGGTCCTGTATGACCCGCTCAGACGTTACAATCTCAAACGTTACAACAGAATATGGGAATCTGTGATGCAAGACGAGTGCATGATCTAGCCAACTCTCATACGATTGCGCATGACAAGTTCTGGAGCCCCAAACCCACCTGAAATCCGGCAAAATTTGTATTTCGAAAAGCTCAATTCCCTCTGCGTTCCTCATGCTCTTCATGCAACACAAATTCCAGATTCTATATCTATTGTAACGTTTGAGATTGTAACGTTTGAGCAGGCCATATCCTGCAACGAGATTGAGAACCCGTTCTGGGAGCAAAAATTCCAGTACCAAAAGGAGCTGCGGATCGCCGAGGCTTTAAAGAACTTGCAATCCTCTGCACAGGTGATGCAAAGTGCGCCCATCCTGTCATCCTCTTCCTATGGTGGAGGAGGCGGTGGTGGGTCTGGCCTACCCCCGCCCGCTGTACCTCTTCTTGACGAGGAGACTCTGGCGCAACGGCAGGAGCGGGTGTTGGCGGCGCGGGAGGTTTTGTACGGGCCGGGGAGCTACGAAGTGCAAAAGTATCGTACTCGTACTACTTGCTTTCATGCATGACAAATCTTGTTTCTTAGCCAAATCAGCATTACAAACTCCATTTTTCCTTCTGAAAAAATTTGTATTGCGATTTATACTAGTACGATGCTTTTGCAATGCATAGGAGCATGGGGGCGGCTGCGCTGGCGGTCCGGAACAGCGAGGAACTACATGGCGTCGAGCAGGAGGAAAATAAATCTACTTCACAACGACCAGCATTTGTATCCACCTACGGCCTGGCAGAACTCGCGAAGATGCCGCTAGACGACTCCGCGGACCGCGTGGTGTACAATTTACAGCTGGGAGCCGCGTTCGACCTGCAGGCACTGTACGATTTGATGCGGGTGTATGCAATACAAATTTCCCGTACATGGACAACATGCATCAGAAATTTTCTCGACAACTTAGTCGAGCATTCGCATTCCACTTGTCATGCTGAGGAGGATTGAAGGAAAGTTTTGTCATGCAGAATCCGCATTTGATGTGCGTCGACGTGTGCTGGGGGAAATTTGGGTTTGGATAGCGTGAACGCGTTTCTCGCGATCGGCCCGGACCCGGACCGGCAAATTCCGCAGCTCCTCGCGGACGTGGACACATCCGGTTTCGCGTTGGAGCCGCTGATCGGTTCTTGGCCCGTGCTGAAACAGCTGGCAGACACCAGTAGCGCAAGTGCGCAGCAGGGGTTGCCTTCCCAGGTTCCCAGCACCGCCACGGTCGGCGAGACCACCGCGCAGGGGCGCGCGGTGGAACACCCCGCCTACCATGCGGCCAATGCGGACCCCACCGTGAGCACGGGGGACCAGGTGGTACAACCCGTGCAGGGAACAACAGCCGCAGCTACATCGTTTCTCGAAGAAGAAGAGAACAGGAAGAAGACACAAGTCGAAGTAGAGCAGGAAGACAAGAAGAAAGCGGCAGTGGCACAGGAGGAACTACAAGCTGGAACTGCATCCACTTCCCAGATCGTGGCAAGAACCACGACCGCGAAGATGAGGACTAGTACGGAGGTGCTAGACCACACAAGAAAATCAAAATCAACATCTTCCGACGAAGATGCTGCAAGCTATGCCTCCGGCACTTTGGACCAGCTGGACTTTGGGTTCTACGTGCAGACCGTCCGCGTCGCGAAGAACGACCAGAACGACCCAGATTCCAGCGGCCTGGAGTCGGTAGACGACGACGAGGTGGAAACCAAACACATTTTGTGGATCGTCTTCGGAACCGCGCCCGCGACGCCCGATTCTACCACTCGAAAGGTCACGCTCCGGAACTTTCGCTCCTATTTCAACCCGCCGACGTTTGCCGACCAGAACTTCGATGTTAAAGACGCAATTGTGCTCGATGAAAATAATCACGGCACTGATGCTCCTGCTCGTCGCTCACAGGGACATCAACCCATTTTCGGCATCGCGCGGCACTTTGCGAGCATCGCGACCGAGGTGGGGTTGGCCGTCCAGGGTTTGGAGGTCGAGGGGCAGCTGCAGCTGGGCGCCTTGCCCGCGGCGGCCGTGCCGCTGGAAAAGGAAAATGCGAGAGCCAGCGGGGAACAAATTTTAAAGGGTCAAGACGATTTTCAGCCCACAGTACAGTGGGCCGTGCAGCACTACCTGGAAAGCCACGACCTGGATGCCTTCGACGAGGTGATTGTGACGGGCTACGGGGTGGGCGGCAGTCTCGCGGGTCTGGTGGCCTACGTCGCGGAGCTGCAGCTCCGTGTGGAGGCCGGGCCGGGCATGATGAATCCGCCCGAAGGTGGGTCCTCAACTACTCCCGCTGGGCGGGCGGTTCAGGTCGAGAAATTACGAGAAGACATGCTGGCGAGTCAGCTGGCGAGAGATCGCGCTCTGAACAACCACATGGACGACATGACACGCGGATTTTTCTCCGAGTTTTGGAAGGGCTTCGAACAAGTGTTCGCGAAAACCGGCTTGAGGAATTTCAAGGTGTTCGCGTTCTCGCCCGCACCCTTCTTGATGCGCGTCGACGGCGGGGACGAGGGAGAAATAGTAACAGGTGAAAACAACAACAACCCGTCAGCCGCGAATGCCGACGCTAACGCCGCTTTACAGGCTCCTGGAGATAGTCGTGGTGGCGCCGTGTCGTGGGGCTGGCAGAGGGACGCAAAGCTAGGCGTCTGGAAGTACGTTGCGAGAAGTGACGACTCAGACAAGGCAACGGGCAACGACAAAAATGCTATGACCCCCCCACGACTTCAGCCTCTTGCTACGCCTCCTTTGACTGCAGGAGGAGGGACAAAAGTTTCCTTCTCGTCCTCGACCACAGCATCTACAGCCGACCCTACGACGCTGACGCCGGAAGCCCGGGCGGCGCAACAGAGGCTGGCTGCGCTGGACGCGGAGGTAGAATCGGCAGAGCAAACGTACAAAAACGCGCTGAATCGGATCCGGCCCTTTTACCACGTGATTCTCTTCGCCGACGATCAAATGCCGTTCGCGACCTGCGTCTCGCGGCTGCTGCACCCCACTCCCCACGCCGCGGTTTGGTTGGCCAACACGGCGTACGATCCGCCCGAATTCGGCCTGCCCTACGAGAAGCTGGATGGTACCGTGAAGACCAACGACCAACCCATCTACCGGCTGGGCGGGCTGCGCACGCAGTCGCTGCTGCGGGACTACTGCGAAGAAGTAGCGCAGATGGGCTCCGCGGGTGGGGGCTTCCAGGGCACAGGCGCCGCGCAGGTCTACGAACGACTCAGCGCCGGTTTGTTGCAGCTGGACAACGTCCGGGCGGTGTTGGGGGACACGAAGGAGCAGAAAACGGCAACCGCAGAGCGCAGCGTCAACGACCTCGATATCGAGTTCGACCGGTGGGACATGCACTACTGCAAGCCGAAGGAAAAGGATGTAGCCGCCTGGCTCAAAACCCTGGAGCCCTGGGCAGTAGTGAATAACGATAAGAGTAGCGGAAAACTAAATAACAAGGAAATAAACCACCACCTCGGATCCCTCGGGTGGGACAGCAAGACAAGGCAGTATCCTTCCAAAGTGTACGGCTCGCCGTTCTACGAAGCCGCGACCAGCACGACATCCCAAAAGCTGATCGCGCACTACGAGGCCCTTACGCACGACAGCTGGGCGGTTACCGGGGAAGCAGAGACCCACGCGGTGCTGTTGGCCGCGGCGGAGCACGGGTTTCTCGTCGACCTGGGGCTGTTAGACCGTCCGGGAGAGGAGGAGTTCTGCAAGCAGCTGTGCTTCGGCCAGCGGAAGTGTCAAGGGTACACCTTCGCCTACAAAACCTTCTGCGCCTTGCACATGGAAAGGAAGGCAAGTGACGATAGAAGTGCATCAAGTAGAAGTACAACAACTGTTGACCACATTGATAGTTCGAGTTTCGTGGCGAATAAAGTCGAAAATAAAAAGCTGGAGAACGGGAACTTCGTCTGCGCCTTGCGGTTGCATCACCACGAGAAACCCAGCGGAACTTCTTCCGCGGCAGCTGCGGCGAGTTCTTTCTTGCAGCCGGTCTTGAACAAAGACAGACGGAACTACAAGAACCAACACATTGAGGATCATGATACCAGTGGTCGTGGTGCGTCGACGATGTCTTCGGGTGATTCCACCTCGGGCAGATTGTCAGAAGCTGACTCGTCCGACAATTTAGGCCATGGTGGTGCGCCGCCGGTTGAAGTAGATGAGCCTGTAGTTACTACTTCAACTTCTTCCTCGCAGCTCGAGATGTCGGAGCACCAAGGGACGAGGACCCGGAAAGTTGTTGACACCGCAAGTTCGTCCTCATCTTCTCACGCCGCCACGCTGGTACAGCCTTCGAATTCACTCGCGGATATCAACGATAAGAAACCCTCTGATGGCAGCTTCGGGAACACGGGCGAGCTGGCAGACGGCGAAGTAGTAGATAGAGATACGAGCAAAAATAGCACAGAAGTTTCAACATCTACACAGGAGGACGAGCAGCCTTCGGAGAAGCATTCCCTGCAGGTGAGGGACCACCAACATGCGGTAGTGAAGACGAGCCAGCTCGCCTCCCAGCTGGAGAAGGTCGAAAAGAACAAGGAGAAAGAACTGCAAAAGAACAAAAAGGTCGAGAAAACCACAGTAGAAGAAGCCAAGGAGGGAAAAAATAAAAACCTACACCAGCAGCAGCATCTGCACAAAATGGTAGAAAATGAAGAACACCTTGTTCAGAAGGTAGAGGTAAAGAAGAATAAACAAGAAAATAAACTAGGAGAACAGCAACAGCACCTACAACAGCAGGAACACCTCGCGACTGAGCATGAATCCACTATGGAACAACAAACCACAAAGCTCGGCGACCCAGGATACACGCCGCCTCCCCGCCCGAACCGCGACGATGAAACGGGCTTGTGGGTCCGAACCGTGCCGGGCCAGGGCGAGACTTGGTACAACCAAAAGTGCGGGATCGCGAGAGAGGTGGAGATTGTGGCGATCGAATCGACCCCAACGAACGCCACAAACTTATTCACCGGGGATGAAAAAATCACGTCCAATTCCTGCCGCAGCAAGTGCCAGGAAACCCACGGCTGCATGGGGTGGCACTTTGTGAAACAGGGCGCGCAGGTGCACAAGTGGCTCGGCGCCGCGACCGCCGCGGCCTACAACGACCAGGAGCGCGTCGCCGAAACCATGACCACTTCGGACGCGGACAAGTGCTACTTCTTTGACCAAGAGCCGAGCCGGTACTTCGTGTGGCGGCGCTCCATGGAGGGCCACGACTCCGGGTTTTGCACGCGAGGGCGGTACACCGGGGACATCGACGCGGACCTGAACTCCGCGTTTGAACCCAGCGAAATGCCGAAGCGGTGCGCCAGTGTGTACATGAAGCTGACCGAAAAGGAGGGCGCGGACAAGCAGATGCGGCATGTGACGAACGACGACGGCACGCAGTACTCACTCGAGGAGTGCCAGGCGGCCTGCGAGGCCGACGACAGCTGCCCCTTCTACGACTGGGGCCCCCGGGCCGACGAGGGCTGCAAACTGGGCGAAGTGGGGATGCAGGTGAACGCGGACACGCACTACCCGGAGGGCCACATCGCGGGGCAGTGCGGCATCTGGAAGACCTGCTCCGGCGCGGCGGGGGAGCTGCAGGGCCACTACTTCTGGAAGTTCGCGCCCATGGCCGGGCTGTGGGGCTGCCAGATGCAGTGCGAGCGGGACGTGAACTGCCACGCGTTCGTGTACAATTTCGGCAACGAGCACAACGGAATGGAGCACAAGGAGTGCAGAAAATACCGGGGCCCGGCCATCGAGATGGACAACCTGGACCCCAAAACCACCCCCCGGGCCCAGGGCCGGATATCTGGGAACTGCGGGTTTCGCGACGCGCCCACCGGGGCCCAGAAGCACTACGAGTACCAGCACGCCTATGGGAGTGTCAGGATCGAAATCGACAAAATCGAAGTGATCTGTAATGCATAAAATGCTACGCAGAAAGCGACTCTATTGCAGAGGATGCAAGGAAGGCGGACTGTAGTCCTGGTAAGGGTTAAGTGTTGGGCTGCTGACTAGCATGACAGAAGGCAGCTCTTTTGCCCTAAACCGCATGACAGATTCGCTTCCAGGACGGGGAGAATTTGTCATGCGCCGCCTAAAAACTGTGGGCCTAACTGGCATCGATTTTGTGCATCACAAGTTTTTTGATTTTGTCAATTTCGATTCTGACACTTCCATAACGCCATCCTGGCTACGGACAAGGAATCCATCGAAGCGGGCAAGGAGAGCACGACCTCGACCACGTTATGACAGCGCACAACTCCCCCTCCGCCTCATTTGTCATGCAAAATTCCTAATCCACCCTTTGCCTCTTAGCACTGGTGGCATGACAGATTCCGGAATCCAAAACAGCACTACAATCCTCGGGGAATTTGGCATGTAAAAGCTGCATCTTTGCCAGCGCTTGTGTTGCTGTTCATGCAACACAAATGAGGGGGAGGGGGAGTTGTGCATTTCTATACACGTCGACGAAGCCCTACGAGCAGCACCTGCTGGAAGAAAATCAGGTGCAGATCGCGGGCGCGGACGGCCAGACGCTCACTGTCAACAAGGCCACGCTGCAACACGTGCAAGACGCGCTGGCCGAGTTCCGCGCGGACGTGGACGCGCACAACTTCTCCGGCCAGCACCTCGTGGAGGTTGTCAAGGGGCTGGAGTCGGCGCTGCAAGAGTTTGAAATCGAGTTGCAGAACGCGGACTTGAATCCTCCGGTGACGCCGAAGCTGACGCAGACCTTGACCCAGCTGGTGACTCTGACAACCTCGCTGAAAAACCAGCTGGACATCATCCGGGCCGAGGCGAGTTCGACCGGGCAGGACGCCTCGGGGGCCAACTCGTACGAGCTGCTGGTCGCCAGCAAATCGGGAGAGGATTTCAACCAGCTGCTGGCGTTGCTGAATAGCGGAATCGACGATTTCCGGGATGAGTTGAAGAACAACTCGCAGCTCACCACAGACCAGAAGTTCCGGACGGTTTTGCTCCACGTGCAGATCATGCTGGACAAACTGGTGCACGAGCTGCAAGAGAACATCCACCTAGCTTCGGACCAGCTGGGTGGCGGGACGCAGGAGAGCACGGCGACGGCGGGAACCTCCACCACGGACAGTGGTGGGAGTAACACGTTTACCGTCATTCTCGTGGTGGTAATCGTGCTCTTGATCGTCGGGCTCTGCGTGTTTCTCTACTTCGCCCAAAGCGAATCCGGGGGGTTGTTTGGCAACACGGTGGACTATGTGGACGAAGACGCGGCGTACTACGGATACAGCTCCAACAACCAATCCGCTCGCAGTTCTGTTCGCCGGGGGCCCAGTCAGCGAAAGGGCGGGGGCTACTCGCAGTATGGCGGTGGGGGCGGGTATGACAAGGGCGGGGGTTCGTCGCGGGGGTATAGCCAGTACGGCGGGGGAAAGGGGAAGGGCGGAGGATACCAAGAGGATTACGGCTACGGGTACCAGCAGATGTACTGAAGAGAAAAACCAACAGAGGAGGTGGATCATAATGTGTCTGCTGCTTTTAGCCTGAGGCTTAGCTGCCCTGCTGCAAGCTAGTGGTCTTCACATACTAATGTCCTGAAAGTTCTTTATCCAGACCACCTGTAGACCGGTATCGAGTTTTTAGAGTTTCAGATCATTCAGTGTTTCGTTTATTCAGTTTTTGTTTATTGGTGTGAAAGAGTAACAAGATGAAGATCCACCCGAATGATTTTTCGCATACCTGCCAAAGAGAAAGATTTTTATGCATCGAAGAAGTGCGGTTCGCAATCTCCATCCCACAATACATTAGCATTAGGCTTCGTAAGCGAAACTGTAAGTGAAAAACGCCCATATGGAAACCTGAATTCACCCATAAGTAACAAGAACATCCCAAGAAATTTACGTCTCCCAGCATTACCATTAGAAATTCTGAATCCACGACCTACATTATTCACATCAGGCAGTATCTTGTACGTAGTTCGTTATAGGAAAAAAAGTAGTGCCCGCCTTCGGGAACTACACGTACAGATTCATTCTCTGTTCGTAGTCAGTCTGTCGTGTTGTTCTTTCTCGTCGTTTTGGCAATCCGTCGGCTTCGTCTGTCGTTATCTTGTCCCTTCACGAGGGCAAAAACCAACCTGTGCTCATGAAAAAGAGCGTGTTGTAAAACTAAAAAAGAATAAAGTTTGGGAGAGAGAAACTGAAACAGAGATTTCGAGTAGATCCCTGGGGCAAGCATGATACCGGCAGCGAAGTTTCGATCGAGTTAGTGGAAGGAGAGATCTACTGAGAGACTTTTACGACCCACCACCAAAAAGTCGTAGGCTGACCCAGAAGCTGCATTGAGATTTCCATTTGTCAATTAACAAGTGTGGAGGACGAACTGGATAAAAGGACCCGAGTCATCTTCATTTTCTATAATGGCAGCGGAGCCGGCCAAGCGCCGGTTGGTGCTGCATTTCAACTTGCCACGAACACTGCTCGTCGGAGATCCCGATGGCAAGGGAAACGCGGAGGAACGCATAATCACGACCGAGTTGGCCTTAAAAACCGCACTCGCCGACCAGGCGTGGGGGATAGTCGAAGGTACTTAGCATGCTAGTGTTGAGTAGGTTTTTTGTTTGACGATGATAGATCTTGTGAGTAAGATATTATGAAACACTGTGCGTGCACCGAAATGATCGAAAAAATCGGTTGCTCCTGTATGTAAGTCTAAAAATTCCACTAGATGAGGAGTTCGTCCTGTCGCACCCGGATGTGCAAGTGGAGCGACCATCAGACGAGATGTACTCCTACACCGAGTTTCTTACGATGAAGTTTCCGATTCAGGGGCAATCAAAATTCACACAAGACGAAAACCGACAGGTACTTACTACGTAGACAGATGAAAATCTTGATAGGTTTGAGAATTGCGAAGCTGTATACTTTCAGCTTTTGCTCATGCTGTTGATGATGAATCTTGACCTTGAGTGTCTGCATTTGCTCTACCAGCCGCTGCGCATGAACTCATCAAGAACAAACAGAAACGTTAAATGATATCAGCTTCACGAGCAGATGATTCTGGAGTTTGTCAAGACGGGCCCTGGCGCCAAACTCCGCGCGTCGTTCGACCAGATGGTAAAGGCGATCGCCTTTCCGAAGCCGCTCGCCAAGGCGTTGAACATGGCCGTGCCAATACTAGATGAGACGAGTTTATGAAAGTGTCAGAATCGAAATTGACAAAATCGAAAAATTTGTGATGCACAAAATCGATACCAGTTGGAAGCCCAATTTCCAAGCAGTGCATGACAAGTTTCGGCGTCATCGAAATCCAATTTGTCATGCCTGCTAGCGAAAGAAGGCATCCTTTGTCATGCTACTTTAGCAGCTGCTCTATCCCAGCAAACCCCAAACAGGGTAGTTACAATCGGCCTCACTTGCAATATCCCTGCAAGACAGTCACTTCGTGCCTTGCATTTTATGCATCACAGATTATTTCAACTTTTTCGATTTCGATCCTGACACTCCCATAGAGTTCCGAAGACTGCAAGTACCAACCGGACAAGGGGAAAGAGAATCTAACCCGGTTCGGCCGCTACATCTTCGTGCCGGCTTTTTTCACACTGATTCAAACTTTGACCAAGGAAAAGCGGGATTTCTCCATCGTGTTCCACTCCATGAGCGCCGACGTGCTAGACGAGGCGGTGTTGGAAATGAATGCCTACGCCAATGTATAAAATGCAAATATGTCTGGGTCTCGAAGAATGCGGATTTGTCATGCAGTTTTTCCATGGCACAGGGGGTCTGGAATGCAGTACCTAGCATGACAGATTCTGTGTGATCTCTATCATGCCTATTCTGCATGAAAAACCCCCTCCCAACTTGGGCAAAAGTGGACGACTTTTGGTAATCATGCAAGATAGATTTTTGCATGATTCACATTTAGCATGACAAGTTGCATTCGTCCAGACGCAGACATATTTGCAATGCATACCATGGCGAGCACCCCTGCTTCAACGGGCAGAACAAAACAAAAAAGGCGCTATTCAACGGGGAGAAGGGGAGCAAGGACTTGCGCGTGCAGCCCATGGATAGAGGAGTTTTAGCCAGAAGAGCCATGACGCTCGAGTTCCAGCAAAGACCACAGCAGCTGCCAAAGTATTGCCATGATGTGAGTGCTATTCCTATGTATCCATTAGCATTGCAAAAGTTGTGTCGTATTTCTGATGTGATTGTGAATTGCATGACAAATCTTCACCGCAATCTAACAAAATTCGTCGTGCTAGATCACGTAGAAGATGCGATTTGTCTTGTACGTCACGCATCTTCAATCAACTACATTTCTCAGGCCCGGCGAGGATTTTCCGCTAATGTTCGAGCCGACGGTGCTGAAAAAGGGCGCAGCCATCTACTCCGGTTTAGTGCACCGGGTGTGCACAGAGTCCGGGTGCGCGGCGATTCTGCACGACCAGGAGTATTGGGTCTCTGACAAGAAGAACGGCGGGAAGCTTTTTTTCGTTGACACGGGCGACTCCCTGGAGGATGTGCAGCAGATCTTCTTCGACGGGTCAGTGTCTGCGAAAGATCCATCGGCGTTGCGCATGCAGGATGTGGTCACTAACGAGGCGTTTGACCACTCCAGTGAAACCTTCAACAACGTCTACGTCCACTACGTCGAGGACGTGCGGCAGCTGGTGCTGAACCCGCTGTACTTTGTCGAGCAAGTCGCGGCTTGTGAAAGCCAGTTCGAGAAGTTCGTGGAAAAGTCCCGGGCGATATGAATGTGCACAACTCCCCCTCCCCCTCATTTGTCATGCAAAATTCCAAATCCACCTTTTGCCTGTTAGCACTGTTTGCATGACAGATTCGGGAATCCAAAACAGCACGACAGTCTACTTCTAGGAATTTGTCATGCAAATGCTGCATCTTTGCCAGCGGCAGCGCTTGTGTTGCTGTTCATGCAACGCAAGTGAGGGGGAGGGGGAGTTGTGCACTCTCATAGGCGAAACTCACTGCTTCCACCCTGCACCCGTTACTGGATTTGCTGAAGGAGGGCGGGGCCGGGCTGGACGAGCAGGCGCTGCTGAAAAAGGCGTTGGCCGACAAGGGGGCCAAGGACTACCTCTACGCAACGGTAATTCCGGTTTTGTTCGGGGGGCTGGAGCAAGTGGCCAAGTTCCGCCCAGACGACCCGTGCGAATTCTTGGCGTTTTACCTCATGCGACACGCGAACGGGTACAACCGAACGCTGCGGCTCGAGGATTGATAGAAGGAGGGGATGTTGGATGAGACTTTAAATCCAATTATAGGATTCAGATGACCTCCCGTCCACCATGTTTTTGTAAAGTGATTGTACCAACCTCCAGAACCAGATTCAGATACAACGACCCCGTTGAATAATTATAATTAAACACTCGCAAAAATAGACACAACATTACAATTCAATTCAGAACGCTTAAGAGCCAAGTGCTGCGCGATTCAGCATCGCTGGCAGTGAAGATTCGTTTAGATTTCATAACCAAGGATTTCAGGAGAACACGAACAGTGAGTACTGACACTGAGTTTGAAGATCGTCGGAGAAAATGCGACAAATTTTGAACACCTGTACCAAAGAACCACCGCTGCGAGAAACGACGCAGCCGCTGTGTGACGCAGGACGCAGCTTCATGTGTTTCGAAAAAGGAACAAATAAAACGAGCGACGGACGTTACGTAAAAGAATGCAAAGAGAAGGAACTTCATGTTCTTGGCTTCACTAGCTTGATATATTTATGGATTGACGTTTCGACTATTTTTTCTTCTCAAAAATCAAAATCTTCAATCTTGTGTTTTTTTTGCGCGATTGTTTCAGAAGAGTCGTAGTCGGTGCTGGGGTGCACTTAGCAATAGGAATCGAAGTCGTGGTCGTCGTGTTGTAGTTCTTTCTTGATGTCTATAAGCCGAATTAATATCGCAATGGTGAACAATGTCGTTTCTGTTTTCATCTTGTCTGATCATTCCGTGTGGTATTTCTTTATTGCTCCACGACCTTTATCGTTGCATCTCTCTTCGTTGCCTTTTTTACAATGTCCGCGTCGTCGCGAAGTCCTCGCGTCCTTTCGGTCGTGTTGATGAACAAGATGTCGATGTATTTCCGATCTGTGTGGTCTTCATACTCGGTCTATTCTTTGAATGTTTCTGTCGTGTGGCGTTGTTTTTCTCTTTTTTTCCGTCTATTGGACTTCTACTGTCTTTTCATGCGACACTGACTCTGACACATGCCGAGCTGGTTTCTTTTGTTGGTTATCCTTATATATCGACATCCATATTGGTACTTACTGTGCTTGAAGCTTTTTTCAATACCATCAAAACAGCTATAAGGTGCTACGTTGTTCAAACTGTGTCATTTCATCATTCTTGAAAATCTATATTGATGTTCGAACCAGTACCAGCATGGTAGATCTTGTTGAAGCAGCATGACTACATCACCGCAGCAGGAAGGCGAGCTTCGGACCCTTCAAGGGTCGCAGAACAAGGTTCGACGGGTGAATTTGTCGCACGCGAGACTCCCGAAAACACCGACCGACCAGGCCCGGCCAGATGTTCTCGCGGGGACCACTACAACTCCTGCTGCGCTGCGACACGCCTCCGCGCCGCCAACTGGGTCGTCCGCGAGTTGTGATGCAGCTCTACTGCATGAGGACAAGAAGTCAAGTGGTGGTGCGCACATCGTGCGTGTGGGAAAGATGGAGCGTGTGAGTCCCGGGCGTGATTACGGAAAGTATGACGTGCAATCGCCGAGACCAAGAACGCCGGAGGACGAAAGGAAGTCGATTGGGTAGTAGAATGAACTGTTAGTGTTGTGTAAGTACACATACAAGAAGAAGAAATAGAAAAACTTTTGTGAATTCTTGTTCGTTTCGCTTGTTGTAGTTTTTGAAACAACATCTAATAAAATGGCCAAGAAACGCCGTAGAGAAATAGAATGAAAAAAGACCACGACAGGCTGACATCGACACAAGAACCCATTTCATTTCTGTTTAGGTTTTACCCGGAAGAAGAAAAGCGATACGAGCCTACCAGCGCGTCAAAAAAAGCATCTGAGACTGGTACCTCTTCTACCAACAAATTAGACGGAACCACCATAACCTTGAGCGGCGCGAAGCCTGTGAAGAAAACGGTGAAGCTGCTCGCGACAGAACAGCAAATAAGCGGTGCGAAATATCAGCAGACGCAATTGAAACACAAGCTGGAGCCGGTGCTTTTGTTTGACGACATAAGTAGTCGCGTGCAAGTCGGAAATAGTAGAGACAAGCACCAGCTGCACCGAAGCCGCAGCCAGAAAACAGCTACGCGACCGACGCGAAACCAGAGCAACTCTCCGGACCGAAGTTGTATCAAAGGGAACAATTCAGCAGTTGCAGCTCTCCTCTCCCCCTACGCCACCGAACAGCGCCTCGTGGATGACGTGGTGCGACCGCCTTCTTCCCCCAAAAATGTGGTGGAAGAACAGATTGAAGCTATGGAAGGTGACAAAAATCAGGTACAACAAACCAGTGATAAAAAGCCCAAAACCTCCAAAACTACTACATCAACATCCGCTGCTTCCTTGTCTAATGACCCCAGCAGTAAGCAGTTTATCAAGAAAATTCCGCAGCCGGGAACCGCGAAGTTCGGCAGTTCGGGGACCAAGTCCAGCCCCTATTTATCCTCCGTCCCGCCCAAGAAGCTCTATCTGGCGAAGGACGCACCATTGAAACTGAAGCCACTGAAGCTCGTTGCGTCGCCGACGAAAGGGGAAGATGGACAAGGCGATCCGAACAAACGCGTGCAGTTGGCAAACATCGGGGAATTTGTGTCTAACACGGCCGTGAAGGTGGACGAGTCGAAGAAGAAGATCAAGAAATTGCCGCTGAACGGACCGAAAATGTTGTCCGTGTCCCCGCCAAAGGGCTACAAGAAGTTACTCGCGAGCTGTGAGCACAAGTACGTGAAGTGCCACCTGGATACCTTCGACTACAGTCCGATATGGTGTTCTCAACTGTTACATTCTCAACTGTTACGTGAGCTTGTGATGCAAGAATTGGAAAAGTGAAAGGGGGAAGGTTGCAGCTGTAGCATTACAGATTCATCAGCACAGATTTAGGCGCGGTCTAAGCCTTCGCAAATTTGTCATGCGGAGCAGCTTGATCGTGAGGATGATGATGGTGCTTCTGCATGACAGATTCATGGAACAGTTGGGAATGTAACAATTGAGAACCCCAGATCCGAAGCAGTTCCAGTTCAGTGTGTACGGGGAGGAAAAATTGAAGAAAAACCACTTGCTGCACGGCGGGGCGAACATAAAATCGAAGTACGCGAGTAACATACCCAACGTCGGCACAAAAAACACCGCGGGTGTGGTGCTGCATAGCGGGAAAAACATCCTGGCGGAGATTCTCGAGCAGTGCGACGAAGGGCAGTCGCCTGCCGTGTCGCCGGAGAAAGGAACAACTTCCGCGCAAGATGTCGTAGAGAACAAAACGAGCAAAAAACTAGACCAGGATCATGTCGGAGAAAGTTCTCTTCGCGCCGATAATGTTGACATCAAGAAAAAGGATTCAAAGCCTCGTTCAACAAGCCAGCACGTCCTGATTACGTCGCCGTCTGGTGTCGAGCTGCTCGTTTCCGCGGAAATGGGCGGAGCAACGGAATATGCTGCTAGTAGTGCGAGCAACGTCGTGCTCGTGACCAAGACCCATTCCACCGACACCGTCCTTGACGAGCTACCGCCCACCTCCCTGGACACCCGCTCCTACGATTTCGTTGAGGAGAGTGTCGCTGCGCGAGTGGTCACGGCGGTGCTGTCGGGCATCTTCGGAAAGTTGGACAGCGAGGAAGCTGCTGCCGAGGTTCTTGACGTTTTTGGACGAAATAACCAGATAATTGTTGACCACCTCGAGCAGGAGAAGCACTCTACTAGTTCATCGTCTAGCGGTAATGTTAACAAACACGTACAGATTGTCGACGAAGTGGCACAGTTTGCCGAACCGGCCAGCACGACTGAAGATACAACTTCTAAAGAGGATAAACCCGATTTCGATTTGCCAAAAAGTAGTGTTCCTGCCTCTGTCACCTACACCCCCTCCTTTGGTCCGGGAACCAGTTACAACCACTACCAGCCGATAGTTGGGGGCCTTGATGATGATGAGGCTCTTCCTGCTGAACAAAGCGCAGAGAAGACTTTGAAAAACGACGGTGTGCTGGACCAGAAGGGGAGAGATGCAGATGAGGTGACGACGACCGACACTGCTGGTCAAGTAGCAGTCGCCGCCGCGCCCGATGAAGCGCAGGACAAAAGACGGATACTAGTAGAAATCGCACCAGAAATAACGACGCAAGAATCTTCCACTTCTAGGACCACCAGCACGACCAACGAGCTCGCGAAGGCTCTATCCCTCCTAGATTCCGTGGACGCGCACTTGCAGTCTACCGGCCCCTGGGCCGCGAAGAAGTTTTCCAATATGCAAGAAAAAAACTGTGTAAGTGTAAATCTGTGATGCAGAAAATGCAAAACAGTTAGACTTGTCATGGTCGACACGCATGATCGGGTCGCTTCCTATGTGTTTTCCCTTCCTATCTGCGCATAACAAGTTTTTCCTGTCATTGCAGACAAACTTGTAATCCTGTTTTCCCAAAAGACTTACACTAACACAGTTTCTTTCCTGGATATCCAAGGACCGAATGTCAATAAACCAGCAGCACCAACAAGTCCGGTCGCCCAGCGCCGGCAGCAATATGAATTGCAAAAGTATCGTACTCGTATCGCAGTCATGCATTACAAATCTTTTTCTTGAGGTAGATCAGCAATACAAATTTTATTTCTCATGCTGAGGAAATTTGTCATGCATTTATACGAGTACGATACTTTTGCACAGGATAAGCAATCGGAAGAAGCAAAAGGAGAAACAAGTCAAGACGCGGCCTCGCCGAGTCTGGTCGGCCAGAAAAGCGAGCGACAGCAGCAAGGAAAAAGCGCAGCAGTTTGGCTCAACATCTTCTTGCACGACAAGTGATTCTTCAGCTGGAACACCAAACGCAGCCGATGGTAATGCTACTTCTACCGAGCAAGGAAGTAAGGATGTCGTGGGAGATGAGCACGAGCAGCATGACGACCAAGCCGGTCTGGTTACAAAGGGAAGTAGTTCTTCTAGCAGCTGCGACGCCTCGTTAGAAAATGACAAGAAGAACAGTGAGGATGATAAAAGCAAAGTTGAAGAAATCAAAACGCTGCTCACGACGCCGAGCGTTGCAGATGAAGAGGATCTTCTGGGAAGCTGCAGTCGTGCCGAGAACGAGAAGAACAAAAACGCTCCTGCCGTAAAAAAGCCACAACATGAACATGTTGAACAAATCAGTACTAAAGCCGGTCCTCTCGTGCTGTCCAAAGAGCGGCGACCGTCGACGCAGGGGGCCGTGATCATGGTTCCGGAGCACGACGCGGTTGAAGAGGATTCGGTTTTGAGCGCCCGCTCTTCCGAAGCCGGAGCGACTTGCTCTCGTGACAGTAACGGTGAGAATTATCGTGATGCCGGTTTCGTATCTGGCCCGTCCGGCGGAAGCAAGTCGTTGGTTCTTGTGCAGGACAAGAACGTGGTACTCGAGGATGTTGAGCATCATCAGCAGGAAAAGCACGTTGGGGGCGACAACAAAAAAAACACCACTGTAGAAGCCGCCGTCGCAGCCGCTCCATCGTTGCAAGAACAGGTACAACAAGGAAGCGGAAGCCAAAACCAATCACAAAACAAAACCAAATCACCAACCTTCGCGAATGCCCTGGCGCAGCAGCAACAGCCGTCCTCACCCCCGGCCTCCACGAATAAAAAGGGCAAAGTCCCCGGCGGGCTGCTTGGGGTGCTTCTGCGCGCCGTGCAGCAACAGGCCCTGGTGGAAGATGACGCTGACCTGGACGGCAACCCAGAAGAGCCGAAGTTGAACTCAGATCCGGACAGTCCGTTATGCATTGCAAAAGTATCGTATGTAGTACAAAATCGCATCACAAGTTTTTCCAAGAGAAAAAGTGCACTTCTTTGTAATGCTCATTTCCCTTAGCCTTATTTGATGGAGTTGTCATTCAAGACGGCGATTAGAAGTACTACGAGCGCAATGCTTTTGCGCTGCATACCCGTTATTCCAGTACAATCGCCAGTTTGACGAGCAGTGGCTCCAGAAGCAGAAAGACACCGCGCACCCGGCGGTCCTGGCTTTGGCAGAACGACTTTTGCGATATGCGAATAATGGCGCCGCAGGTGGCAGTGCTGCTGGTGGTGCTGCAACAACAGGTGGAAACAAGCAGAACGGATTCTGTTCCTCCCCTTCACCCTCGACAAATTTCAACTTAGAATTATCCACCACGTCTCTGCAGTCTCAACTTAACGGTCTCGGGTTGTCCACTACCTCGGGCGGGTCCTCAAATTCGAAATCACTGGTCGCAGCTGCCGTTTTGGGTGCTGGAGCAGGAGGAATTATAAACGGCACAGCAGCTGCAGGTGTTGGCAACAATACAATCTCCGCAACAACTCTCAACATTAATAACCCGAGCACTACGACTTCTCGCAAACTCGCCCGCCACCAGTCCATTGAAGATCGGAGCAAGCAGAAGGCGGCGAGGAGGAGCAGCCTTCCCGGGTCGGGCGCCGGCGGATCGCACGGAGCTGCGGGGTTGGCTTCCTCGCCAGGAGGCGGTTGTTCCGGAGTTGTCGGGTCGGGGGCCACCTCTTCGGTGCTGCTGGGGGCAGGTTTTTCAGCTACATCTCCGTCGACCGGCGGGACAGGTGCTAGTATTGGGGCGTTGTTGCAAGTGCCTGGCTCTGCTACTTCTGTTCTTGATCAGCATATTAACAACGACCACCAAATAAACGCTTCAAACGGAGAGCGAAATGGCAGCAAGAGGCGTGGCTCATTGGATTCCACGGCCTCGTCAAACGGCTCGCTCGCGAATTTAGGGGCCTCGCACGGCAATGGATCCTCTTCTAGAAGACGGTAAGTATGATTTGTGGATTTTGTGGTCTACTTTTTTGAAAACATAAAAAAAAAAGAGAAATAGGCCAGAAATGAAATTTGTTCATCCGATGATAAGGAGTGATGTGAAATTGAAAAACACCGAATGAACTTAAGCAGCAACTCCCTGGAGCGCGCTGCCGAAACGCCGTTGTTGCACCTGCAAAATCTGCATTCCTCCTCCGGCGTGGGCCTGAGTGCGAACTACTACAGTATGTTGCACCTCACCGGCGGTGGAATATCAAGCGCTAGTACTAACAGCTCTTTCGTGAACCCGCTGCTGTTGGTTCCGAAGGGTCTGAAGCAGCTGAAGGGTTTCGCGGAACAGGTTTTTAACCGGTACATTTCGCAGAAGAAGCTGCCGTACTTCCAGCAGGAACAATTAGAAATGCTGTACGAGAAGTGCGAAAGTTCCTCCCGGACGCTTCTGCTGCACCGCATCATCCTCGGGATTTGCGAGTCCGGCGAGGTGCCCTTGGCCTATCTGCTCTTTTTTAGCAGCCGGGAATTGCTAGAGTTTGCGCTGTTTCTGCACAGCTACAATGTTTGGGTACTATCTTCATCTTCAGGAGAACACGGTAACCACGATCTTCATGTAGCTGACGCCGGGCACCATCAAGGTGAGGCTACTCTATCCACCTCCCCAGGGACGACCGCGGGTCGTACGCAGAGCAACACCGTGCTGTCCCCCTCGAAAAGCAGCACTGGCAAGGGCATGACCACCACCTTTGCTAGTACGGGGAGCAAGAACAAAAACACGACCGCAACGACAGCGGCAAATAATAAAGCCACAAGCCCGGTGAAGTTGAAAGAAAAAGAACAAAAACATTTTCTTCCGGGAGGTAGAAGTGCAAGCGCGCGTTCTAGTAGCCCAAGTAAAGAGCAAAAGACTTCATCTGCTTCCGCAAGTGGGATTGGAACCGAACAAGCCACTGCATCGGCATCATCTACTAAGATGACATGCGACAACCACAACACGAAGAGCAGCAATGGTGACCACCAAGTTGCGCCGGTCGCCCACCCGACCACGAACAACGTGATCACCAATCACAGTGCGAAAACGGGCGTTATTTTCCTACGGGATTTTGAGTTGACGATCAAGGCCTTGCCGTTCCGGTGGCAGGACCTCACTGGGCTGGAGAACGCGCAGGACGCCTTTCATCTCCTCGTCCCGAAGGACGGCGTGCTGGTTATGGCGTTCTCAAACGTCACATTCTCAACTGTTACATGATTTGTAATGCAAAACGAGCATCAACAACATTCACAAGGTGAAGCTACTTCGCATGACAAATTTTGGAAAGGCTAAGCAGCACCTAAATCTGTGCGGAATTTGTGATGCTACAGGTGCAACCTCCCTGCTTTGACTTTTGCCATTCTTGCATAACAAATCCATGGAACATTTGAGAATGTAACAGTTGAGAACTCCATACCGCTGGTGGACCAGCTGTGCGGCAGCTGGAACAAGTACTTGCAGCAGTTCCGCTATCACATTCTGATGGACACCTTTGAGAAGTGGGCCGACTACTGCTTCAAAACCAACGAAATGAACAAACACTGCTTGCTGGACAAAAGCATGGTTGGGGAACAGGAGGGGGAACAAGGTTCATCATCGTCCCCTATGTTTCTACGCGCCGGATCCGCCGCAGCGCATTTATCGAACAAGAAATACATCCGCCCGATTTGGAAGAAGGAGCACTTCCAGCCGGTCCATATCCTCTGCAAAAGTATCGTACTCGTAGCAATTGCAGTTTTGCATTACAAATCTGTTTCTCAAGGATAATCAGCATTACAAATCGAATTTGTAATGCTGGGCAAATTTGTAATGCAAGCTATACTTCTAGTGCGATGCTTTTGCAGTTGATAGTCCAGCGGCTTAAGCAACAGAAAATCAACCTGAAGCAAAAAGCGCGGATCAAACGGCTGGTCGCCTGCATTAAAGCGCGGAAGCAGGGACGGAAGCTGGAAGCGAAAATCGGCAATGAGGATTTGTTGAAACAGCTGGACCAGTACAAAATCACCACGCTGGACCTGCAGCAGATGGCGGCCCAGGTGCGGTCTCTCAAGGATCTGATCAAGGGACTGCGGCAGGACCGAGCGGACGTGCAGGATTTGTCACTGCGGATTTTGGACCTTCCGAACCAGCTAGAAGAGGAAAAGAAGCATACGCGGGAGAGCATCGCTATGGGGGTTTGAGGATCGAAATCGACAAAGTTGAAATAGTTTGTGATGCGTAAAATGCTAGACGCAAAGCGCCTGTCTTGCAGAGCAGGCAACTGAGGCCGATTGTAAGCCTGTTTGGGGTGTGAGATAGAGCTGCTAAAATAGCATGACAAAAGCAGTCTTGTCTGCTCAAACAGCATGACAAATTGGATTTCCATGCTGCCAAAATTTGTCATGCTCCACTTGCAAACTGGGCTCCAGCTGGTATCGCTTTTTTGCATTACAGATTATTTCAACTCTGACGATTTCAATCCTGACAGTTCCATAATCGCGCTGCACAACGGCCTACGGGGCGTTGCGGACGGGGCGCGGGCCAACAATCCACAGGGACAGGCGGCGCAAAATATGTTTTCAGGACATAAATCCATGACGCGTCTCAGTCTCAAGCCGAGCGTTTGATTTGCAGCGTGACAGCACGTCCTCACATCAATCTTAGATTCGCGAAGGGAGAAACAGAAATCCTCTGATACTGCAGCACCAAAGCCAAACAGCAAGGGAAGAAAACACATATGGAAATGGCCTGCTTTAATATTGCAGCATGTTGTCGAGCATGATGACAAAAAACTTTTATTTACGAAGGAACTTAAGCATTACAACAAGTTGAGACTGAGATCGTCACAGTTTTGTTCTCTCGATACAGAATGGCCTGCAGAAGATGAAGCTCCTTCGCGCTGTGCAAAGACTCAAGGGCCTGCAAGGAAGACGATAGGGTTCTTCTTGAGAACGAGGCGGCCAGCAGGCGCGGGAAAGTAAGGGTAATAGCAGCTGTAGTACTTTATACAAAACTTGCTCCTAAAAAAATCACTTAAAGTTAAATTGAAGATGCAACAGCAACGGAGTGTCAACTAACAAAATTAAAAAAAAAAATCATGCATATGTATCTGTACCAATGCCGCGAATTTGTTTGTATGTCATCTTCTTTGAGAATCAGAGTCTTCATACCGTATTGTCTTTGTGTATAAATCGTTTTTATTTGGATTGATCCACCAAGAAAAATGTATAGATAAAACGAAAGCTATGGAAAAGTTTTAACAGTTTCTTCTGTCCAGATGTCTTTTTCAAACATGCCTTTTTCTTCACGAAGCTTTGAAGCGATCGATATCTTGAAATTGATGAATATGTATTTCGTCCTGGACCTGTTTCTGTACATATTTTCTCTTCTTTTCTCTATTGTTGATCTGTGACTATGAGTTTCTCTATTGAAGTCATTTTGGGAATGAAGAAATACAGAACTAAATGATGAAAAAATGTAGGTAGTTGCTTTTTATGAATGTACAATAAAGTTTCAGGGTGCAGCAGTGCATGTTTTTCTAACAGCTCTACAATGTGACTAAGTATTTGTTTTTGAGGACCACGGATGCACAGCTGTACTAGCACGTCGACGTGACTCCGAGTTTTGTTCACCATGTCACGACGGGTCGTTATTTCAGTAGTATGTATTTCTTTCTCCACCTGTTGTAGTGTCCCCGTTCTTAATTTCGGTCTTTATTTTAGCAGCGCCACAGGCGGAATCGGATTCGTAATCGCATATATGATCTTTGTCTTGTTTACTATCTTCCTCGTCCTCCATCCTCGTCTTCCATCCTCGTACAAGATAGACCAACTACTGCTGGTCCCGCAAAAATAGTTGCTTATTTCGGTCCTCGTGTTGTAGAAGATGTAGTTCGTCCAACGAATCCTCGTGTCGGTTTTTTCCATTTTGTCATCAAAAACCATGAATAGTTGCCGTCGTCCTGTCGTTTTGTCGTTAATTTTATACAAGAACTCCAAGGAAGTAGAACATTTGGTATTGTTGTATTGGCGCTGTTTGTCGTTGTCCTTACAAATAAATCGGCTGCATATGCTCGTCAATCTAAACCAGACCACGTGCAGGAACAAGTTTGCTTCCCCTCGCTGCTTTTCCCCTTCTACTGTCTTATTTCATCCTCGTACCAGAGTTCCGCGATTTGTTCAAAAGGCTGCTGCACCATTCGCATTTAGACTTAGACAGAGTTGTGTACAAGGTTTTTCTTTTCACACGCAGGACAGCTACAGCCAGGACTTCCTTGAAGCAGGTGAAGGAAGTACTGTTTCTAGGTACTTAACAATCCAATTTCGAAATACGGTGTACAAATCTTCACGAAGAAGGCTGTCGTTTCTGCTCGAAGTAAGTTTCCAACAGCAGCACGGTTCGCGAAAATAAAATCATGACCAGATCTATCTCCACCTTCCTGCGGCGACGTCAACCGCTCGCGGCGGGTCTACTTTTCGTCGGGCCTTCAATTTTGTTTCAGCCGGTACTTGTACACGCGCAAACAACTACCACGACAACGACAACAACGTCGACAACGACCCTGGTATTCGCGAAATCCCCCCTCACGTACGCGCCGAATGCGAATAACCTGCTGAAAGCAATGACGTGCGACGTTACCGAGAACACGGATGCCGAGAAAAAATACCTGGGTCCGTGCTCAGACAGGAGGGGAGGAGCTCTTTCGATGGTATGTAGTGGGAAAGCATCGTGCTAGTATGAAAAATTGCATTTGCATTACAAATTGAAATTCTTTCAAATCGGAACGATGAAGCTGTAATTCTAGTTTGTTACGTGCTTAAGTTAAGCTTAGCAGGCATTGGTATTGGATTTGTCATGCGTGATTGCAATGAAAGGGTACAACTACGAGTGCGAGACTTTTGCACAGGATAGCTGGGCACCCTGGGCGATGGGATGTACGGCGATGTGAAAGGGAATCTCGACGATGTTTACGGACACGAGAAGACCGACGAGGACGGTGCAGTCATTGCGAACTCCGCTTGGAGTGCCACCGGCGACTACTGCGCCAGTCTGTGCCACAAGCTGAAGACGCTCGGGGCGGCGAAAGCGGCGGACACAGAGGGTGTGCTGCCAGCTTCCCACGCCGGTTTGGGCTGCGACGCGTTTGCGTTGAAGCGGAAAGTCGGTGCCTTGACTTTGTACACGGATGTGGAAAAGGACCAGTGGTGGACGCGTCCAAACGATGGCACCACGTCCAAACGTGAGCACTGTTGCCTCCTGATCAAAACGTGCACGGAGAAGTACTCCGCAGACGCGGTTTATGGGCGTGTAGTCAGGTTCGAAATCGACACAACTGATATCCTTTGTCATGAACAAAAACGAACCCAGTTGGACGTAGACCCCGCCCAATCGCTAAGCGTCGCATGACACCAAACTTCGGCTGCATTGAACCTACCCAATCTGTGATACTGTTCGGGGCAAAGGAGGCTGCTTTTGTCATGCTCCGTCGCAGCTCTATCTCTTTTCTACCCCTAAAAAGGCCACCTACAATCGGCCTCACTTGCCATCCTTGCGCGACAGGCATTTTGTACTCCGCATTTTATGCGCCGCAAACCATTTCAACGTTGTTCATTTCGATCCTGACGCCCCCATACAATCGCGCTCCAGTGGACCTATTTTCAGACGGGCGCGCTTGTGGAAACCGAAACTGAGAAGGCGACGGACGCGTCGTCCGACGCAGATGCAAGTTCCACAACTGCGGCGCCGACGAGTGACGATGACACCACCGAAATTCTGGGCATGGCTTGGTGGGTGTTTGTGCTGGTGTGCTTCGCCGCTGTGGTCATTATGGCCGGAATTTACCATGCTATGCTGAAGGAGCACCAAAAGTACGCAGACCACTTTGGCGGCGGGGGCTACGGGTGGGGCGGGGGCAAGGGAATGGGGATGAAGGGTGGTGGCATGACTGTGCGCCGGCAGAAGGGCTACGGAAAGGGGCCCGTCGTCCCCTACGCTTCGCAATGGTGAGGAGTGCGTAAGTTGTGCAACTAGGTTTATTTCGCGGTCACTAGCGTGGTCTTTGCATGCGTCTGTTCTTTGATGCAAGTAGAACAATGCCTGCAAAGACGTGAGTTTCGAGTTCGACCATGTTTCAACAAGGAGCAGGTTCTTGTGTAGTTTTCAACACATGCACATTCTCAGCACATGAACATGATGTCATGGTCTGCATCTGCCACAAGTAGGAGCCTGCGGTGACGGGAATGATCTTTAGTTAATTCATTGTTTTTCTTTTAATATCATATACACCTCTTTGGACGTTTTCGACACGATCGCCATGGTCGTATCAATCAGTTTGCAGTACATTAAAGCATTTTTTCGACCATTTTCAGCTTCCTAACCCCCCCCCCTCGAGGCATGATTTTGTCCCCCATGCTGCTCTTCATCACATTCAGTTGTTGCTTATTTTTTTCACCGAAGCTGCGTTGCAGATTGAGGCTATATCGTTTATCGACGTTTTCAACATCACTACGGTTTCCATAAGCGTGTTCATAAAAGGTAAAGCATCAACGTAAACTTTTTCATTTTCACAGGGTTCTCCCGTTTCTTTTCCACCGCGCACTCTTCTAGCAAAAAATCTCAACCAAACATGCGCGTCTTTCAAACTCACTCAAGTGCCTTCATGGTCAGATCTTTGATAGTACTGCAAATGCAAAACCCCTTCCCCCGTTATTGATGCCAAATGGAACGACCCACGACCGAGGCTCTACCTCTATGTCTAGGATCAAAACGCCTATGCAAGTCGCTCAGCAGTAGGAGCGCTTGTTATCGTGTTCTTTTTCAGGGCTGTGCCAATCACTGGCAGTGTCTCTGTCATCTTCTGCATTTCCAATAAGTATTGTGACGTCGCACAAAGAGAGAGTTGTTGACTTGGGTTTTGGTTCGATTATCTCAAAAGCTCTTTCTTCTATGGCTGCAGAATGAATGTGACTGTGCGTGCAGGTGCAACCAGCAGAACGTGGTCGCAAGAAGAACGAGGGGGTAATGATGAAAATCAGCTTGGGTCCCGGTCGTCGTTTCGAATCACAACGTTAAAGGGCAGAGATTTGTATCAATCAAATAGTGGTGTGGCCTCTAAAGACGTCTTTCTTCAGTACGTACAAAATAAAATCAAAACAACGAAGACGAACTACTGTGTCAAAGCACCGTTCATCTTGGACAAAGAAAATGAAAATCGTTGTGGGTACTAGAAATTGAGTTCGTACAGCCAAACAAGTTTCTCGTCTCGTCCAACTTCTCTGTGTGCAGAGAGACAGAGAGAAATCGATTTCAACTAGACGTCCTGAGAAAGCAACTACCCGTACATCCCCAGTTACACCCAATCGTGCACCTCGTCCGATTTGCTGTTTACGGGTCATGGATGATGTTTTGTGGTCCTCTTCCGCAAATTAGTTGTAGCAGAGCTAGCGTCTTTTTTGGGCGACAAGAAAGCTACAGCAATCAGCTTCGTGCTGTTTGTACGAGGAAGTACTTATTGAAAACAAATACTCGGCTAGTAATCTTGCTTTGGATTGTTCGACTGCGCTTCTTTTTGATACCCAAGAAAGGCAGGACCACGCTTTTTGATTTTGAACAACCTCGCCTTTTCCAAAAAGATAAAGAGATGTCTTAATACCTGCATGATCATCAACAACTTCCATCCATTCTCGACTGCTAAGAACAGCTTGAGCAGCGGAAACAGTGATTGTAGGATTCGGTTGATGTCCTAAGAAGTAGGAGAACTTCTTGATCTTCGACAAAGCAGGCCTAGTCGTTGTAGAACGAACCAAGGGTCGTTGATCGCGTCCGTTGCACCTTCCGTCGAGTAGAAACACAGGCGACACGACCGGAACTGCAGTAGCTCGCTCGTCAACATCTTCACAGACGTGGCCGCCGGTGGCCCCCGAGGACGTCGTGAAGAAGATGGCGGAGGACAAAATATCATCTTCCAAAGAAGCTCCTGCTTCCGACGCGGCGTCGGCGGACGAAGTAGCGGACATCAAGAAAGTAGAGGACGACAAATGCCCCTGTAAAAAGGCCAAGAAGAAGTGTACTTGTGGCGTTCCGAAAAGACCTGTCGGACGGCCACCAGGAGCACAAGAATCTACTTCGGGAAAAACCGCTGCTGCAGGAGCTGCGCCGGCATCTTCAAAGGCGTCGTCTTGTTCATCTTCCCTGGTCGCTGGTCCCCCGACAGCTGCACAGGAGTTCTTGAAGAACAATCCTTCAGACAAGCCCTCAAATAAACCCTCTTCCGATGAGGAGGCTGTCGTCGTACTAGACAACCGCTGCGCGTGCAAGCGGGCGAAGCGAAAGTGTACGTGCGACCCGGACGACGAAAACTACAAAATCGCCAACGAGAAGACCAACTACGTCCGGGTGCTCCCTTTTCTGGAGAAAACCTGCACGGAGGGGACACTGAAGTTCCCGATCCTGCCCGACCCCGTCGAGACGCGGCCGGGCCACGACGAATACGAGGACCTGTTTCACCAGTTGCACTGGAGCGGGCTCGTCGACGGCTCGGACCCGGTGGGCAGACAAGAGCTGCAGAAGCAGGGAGTATTCGACGTGAGAGAGAAAAACGGGGAGCCGCGATTCAAAATGTTTACCACGGGAGGTGACGATGATACCAATACGACCAGTCCTGGCCGGATTCCGTCGCTCGGACAGCCGTTTCTGGACGCCGGGGCGGTGCTGGTGGGCTACAGTTCCGCGGTCTGGAAGGAGATGCAGCACTTCTTCGCCGAGGTCGACACCGGGTCCAAGAGGGTCAACAAGTTGGCGCAAAAAAAACAGGTGCAGGATAAAGAGCAAGATCGCGAAGTAGACGTGGTCCTCGAGGAAGAAGATGACGACATGGCGCCGGTGGAAGAGTTGCAGCGCGAAGAAGAGGAAATGAACAACAAGAATAAAGAAAATACTACCGCTGCGGTGTCCGACAAAGACATCAAAAAGAGCAGTAGCTTCTCAACAGCAAATGCAAAATGCGCAGATTTAAAAGGCAAAGAAGCCTCGCAAAAGTACAACTGGACTGACTCGGCGTTCCGGCACGAGGCGCTGACGCAGTGGATGAATGTGAAGGAGTACCACTGCGCCGCCGTCTGGTACGACACGGACACACTGCAGTTGAAGAGCGCGTTCCTGTATGCATCGTAAATTTTCTGTACATGTACAAAATGCATGACAAATTTCGCTACCTTGCAGAGGCCAACTTGTCATGCTGAACTAGCATCGGGCAAGTTTTGTCATGCAGAAACCGCATTTGTACGTGTACAGGAAATTTACTGTGGATATCCTGCCTGAGGGGTACACGGCGGCCAACCCGGTGGCGGAGCAGTTTGCCAAGGGTGGCAGTTATGAGAGTGCACAACACCCCCTCCCCCTCATTTGTCATGCAAAACTCCAAATCCACGCGCTTCCCTGTGGCACGGGTGTCCACTACATGATGATGATGATGGCACTGTTTGCATGACAGATTCCGGAAGCCCAAACAGTACTACTCGACTATGCGCGTGGATTTGTTATGCACAGGCTTCATGTGTGCTGGTGTTTGTATTGCTGTTCATGCAATTATACATATGAGGGGGGCGGGGGGTTGTGCACTCTCATCGAAGTGACGCGGTGTACACGAAGGCCGGTAGTTCTGTAGGTGGTGCAACTACATCAACCGACGGAACAGAGGTCAACATGAAGTCGCGCCGCGTGGACAGTGTGCAGGCGCTGGGAAAAAGCACGGCGCTTGGGTGGCGGGGCGGGAAGGCCGGGTTCGGCACCATGTCCATGTTCGGATGCCACGTCCCGCCGAGTTACAGCAAGGACGAGCCGCAGAAGTGTGTGAACCGGTACGGGAACTTCCTTTCCGGTGCGAAGAAGCGGGACTTTGGCATGGAGGAAGTTGTGGACGACTTTGCGGCGGACTTCGCGGAGCGGGAGGCGCGCGCGGTGCCTGCCGGCGCGGCGTCGCGGTTGTGCATCATGAAAAGCCTGGACCCGCAGAGCGAATTTTGCCTCCTGCCGAAGAGTTTTCCAGACGATTTTTTGGCGGAAGTGAACAAGAAGTCGGGAGCTGCTCTTGGCTGCAACGGGGAGGACGAGGAGAACCCCGTTGTTCTCGGCGACAAGAATAAGAATACCATAGAAGGAGCAGCTGCTCCTGCAAGTAGTAGCTCAACATCGGCACAACAACTCGGGTCCCCCAGCGGAGAAGTTCTTGTTCTTGAAGTTGGTCATCTTGCAGGAGCCGTGGCGCATGGAAAGAACGTCGACCCGCAACAACCGGCTGCTGCGCCACAAGAACCAGATGCCGACATGATGGAGATTGTGAGCCCAGTAACAGTGTCATCTTCTACTGAGGAAGGCAACAAGATGATCTTGAACAACAGCGATAAAACCAAGAACAGTAACACCAATTTCGTTCAGCTTCGCGACTCAGCCTCGAGTTCATCTTCGAGCAGCTTCTCGTCCACCGCGGTTCTTAATAAAAATGCGGTAGCTTCTGGTGCACCATTTGCATTTCCACCCGCACCCGGCGCGGTCCAACACGACGTCGACCAGGATCAACATTTTCTTCACGAGCAGCTCCGTGGACACGACCGCTACAACGGGTACCACATTACGTCCAAAAGTTCGAACTACGTGGTCATGGTGCACAGCGATTCTTCCGCGGACGGCAGTCTGGAGACCATCTACTTCTACCGCCCCCACTGGGAAAAGCAGGGCAAGATGAACGTCGAAAAGTTCACTGCGGGGCACAGTTGGATGTTCTTCGCAGGGGGTATCATGCAACTCCCCATGAAAAGCGGCAGCGGTTCGCTCGTGTGGGTGCACTGCACGAACCCGGACCCGCTGTATCACGGCACGTTACCCACCTTCACGAAGCAGGCCCCGAAGCAGGAGAATGTGAAGCACAACGGGATGGGGTGCGCGTTTCTGTTGCAGGAAAACGTCGTGCGGGTTTTGCGGGGAGATAGGAACACGCAGAACATCAAGATGGCAGCGGCGCAGCCGAACACGCTGGACGTCTTCAATGGGACCAAGTTTGGAGGTTCTTCTTCCAGTGGTCTGCAAAAGAAGAGGGAAAAGGCGAGGAAACTTGCGTTGCAGAAAAGCAAAAGCAAGATGAAGAAAAAGAACGAGCAGGACAAAAATGCGCAGAAGCCTTTTGACAAGAAAAATAGCACAACTTCTTTCAGCAACAAGCAGCAAGGGAACAAACTGACGAAATCTCATTTGAAATCCCTCCTCAAGAGCGACAACGACGTTGTAATTCTGAAGCGGTCCGACTGTACAGCTAAGGGGAACAATAAACATAAAAAAGAACAACCGAAGATCGACTACGAGAAAACGAAACAGTGGCTGGAACCCTTCCGCCAGACCACCAAAGGGAAAGTGGCCAAGAAGTTAACGCATTTCCGCGACTGGAACAAGTTCCAGGGGTGTGTGCGGCAGGCGAAAGTGTTGTTTGAGCAGTACACCAGTGTGCACTCGGTTTTGATCAACCGAAAAACCGGGGAGGTGCGGCATGCGGATGCAGACGATCTGGCGGAAAATTTTTCATGTTCCGATGAGGAAGGTGGCGAGATGAACAAGAGCGCAGACGCGGTCTTCGAGAAATTGCAGCAGAAGGAATTGCTGCTGCGCGGCCCTGGCGGCTTCGGGGATCATGATAAAGCACATCAGAAGAATCGTCTAAAGAAAGCTGCTTCTAACAAACGACCCGCAGAAGTAGACGTTGATGAAGAACAAGAACTCGGAACAAGCGACAATGAGAACGATAACGGCAAGAGGGACCACCACGGAAAGAAAGCGAAGGGCAATACGAGTACAACTACATCCTCAGCTGTCGAAAAGAAAAAGAAGAAGAAAAAGAAAAGGAAGAAAAGCAAAAAGTCTTCGCGCCGAGAGCATGAAGATCTTCTCGCAGGGGCCGAGCCCGGTGACAGTGTCGTGCCGCCGCATGTGATATTAGGTAGCAGTACCTCGGAGAAAGGAGAAATGAATGAGTATGGTTTATTTTTTCCCGCGGGAAAACTACACGGAGACTGCCTGTACGACGCCGATGCGGACTTGCATTTCCGAGACGGTCGTTTGATGCCAGTGACAGTATCAAACTGCGCAATTCCAGCCTCGACCGCAAACGAAATGGTCGTGGATTTTGACCAAAGCAAGTTCCTGCTCCCACCTCTCGTATCCGATAATTGTTCCAACAACAACGGCAAGACAGGTGAGAAAGAAGATCAAGAGATGAAAGGTTGCGACGTGGGTGGCGATGACGAGAACAAGCTGCTTACGAGTGTTCCGATGAACATGATGGCGCGAGACCGAGCGGGACGGGAAGATCGTACAGGTCAACACGAGAGTCCATTGCCCGCGGTTGTCCAAAAGAGCAAGAAGAGCGGCACTGCCGCGGCACCGAAAGAACAACAGTTTTCCAGCCCGATCCAGGACGCCGAGAGCAAATCTTCTCCTCCGTCCTCGGAAAGCAGCGTGCTGTCGCCCACGGACGACTCCGATCTGTCTAAGGACCCTGAAATAGACAAGGCGGATGGCGACGAAGAAGTGGTCGAAAAGGTCTTGGCCCGATTCCATTCCGCTGGCTGCCAGTGCTCGGACTGCGCAAAAGAAGCGGCTTTGATGTAGTTGTAAACCTTTCTAACTACAACTTTTCATCTCCTCGTCTGTCCTTTGTTTCCGGAAAAAGCAATCACGCGGGATCTCATTCTCTAGTACACTATTGCTATTGCATACTGTAATAAAAATGTCGTCCGCTTCCTCAAAAGAATCCTCTCCATTTCTACTATCGTGCTGTTTCTTACTGCTTTCCGCAGCGTCACGAAACGACGATAAGAACGCAAGTTTTTCATTGTGATTTTGATTTTCCCATTTCATCTGTTTCTTGTGTCCCCCGGGTGGGTACAGCGATGCAGACATGCTATTCATTCTGTGGCCAGCAGTCTCTTGATGAAGATGTTGCTACCAGAATTTGATCCTTTTTTTTGAAGAGCTATTTTTTCGGCAATCCCGCCGGCAGCTGGAATTGGATGTTGTAACTTTTTTTTCGACCGTTTGTATTTTGTAAGGAAAACAAAACAAGGCGCTCCTCCTTGAAAAAGTACATGAGGGCTTCTCCTGTCCGAACCTCTGCCACGGGGCATTGAAAAACCCATCGCGCGGGTCTCGTGGAAACAAGTATTGTTCGAAAAGCTGTCGACTCGTTTCTACTCGCCTATCTAACAAACGAAACTGTGCTGCGCGGTCACGGAAATACATGAGATTTCGGGTCGTGGCTCTTCTAGTTCCAGCAGCGCCGCCCGCGAAAGTGGCAACGCAGAGGGAACGACTGGAGGCGCGGCAGATCTGTGGGGCCGCGTTGGATATTCACCCGAACACCGCCGGCCGGCTGTCGAGTCAGTCGGGGGGGGCAGCCCGATCGCCGTGCTGGCCAGGGGCGGAGACATTGCCCGGCCGGTGGCGGGGCACGCAGGGGCGGGCCCGCAGCTTTGGGCGGTGCCAGCTTGCTACCGGGGCAGGGTTCACTGGTTGGGCGCAGTACCCCGGGGAAGCCGCCAACTCGGCGGCGCGCCCAACCGACCCAGCCACCGGCCCCGCCGGGCGCGCCCATCTTTGTTCCGGGGCGCCGTGTCTGCCTGTGGCAGGCGCATAGGCACACGACGCCAAAGAACCCGCAGCCGAAGGCCGGGGCCAACCCACCGCTTCGGCCCCGATGAACAGACCTGCTTCGAAGACGCCGAATTTTGGCGCGGGCAAGCGGGGACATTCTGCTATGATATTGGCCTAAGCGCCCGGCAAAGGCAGGGCCCCTGCAATGAGTCGGATGAAGAGCAAAGGGCTGCGCTTGCCGGTTATTTTTGCCACGGGCCACGAGGAGCCGGGTTTTGCCTCGAGTGCCAGGAGATGGCGCGTCCTCGTGTCTGGTGCCGGGCCGGGCCCCGCGCGCGGGCCAACGCCATCCCGGGAGCGCGTTCGTTTCGAACGAGCGCCGCGCGGCGGCGCCTTGCTTGGCTGCAGCAAGCGGCAAGGCCAATCCGCACACTACGACACAGGGCCGAGAACTTCTGTGCGGTAATTGCCATCAGCCATCTACTCGGAGTATCGCGCAGAGGCGACGAACCAGCGCGGAGGCTGTTGCTCCGAGTGCTTCGCTGCTTGCTTGGGTCCGTCGGCTCGCGGTTGGTGGGCCACGGCGATGGGGCGGTGGGCCCTGGCGCTTGTTTGGGGAGATTTATTGCCGCCCGCCCTGCCGTGCCGGCCCGTTTCTGGGAGAGGGAGCCCGGGGGCCGCGCGGGCCGGGGTGCGTGCCTGCTCGCACGCCCCGCCAGGCCGTGTTGGTTTGGCTGGGTGGCCTTGGCCGGCCCGTTGCGGTTGTCAGTCTGCCCGGGGACCAGTTCTGACCTGGCGGACAAATTCAGCGGAGCTTTTCAGTTGGTTTTTCGCTTCCTTGGCGGAACCCCGCCCGGTCCGCGCGGGCTGGTGCTCGGCCCTGCGTTCAAGCCGATTATTGCCTGCTGCAGCGATTTCTCCCACTCGACTCCGCCTCGTGGTGTGGTGAGTGCGATGCCAAATCATGAAACTGGGAGGACTACGACCAGACGGGGCGGCCATCGATTGGATAGGCTCGCGGCCGCGATTGGGTATTTCATTTTGGTATACCTACGTATATCATAGTGTGGGCCAGGGTGACTACGAAAACAAAGAGATGAAAGCAGCGAGCGCAGCTCGCAGAGGCACCGGTGTTCTGCTCTTATGGATTTCGGTCGTATTGATGAAAGTCTAATAAAAACATGTTCAAAAGTGAATGGATTGCGCCGCATCCGAACGTGAAGCGACGAAGGCTACTCGCAGCACTGACAATGTTTCAAGGTCGCCGATTGCTCGGGGGTTTTCGTCCGAAGAACAAGTCCTTAAACATCAGCGCCCGGCAGTGGTTGTGTGTGATAAACAAGCAGCACCAGCACTGACGGGCGCCATCCAGCAAATGATAATACAAGGTAGCAGAAAATAAAAACATAGAAAGCTGTGAAGTACACTACAGTTTGGATCGTCGACGTGAGAATAAATTCGGTTCTAGGTAGTACAACATCGGCATGATCGGTGCATGTGTATGATCAGGTTTTCTCGGTCCAGTGGCAACAGTATCTATGAGGTGTTCTCACGAGCCGTGGTCGGTAATTTGATTCAGTCGTATCTCCTGTGTGTACGCCTGCCTTCAATGTACAACATCGGTTATTCACATAGAGTTTGATTCCTGCCCCACGTGATCTTCTCACAGGTCCTCCTTTAGTCCATTGTGAAGTTTTTGTTGTAAGTGTATTTCTTCCTTGTGAGTGTATCATTAAACATTTATCTCCACCGTCATTATTGCATGAGCGGCAGCCCGCATTAAAGCCGCGACCTTATTTTTACCACACAAGTACTTATAACTCTTAACCTTAAAAAGTACCCCTTTCCAACCCAGCAAAAAAATGCCGTCCCAGTACCAGAAACTCTTCTTCCTCACCGTATTCTCCATGTCCACGGCATGGGTGGACGTGATTGCGCTTTCCAAATACGGCGTTTTCGCCAACATGATGGTGGGCAACATGATTTACCTGGGCCGGGTGCTCGGCGCCTACGGGTCGGACGATCCGAAGTGGCAGAGTGAGACGAAGATCCCACCGTTGTTTCTCGTTTTAGTTCTGTTCGATTACATGCTGGGCGTGGTCCTCTTCCAGCTCTCCCAGCACTATTTCAAATTCGACGGGCGGCACTGGGGCGGGATTGTGTTTGTCATGCTGGTCAGCGTGGAATTATTGGAGTACTACATCGGCATCGAGGACAACGTGTGGTTGCTACTTATCGTGAGAAAAAACCTTTACGGTTACACACTCTAACGGAAGACAAGCAATACAGACAACCTCTGTTATGCAGGAAATGCTTGCCAGCCTCGTTTTATTGGTGTTTTCCCTTATAGTCTGCGCATCACAGGTCTTTTCTTTGCCATGTCGAGCAACTCTGTGATGCTGAAACTCCAACAAGTGTGTAACTGTCACACTTTTTTCGTGGGATATTACTCCTGATCGTCTGGGTCTTCGGTGCGGAAGACACGTTATGCCTCAAGGGCGTCATGCAAATGCTGCCCTGGGGCAGCACGGGTAAGGTGGTCGCCGTGGGGGTGACCATGAGCAAAACCGTGTTGGGAATTGCGACCGTGGAAGAGATGAAAAAGGGCGTCGTCGCGTTTCTCATGACGTCGGGGATGGTGGTTGGCGCGTGTCTGGCCCTGCTCTACTGTCGCTGGAACGAAAACTCGCCGGCCTTTGGCAACGCGATCGTGGCGCCCTTGCTGGGATTTCTGCTGCTATTGCACGACAGCTGGTTGAAGGATCAAAACGCGGCGGAGCAAAAGGACCATCAAAACAAGAACGATGCTCTGACAGCAGGAGGAGCAGCGGCCGAGTCAACTACTATTGCCATTGCGTCGAATAGTAAAATGTCGCCCCACCGGTCGCTCGGGGGTGGGGCGAGAGTGATAAGTGTTTCAGCTGCGGGCAACATGAATCATCGCCCGCACATCATCAACCTCGAGACGCGGGAGTTTCCGAGTTCCAGTGAGCGACCGAGCGACAATGTTTTCTATCAACTCCAAGGTAAAAACACCAGCGAGGTCGCAGTTTTTACCAAATACGATCTATCGCAACTGCAAGCGCCGCTACTACAACGAAATAACAAGGAACATGTCGAGCAAGGGTCAACGACAGCATCGACGGATCCCAGGGCCACAATTGATAGTATATTAAAACCAGCAGAAGACGATGAATCGGACTCGGATGGTGCCGAGCAAATTGTCATCATCGGGAACCACCCATACAAGCGTCTCTCTTCCGGGACGATTGACCGACTAAACCGCTCCAACATCGAAATCTTGAGTTTGCAAACGAGTTTTCCGCCAACAGTGGAGCAAGTGGTTTCCACAAACGAGCAAGTGTCATCAAATGGAAATGGGGTGTTGAGGAAAAAGGTTCGCGTCACTGACGGGGATCCAGTGCCGGCGCATCCGGCCCACAGACCCATGAACAACCAATATGCAAAGACACTGGCAAATATCGAAGAAAAATTGCTTTGAGCTGTATGAAAAAACACGGTTGAGGCAAGGAAAAAGAACGAGAATCGTGCAGTTGATCCTTGTATCAGGCACAATCTTCAAGTTTGCTACGGCATACTTACTTAGGTACACTAGTCTGATGGAGTTGGACATACATTGAAAAGCCGATTGATATCATCACCCAACAATAGGGGTGCTCTTGCTGTCTTCGTGAACGAGCGCGATGCAGCCTACGGGTGGCTTTGTGTTGATGTATCTCCTCTTGTTCATCTGCGCTTTCTCATCGGAAAAAAAGGATCTTGTTGAGTTGTTTAGATCCTGGAGAGAGGACGAAGATGATCACAGTGGTCGCGTCAAGCAAAGTAGATCTAGACCAAGACCTCAGATGTCGCAGAGGAGGTGGTGGCTTTGTAGTTTTGTTGAGATCTTCACCATATAGGTACCCTCGGGAGAGCAAGTAGATCTGGATTCAGGTCGAAGATCTGCTTCTGCTAGGTGTTGCTGTAGTTTCTAGGGTAGTGCTAGTGCAATCGCAAAGTGAATGAGGATGTGGATCTACTGCTATCCTATGAACAAGAGACAGATGAGATGATCTTGTTCTTGATCAAACAGTATTCTTCTGGTCTTGTTCTCTCGATGTCGATGTCGTTCAGGGAAACAAGTAGTGGAATATGTGCGCGAAGCTGGAAGCTGAAGCACCGGACAGATCTACATCTACTCATTTCGTGAAGTCAATCATGTGAGACTGTGGTGGCGCATGATTTCACCTGAAGATGCTGCTATATGTATCCCGGTCGTTGCAACATAAAAGTGCTGAATTTTATGTCGTCGAGAACAGATGATGTTGATGAAATAGCGACAGAAGCTAGTATGTCGTGCGCTATACGCGTTCTATCTAAAGACAATTGGCAAAGAATTCTTATTCTTGGATAGTTGTTGCCATGATGAGTAAACACTCCCCACATCTATGTATTTTTCGATGAGAATGTTGGGGCTCGAAACACTGGTACCTACTATGTACCAGCGGTAGGCACATCAACGTAAGCGGCTAGTACGTATTTTTTTATCCGCTGGAGAAATTTCTGAGTGATGTCATGGTGAAAAAAAAAACCGCAACCAGGATTCATTCTGAAACGCTAGGAACGATTTCTGTAAAGTCATCTTCCGAAAATTTTCATCATCTCCACTGGAGTTTGTCATAATTGTCAAGCTATTGTCAAGTAAATACGGCAACTAGTAGTACATCAAAAAAACTTTGTTTTCTTTGTAAATACGCGTAGAAGTTCTAGAAAGAACAAACACTTCGGAGCCGGACAGCATACATAGTTGTCGCATAGCTCTCGAACTAACAACCTAGAGATAGAAGTAGATACCACCTTCAACACGATTACAACTCCCTGTGCCTGTGAAGCGGGCCTGAACATCAAATTCCATTTTTCAACACACCACTTTCGTCAACCCCTCGGCTTGAGGACCGCTCGCGCAGTGCTCGAGAGTGCTGACGGGACTAGTCGCCTACTTAACGCCGACCTTACTTCTTTACTGTGATAGAAACGCTGAACTAACTCTGTTTTTGCGCTTCTGTAAATACACAAACTGGCGTCGCCGAAGAAGCGGCAGTCTATAAAGCTTTAAACAAAAACATCAAGAACTACATGTTTATTGTGTTTGATAGCCAAATCACTCAATCGTGGCATACCCTCTCGCGCGCGTAGAGGTGGTTATTCGGTAACATTTCATTTGTACGATATCTTAGCACGTGCACGACGACGCACATGATACAGCTTTTATTTTCATCGCATAGTTCTAGTTCAATCTTGAACAAAAGTCAGTACAGGTTGGGTTCTACGCGCCATAGTATTCCGACCATAATATCATAAATCATTTTGTACTTTTTCGAGTGCGCCCCTCGGACGAGATAAACATATCGATACATACGCAAAAAAATCTAACTGACAGTTTTTTACGATCGTTTTTCACTAAAATCAATCTAGCGGCCATACCGCACAAATATTACACCAAAAAAATTTATCTATGTTTTTTATCAACTAAAATATGTTTTCTAATATCAACTAAAACAAACATCTATCTAAACGTAAAAAAAGTAAATAATCCTCGCGCCATAAAAATATGGCAAAAAACACTCGGAGCAGCATGATGCTGCCACTCAAGAAGGGATGCAGCTTCACGGCCGTAGCACTTGCCGTGGCAGCTGCCGCGCTGCTGTGTGCTCCTTACGAAGCTTTTGCGGCCCAAGGCAGTACTTCTGCTGGCAGCAGCTCCCACCGCGCTGTCGCAAGTACAGGAGCTGCAAGCTCGGCTAAAGATGAGAACGCCGTGTTCACTGGCAGCCATGCCTTGAAAAAGTTCACCGCCCGCTCGGACGTGCGACCGCCCCCCCCGCAAGGAACTTCTACAAGTCCGGGGGAAGAAGGACAAGACGAAATCTGTCCGACACTCGATCACATTTATAAGGAAGGCTCGAAGTGGAAGGGCCTCGCGCCCCTCGTCGAGCGGGTTGAGCAACGGATCTCCTCCTTCCTTGCGCCGCTGAAAGGGGAGCCGCTAGTACATGATTGGGAGCTGCGACAGAGAAAACAACATCGCACTAGTAGTCGCGGCGAAGAAGCAGGTACAGGGGGACGAGACGACCCACTCGTCCGGAGCTCCTTCCCGGAGAATGCCGCGTTCTGGGAAGCCTTGTTTGAGATCGAGGACGCGCAGTACGTATGTTTCGGGGAAAAAGTTTATAGCGCAGTCGTGGTACAGATACAGCAGCTGTACATTGATTGTCTATGGATTTGCATGGTTTACTTATTTGCAGTGCAAGCGCGATAGCATTAGCATATTTGCCATGCCAAAAAATGAGGAGAGTTGATGTACCAAGTTGTAGATACTACGTTCTTCTTGAGGACCAAACAAGAGTAAACGTACGGATCAAGAATTAAAAAAGTACGACAATTACCCACTGCTTTTGCAACTCATACCCTACTTCTGCCGTTGTCAAGTTGCACGAAACGAGGTTGCAGCGGCTTCGCAACGTCGTGAAATCGAGTGTCCGGACCGCGGAGGACAAGTGCTGGGCAGATTTGTCGAAAACGCACCAGTACGACGGTCCGCATCCGCTGGCGATGCTTTTGGGCGCATTGCTGCAGTTGGAGGAGCGGGGTGGAGGACGACAGCAAGTACCTCAGGACAAGCATAAAAGTGGTGCAGCACAACTACTAGTACCTGGAGAAGATCGTGGAATATCCATGTTTAAAAATATCCTGAATCCGTATGCGCCCCTGGGCCGCCGCGCCGGCATGCTGTGGAAGGTGATTCTGGGGTCGTTGATGCAAACGCTTACAGACCGCTCATTCGAGCTTCAGAGACAAGGAAGCCGAGCGCAAGGAGAAGCTAAGAGCACAGGTGCATCAAAAGCTGTACTTTCCCGTCGCGGTCCGCCTGTTCCTGTCGAAGTGAAGCGCCGCGCACTACTTTTGGCGTACCAGATTGTGAAGCAGCTCGTCACGGAACGACCGACGTGGCAGCGTGCTGGTGATCCCAAATCTTCGACGTCTTCCAGGCGACAACTTCTTTCCGACGGTCTTCTCGGCCCGCTCGTTTCACCATCTGTTGTATCGGCAAGTACTACTATTCAGGAACGCACCTTACCGCTTCGCGCGCTCCAGTGGGGAAGGCACATGTACGAAAATTTTGCCGAGGTTCACGAATTCAGTCAGAATTTTATGCAAGAAGAACGGTACGAAGCCTTTTTGGAAAAGATCCCGCAGATGACCGAGGACCGTCTCAGCGCCTACGGGAATGGTCCGACCGTCATCCCAGCGCACGTTCGTGTCAAGCTGGTAGTGGATGTAGCGCTGGTTCTGCGCGAAGCAGCGGCGGAAAAGCTGTACAGAAGCAGTGTAGTCGCATTAGTCGAAGACGATGAATCAGAAGGAGCTGGCGGCAAACATCAGACTCAGTCTGATGATGTGGTACGACGCACGTCCAGCAGCCTGTTCACACCAGTCGTGCCCCCCACACCGGGCCGCAAGGAGGGCGTGCGAGAAGAGGTTGATCAACCACAGTCAATCACGAGAGACAAGGAGACCACGATGTATCAAATGGGCGACTTTTTGTTGCTGGCAAAGCTTTTGCGCAACTTGGCCTTTCCCGGTTTAGCCGGTCCCTCGGATCAGCACTTTGACGACGATTTTTCCACAGCGCAGCTGTCGCAGCGGGAACACGCTCTTGACGACCATGGACAACATGGGAAAAAAAAGCAAATCTCCACGATCGGGCACTACCGTCCGCTGGATGTCAGCAGATACTCGCTGTTACACCAGCGTAACGTGTTGTCGCTGGAGATCGAAGACCAAAAGGCAGCACTGCTGAACGACTACGTGTACAATCCAACTCCTGCCACAGACGCCGAAAAATCCGCCCTGGAAGCCGCGGAGCCAAAGTTCGCGGACCGAGGTGGAGACCTTCTGAAGTTTGCTACGCTGCCGTTGCCCAACAAGTTGTTGACAGCTGCAGCAGGTGCAGGGGAAGCGGCTGCTTTCGGAGATGTAGACGACGGAGCTCCACCCGGCGGAAAAGATAAAGAGGGCGTTCAAGTGAGGACCCTAACGGAAGCCCAGACGTCCTCGCGATTCTTGCTTTTTGACGCCGACAGGCACTACTCCGATTACATCAGTCAGTTGATGTCCATCTCTGGTAAAAGTACAGCTGGAAGTAGTTTTCCTCCTGGCGCTATCTAACGCAAAAATGTCTGGGTCTGGAATATTTCTAGATTTGTCATGCATATTTTCCATGAGCCATGATGTCTGTCATGCATGTCGTAGCATCACAGATTTTTCGAGGGCTTTGTGATACTCTCTCTACCGCATGAGAAATGCCATCTCCACGTAGGACAAACCCGACCCCTCTTGCTGGTCATGCAATACAAATGTTTTTCGAATCACAGACAGCATCACAAGTTGTGACCTTCCAGACCCAGACACTTTTGCAATCCATAGGCGCCTCCAGGGGTAGTCATCTTCAAGAGACCGGTGGATCAACATCTTCACCTGGCCATGATTTAGATTTAGCAGCAGCGGCACAACATCAACATCAAGCTGGTACAACTCTTTCCTCTGGGTCGACTGCTCACCTTCCGCTGGATCATCCGACAGGAACGGGCAGCATGGCCTCAG